CTTGACTAATTGATTGACTGAAATCAGATAAACACACAAATAGCGGTCTCCTCCTCCTCCTCCTCCTCCTCCTCCTCCTCCTCCACCTCAAACATAATCCTAATCGACGTCCGCGAACCCGCCGAACTCGCCGCAACGGGCATCATTCCAGGCGCTGTCTCAATCCCACTTGCTTCTCAGCCGGATGCATACTTTCTGCCTGCGGAGGAGTTCGAGACGAGGTTTGGATATGCCAAGCCTGCCGTTACTGCCACAGGAGCAGAAGGCGCAGAAGGGGAAGGAAGGAAAAAGGAGATTGTGTTTTATTGCAAGGCGGGCGTGAGAGCGCAGGCGGCGGCGCAGTTGGCTGTGCAGGCTGGGTATGATCCTGATACGTTGGCAGTATATCATGGGAGTTGGTTGGATTGGTCGAATAGGGGAGGGAAGGTGGAGAGGTGGGAGGGTAATGAGTAAATTTGTATACAGTAGAACCTATCCATTTACACGGCAGGTAAGTAGAAGTGGAATAATTATGTAATAAGACTCAATCACAATCTACCTACACATCAGATTAAAAGATCAATAAGGAGGATAACAACTTTTTTCCTTTCTTCGTACATTTTTGTTCATCATCTCATCTGATCGTGTTTATTTTGCTGGCTGTTTAAGGGATATCAAAAAGCGGCTTCATCTTCTTGATCAAACCCCATTCCTCCATGGTAACGTCAGACCTGTAGAATTCCTTTAGTGTGTCGATACTCTTCCGTGAAATTTCGGAGTAGAGAGTGTCGCTTTCTTCCAGTTGTCGGCCGTAGGAGGGTTGGTTAGCGCCGTCGATCTTGACGGCGACGGAGGGTTGACCACGTTTGCAGACCTGGATAGCTTTGTGGTCTCGTTCGATGGATGATCTAGTGATTATATTAGTCTGGTGCTTTCGCTTTGACAGAAAGTGGAAGGAAACTTACACTCTTCCAAGTTGGATGATTTCTTTCTGGCCAGCTGCATTCTGCTTGACGACTGCGATAGGTGTCAACAGTTTCAAGCTACCTTCAACAACATCCACACCGACGACGATGGGGTCTTTCTTGTTGAAGACAGCGACGGTCTTGAGAACACAAGGGAAAACCGCGTGCATCTTGGATTCTTCCTTCCTCTGCTCGGTCAACTCTGCCATGTGCTTGGTGAAATCGTCGAACAGATGGTAGATGATATCAGCTGTGAAAATCTTGACGCCCACGTCATCTGCGTACGCTTGAGCTTCTTTGTCAACCTTGACATCGAAACAGAGCATGACGGCGTACTCTTTGAACCCCTTTTCTAACATCGTGCCCGCCAGCATGACATCACGCTTGAACACGGGTCCAATGGAAATGTTAGACACGGGAATCTTGGAGACCCTAAGGAACTCAAGCAAAGCTTCAAGGGAACCAAGAGTGGATGCCTGCACGGATACACCGCGCTGATCCTTGGAGACCTTGCTGAGCAAGTTCTCGAGATCAGACATGACCTCTTCCTCCAAGTCCTCTTCGTCGTCATCGGGACCAACGACCATTAACCTGGAACCGGCAATGGCATGTTCCAAGTCGTTAGCAGCAATCTTGACACCAAGAGCTGCCTTGACTTCCTTGTTGTGAACATATTGAGACTTCAGTCGAAGTTCCTTGAGTGGTGCAGGTGTCAATAATGCTCGAATGTTCGTTGCTATAGGTCCATTCAGACCACATAACACTACTCGGTCACCCTCTCTGAGGACACCGTTCGACAAAACAACGTCAATAGTTGTACCCAAACCTTCAATGACCTTCACTTCAAGAACTGTACATTCGACCTCAGAAAGGTACATGAGGGAATTGGTCATACGCTCCTGAGTAAGAGTAGTCAAAAGCTTAAGCATGTCAGGAATACCCTCACCTGTGTGCGCAGAAGTAGGCACAAGAGAGACGTTACGAGCCATAGACTTGTTCTCCCAGTAAAGCTCGGAGTTGAATCCCTGCTCGGCAAAGGCAAGTTTGGTCTGCTCAACACGAGATCTGAATTCATTGATGACGCCCTTGCTCTGCATAGCCAAACTCTCCTGGAAACCGTTATTATCAATCTTCTTCCATCCGTAAAGACGATCAATCTTGTTCAGTGCGACGATGAAAGGCGTTTTGCGGTCACGGAGGAGACGCATGGACTCCAAAGTTTGAGGTTCCAAGCCGTGCATAATATCGACGACCAAGATAGCGATGTTACAAAGGGATGAACCTCTTGAACGAAGGTTAGAGAAGGACTCGTGACCAGGTGTATCGATAACAAGAAGACCAGGAATCTTGAACTCGAATGCACCATCCGGGTTCACAACGGCAGTCTTTTGCTTCAAAGCATCGACAGGGAAGTAAGTAGCACCAATCTGCTGCGTAATACCACCTGCTTCGCCTTCCTGGACGTTGGTCTGTCGAATCTTATCCAAAAGCTTGGTCTTTCCGGTATCGACGTGACCGAGAATACAGCAAATAGGAGATCGGAGATCGTCCTTAGATCGAGCAGCGAGAGCTTCCTCGTGTTGTTTCCTGCGTCGCTCAGCAGCCTCTGCTTTCCTCTGGGCAATGGCTCTCTGAGTAGCGGTAGCCTCTTCGTCTTCTTCGTCGGAAGACGTCTCCGACTCTGACTCTGACTCGTCGTCCTTTGTGGTTCCGTTTGTCCGTTTGGCAGTATCTTCCTCGTCAGAGTCTGCATCCCAGCTATCCTTCACATCGTCTTCAGCAACATCTGCCTTAGCAGCTGCCTCCCAGTCTTCCTCAACTTCCTCAACTTCCTTTGCCTGGGCTTTGGCCAAAGCCTCTTCCTCCTTTCGGCGCTTTTCATCCTCGGCTTCACGTTGTGCCCTAGCCGCGGCGGCAGCAGCCTCTAGATCCACCTCGTCTTTCTTCGGCCCTTTCTTCTTGCGGTTTGTCACAACCGTCTTCTTCTTTTCAGAGGGTTCGCCGCCCTTCTCTGCAAGACCAGCGACATGGCCTACACCAGCAGCCAACATCTGCTTCATACGCAACTCATTTCGTTCTTTGGCCTCCTTCTGAGCCTTGGTAAGGAGTTTGCCTTCTTTCCTGAGCTGCTCCTTCTTTTCCTTCTCCTTCTCCTTTTTGCGTTGACGGGCTTCCTCCTTCTTCTTCTCTTCTTCTTCGAGCTTGCGAAGACGTTCGGCTTCCGCGGCTTCCGCCTCGGCTCTCAGGCGCTCTTCCTCCTCCTGTGCTTTCCTGAGCGCTTCCTGTTGTTTCTGAATAGCAGCCAAATGTGCGGGGAGCTTCTTCTTTTTGCCAGCAGGCTCGGCTTTGGCGGCTGGGGTAGGGGTGGGTTCAGCCTTAACTTCAACAGCCTTCTCGACTGGCTCTTCCTTGGCGGGAGCAGCGGGCGTAGTACCCTTCTTCTTCGCAGCCTATTGGAAATTTTGTTAGCACATAGATTTCTCGGGTTTGTATTATTACTAGAAGTACTTACCTGTTCCTTCTTTCTCTGCTTCTCACGCTCTTTTTTTTCTTTTTCTTTTTCCTTCTTAGACTTTACTTTGCCACCCTCCTCCGCATCTTCCTCGGGCTCGGCCTTCTTGGGAGCTGGCGCAGCCTTACCCTTCTTGGGTTTTCCAGCAAAGACATCATCTTCATCATCAAACGTACCCTCTTCTGGCGCTTTGCTGGCAAAGTCAACGGCAGCGTCGCCATTGGTGTCTGCCTGTGTAGGGTCCTCTCCTTCCACGAAATCGTTATCAACTGCCTTGCCCTTCTTAGCTTTCTTCGATCGGTTCTTCTTCAGCGCAGCCAAAAGGCCTCCTCCTCCCATCTGGTCCTCATCACCGTTGGCATCGGCATCACCGTTGGCCTCGGCAGGTGCGTCGGTCGCAGGAGCGGCGGCAGATTCGCCAAGTTCAGCTTCCCAATCCTCCTCCTGTCTCTTGTTTCCCTTCTTCTTGGGCGCCATTTTCGATCTAAGTTGCGATGTTGTTTAATTTAGTTGCGTGGACTGTATTCGAGGCTGTATCCAGTGAAGGACAGCATCCGCCGTGTAGTATATTGTAAGTAAAAATTTGCTACAACCACAAGTTGTATATGCTCACAGACCGAGAGAGCTGCGTGCGATTTGTGGTGGTGTGAAAACAGGTTTCGATAGCGGAGGAGTTAGTATCGATAAAGTAGTCTCGGAGATAGTGTTGTGTGCGTGTTTGTTCTCCGATAGAGTTGTGATCCCGGCCTTGGAAAATATTACCGAGATCGATAAAAAGAATGTCAAGTGAAAAGAGAAACCCCCCGAGGCAGCTTCAATAAGACTGTGCAAAAAGAAGGAAAGTTCTCTTGGGTGTCGGAGGGGTGAGAATTTTGGATATTGCGGGCGGTGGGGGGATGTTGCCTGAGGCGAGAAATATTTATTTATTTTATACGGGCTCGCCGCCTCGGCTGTGTTAGAATAAAAGACATAAAGTACTACGCGATACAACCAATTTTAGTTCTTTTACATAGTAATACCTGGCATAGTCGACATTAAATTGCCACTGCATGATCATAATCCGACATCTCATGGATACATTACTTTTAGCACGGCATATAGCGCTTGTACAACGAAAACACGAAATGACCTTATCATCCAATATTCAAGCTTCTGCAGCCGCATTGACGTCTGGCGAGCTGCGTCTGTGTCTAGGCCCCGGCAAAAAAGAATCGTCAGAGGTCGTAGAAGATATTGATATGGTCGAATCCCGTTTCGAAGACACTTGAGGAGTCAGAGGCGAAGGGCCACGTGAACTCGAGGGCCTTGTGCTTTTTTTGCGCCTGTGACCCTGTGACTCTGTTGCAGTAGAGACAGCGCTCTCGGGAGTCGAGCTACGAGACGGACCCCGAGTATGAAGCGATTGTGAGTTGGAGCGAGTATTGCGGCGAGCTCGGCCATCATGGGTCTTGGCAACACTAGACATTTGTCGATGGTGCTGATGTTGGTGATGGGTATGGACATGCCTACGCTGACGTGACCAGGTAAAGGGAAGCCACCATAACCAACCTCCCTCTTGACGGGCTCGTTGACGTTCTCGCTCCTGAACTCTTCGGCGGAGTAGTGCACGTCTTTCATTCTCTTTCTCCCAGTAGTCTGCTCGGTATTCATCCCAACTCTCCCGAAATTCGGGAGAAAATGCTTTGGGTAAAAGCAACAATCGTATGTAGTCACCTCCAGGCGCTAGGTCTTCTTCAATGAAAGCCGAGTCGCTATCGTGGTCATGAACGGAGTGGTGCTGTCTGGCAGCACGCTTTTCGGATGAATGTAGCTCAACATATTGAAAATTCTTCGGTGATTGGAATAGCGAGGAGTATGGGAAAATAAAGGAGAGCAATGATAATAGCTCTTTCCACCACGGACCGCGAATCAAGACTATCTTGGTATTCATTCCCCTTAAGCCTCGATTAGCAACGGCGAACCAGCGCCGAGGCCATCGCATCCCTCGTTCCCATTGTCCTGTACCCCAGACCAGAATTCCAGTAACAATGCCTCCCATAAATGCAACCTTTTCGGCCGTTTCTACCATCCAATATACTGAGCCTCCCACGCCGCTCCCATCTTCTCTAGGGCGCATGAACAAGGCATAGAAAAAATATACAACCCATAACGCCAGCAGCAGGAGAAAAAAAGTATTTTGTCGACGACGCTCTCGCAGTGCCAGATACTGCGCGCGCAAGGAGCTTTCAAGTATAAGTAAGTTCAGGTATATCTGCGGCGGCGACGAGGGTAACGTCGAGAGCGGGTCTGGTGTGGTAGGTCGGGAATCGATCTTTGATCCTTCGAGGTAGGACTTGGGCAAGGGCGCTGGGGCGTCGTTGAAGGGAAGATGTGCGTCTGGCGGCGGTGCACCCTTGACCAACTGATCTAGGCGAGAGGCAGCCATGTGTGATAACCGCTGCTGCCGTGGTCAGTATGTTTATTTCAGCCTCAGTTGCAGAGACAACCGTTGGCGGTATGTATTTGGCCCGCGGCCAACCATTTATCGCATCACGGGATACTCGAGTAGTCGAATGTTTTTTTCTTTTAAACACTGACAACAGAAGTAGTCGGGTTGTAAGCAGGGATCATGACTAGTCAAGTGTGAATGAATCAACAATGAATGTGATGTCAGGTCCCTTCCGAATCAGCTAGTCTCAGTCGAACCGAGGAAAGAATGTTGATGCCTCGATTATCAGGCAGCAACTCATCGGAGGTAAAAAAGGCAGTGGCGACCGGCGCGCGGCTTCCCAGTTTGTCCGAAATCCACGAGGAAGGAGCAGATGCCAGCCAAAGTCCGGGTTTAACTCCGCGGGCCAACCAGAGCGCCTCGATCACTCATGCTTCACAATCATAATGATGGTGCCTGCCTGCCTGCCTGCCCGGCAACTGTCCCCTCGATCACGGATTCCTCTCTTCTCTCTGCTTAGTAACTTCTAATTACTACTCTACATACACTACGTTACGTGCACACTCAATGCTCTGCTTATAGACTACTGTCTTATAGGTCACGAGAGATTTCGCCTTTTAAAGCCGGCGCTCACCTTCGTCATCTCTCTCTTTCCTCCCCCCCCCAAGCGCCGCGCTTGGACGATTCACCAACATCTCGTGTCGTCTGTGGTTCATGCTAAACGAGTGACAGGATCTCCTGTCATTCTTGTCGACAGTAGAATCAAGGTGTTTTCAAAGCGACTTCGTTCGGTGCAGTTGTCGGCAGTGTTCTACTCACAGAGGCTACGAGAAGCCATTTCGTCAAGCCGATTTCATCCGATCTTCTCTCGGAGCACGTCCATTGACGCTCGACGAAGTACTCCCCAGTACGCTGTTATCATAATGCCGTCCGTGGAGACGATTAGTCACCGTGAGGGTGGGATGCGCAGTGAGGGATTGCAGGAATCAACAGACTCAGGACGTAAACTACCACATTCCGTGACACATGGGATGGCGCCTGCATCGTCTTCTTGGTTGCCGTTGGGTATGAAAGAGACAATCCACCAATGGGTAAGTACCGACTCAACTCGTTCTAGAGTCAAGACTCAAAACTAAATTTTCTCGGGTAGTGGCATAAGGCGCCTGCTGCAGTGGCCGAACACAAAGTCCTCTCTTCTATACCCTATCTTCAAGAAGCTCCTACCCAACGACAGACCGGTAATACCGCAAGTGCTCCAAACTCACCCAGTGCGACCGACAGTCTACAGGCAGTCGATCCCAGCCAAACCGGTGACGAGGTTGTCAACTCGAACAACGACCCATATGGACCCCGCCGCTGGCGCTCCCGAATGGTCGAGCTGAGTGGCAAAAATCGAGCTCTGAATGAGTTCTCTGTGGAACGTGTCGGTGAGGAGACCGACCAAAATCTGGTCATGCTACATGGATATGGTGCTGGGCTAGGATTCTTCTATAGAAACTTCGAGCCATTGAGTCGCGCCAAAGGTTGGCATCTCTACGCTTTGGATATGTTGGGCATGGGCCGCAGCACGCGTCCGCCTTTCAAGATCAAAGCTTCAGATCGCCAGGAAGCCATCACAGAGGCAGAGAATTGGTTCATTGACGCCCTTGAAGAATGGCGCGTCAAAAGCAAGATTGAGCGCTTCACGCTTATGGGCCACAGCATGGGTGGTTACATAGCTGCGGCTTATGCCCTCAAATACCCGGGGCGCCTGAATAAGTTGATTCTCGTTTCGCCAGTGGGAATTCCCGAGGATCCGTATGCGGTGAACGAAGCGATGCCGACTGATTCGACAGAAACCAGTACCAATGGAAGGACGCCACCTCGTCTACCGCGCCTCGTCACTTACCTCTGGGACGCCAATGTCTCACCTTTTAGCTTAATTCGCTGGTCCGGTCCGTTTGGCCCAGGTCTCGTGTCGCGCTGGACCTCTCGACGATTCTCACATCTACCATATGCAGAGGCGTCAGCTTTGCACGACTACACATATTCTATTTTCAGACTTCGCGGTAGTGGCGAGTATGCGCTAACATATCTCTTGGCACCAGGGGCCTTCGCACGAAGTCCTTTGATCCGTCGAATCCAAGGAATTGGCCGACAGGTCATTCGGCCTGATTCGCCTGCCGCATTGACATCGGCATCTGATCCATCTGCAGTTGCAGCAACTGCCTCTCAGCCGCAAAAAGAAAACGGCATACCTGTCGTCTTCATGTATGGTGATCACGACTGGATGGACGTCGCCGGTGGGTTTGCAGCCAAAGAGAAATTAGAAGAGGAAAAGCGTCGTATATTGAAAGACGCTACTCCCGAAGAACGTGAGGCGGATAATGGTTCTGCCAAAGTGTATATTGTCAAGAACGCCGGCCACCATCTCTACCTCGAGGGAGACGAAGAGTTTAATGAAATAATTTTGAAAGAGATGGAGGACGTCCGACGACGAGAAGCGAAACGTCAATCATAGTTAATCAACTCCGACATTTTTTTTATTATTTTTGCCAAGTTACTATCTGCCTAGATGATAGCGATTTTGTTAATTTTAGAGTTAGGAGGAGCCTTTGGCTTGTTTGGGGTGCAGGGTTTTAAAGCATATAGACCTTCTTTTCTTAGTTCATTTACACTACAATAATCAGTTGGATTGACGCCAAGAACATAGACCGTCGCATCATTGAATACTCAATATTTGAAACATTCAAGGTATATATATCATCTTATCATTAGCCAATCCTGAAATCAAAGATATCAAGTCAAACCCAACCCAGTCAAAGACATCAGCTTCGCCGCCGCCGACGACGAACCACCTGAACTCCGTCTCCGAGCCCGCTGTCCAGTGAGAGGTTGATGATGGTAATAATGCACCATCTTGTAATCCGCGCCAAGGCCAGAGAACGACGATGTCATGAGCAGAGGACTGCCGACATCATGCCATCCGGAGGACGAGGAGGTTGTCAACGATGAAGTTGATGATCGAGGGGGCGATGCAAGAGAATCGAGACCCGCGCTGGATTTGGATGTTTGCAGTTGCTGTGTTGATTGAGGTTGATTCGATTGTTGATTCGTTATCGTTGTTACGGATGATGGGAAGTTCTGCGTTGAGAGAAGGGGTGATGTTTTGGATCTTTTGTGGAATCTCGGTCGTTGTTGCGGTTTCGAGTGCTGTTGTTGTTGATGATGAAAGCGTGCCTGATCTTCCAATGCCGTGTTTGTCACAATTTTCGGTGAGAGCATCGGTGATGGGACGTGAAATCGTCTCGATGGCAGTTCCAGCCGTTTGTTAATTGATAGCCAAGCCTCGTCATCATCATGATCGAAAGACAGTTCTTCTTCGCTGCTGTTGTTGTAGCTCATGGATGAAGCGGATGATGTTTGATGATGTTTCTTTCTTGGTAGGGGTGTCCGCCAGCCGCCGACGCCTTCGAAGTCACGCTCCGCGTTGCCGGAGATGAAGCTTGATAGTGCTTCGTGTGATGAGTGGATTGGGGCATGGCCATGTTGCTTTACACTGTCAGCATGATAGTCTTGTGGTTGCAGGGATTGCACTGACTGGGGGATGGTGAAGGAAGTAATCCTCAGCAACACCTTCCTTTGAGGACAACGATCCCCTACGCGATTTCACAAGTCCCGTATGTTGATGGCCATACTTGGCCGTTCTGGCATAATGCGCCGTTCGCTCAATGCCCGGCGTACTCCCTTCTGTAAGAGCAAGAAATGACCCCGACGCAGGTGAATGAGCTGGAAACAAGAAGAAATGCGCGAGTAAGGCGATGACTAGTTCAAAGTATACGACTAGAGCGCGGACGAATAGTGTAGTTAGGGCTAGGGTTGCGGTTACGAAGGCGGATAGGGCAAGGGGGATTGAGATTAGGAGGAGAAAGGGGAGGATAAAGATGTTTGACAGAGCTGTTGACCACATCTTTCCTTCCTGTCTTTGGGCTGAAAAAGTAATAGACATGAGTCTAGAGTTTGATTAGCATGTGTAATAAAGCTGGATGCAAATTGTCCCCATCATTGATAGCTCCCGTACCCGAGTATAACGGAGGGAAAAGCATAAAGGAAACATACCTCAAAACCAGATACCAGATATTAATCAATATAGACAGAGATTTCAGCAGGCCGTCGGTGTTTTGTTACATTATTGCCCACCTCCATCAACAGCATGCTGCACAGAACAGTCATCGAATGAATCACCACTCGTATCATTAATCAAGTGTATAATCTAGCCCGAGGCAATATCATCAAGAAAAAAGTCCTTGCCCGGGCTCGTCAAACTGATGCCAGACTGACAGCAAGTTTCGTGACAGATCAAGATTGTCTGACCGTTAAGTTTCTTTGACATGTGACGCGCGCGGATCTTTGCGGGGGCGGATTTGTCGCAGAGTTGCAGTCCATCACAGTGGTGATTGGTGTAGCCAATGAAGCGCTTATAGGCATGATTAGGGTATATAAACCTCTTGATAAATCTTTCGACATGGTGATTTCCTGCGGCACTTGTTTGTGTTGAGTTTCATATTTGCCAATTGACAAATAGCCTGCTTCATCACATCCTTACCTCCGTACTTGACGTGCCCTGGCATTCCTACTAGATTCCTACTACTAACTACTCACTCCTCCTCTACAAGTTATATAATCATAATACTAAACCTAAATCTATATGCTTTATCTTACAACGTTTTATATATGGCGAGGTTGTTTGGATAATTATAAATCGTGCTTACTAAGCTTCGCATTCGCAATAGGCCAACGGCTAGCGTTCACACGCGATCATATACTTGGTAATTGCACATAAACTTTGGCAACCTCAACAGGACTTCTAGAAGCGCTCCGTCAGTATCCTATGATCATGAATTATGGTACTTTCCAAGAGAGCACTGCCTTGACTGTTCACCATGCACCCGGACATGCCCAGCCCGTATTATCCACACTAGGACTTATCAATATCCGTAGATATCATAGCAATCACCGAAATTGGAGTTCAAGTAAGCATATCCATTATTTGCAGAACCACACGGACTAGCCAGTTATGATTCAGGCTTTATGTGCACTAGGATCTGAAATGTAAGTTGCGGTCGAGAATCGCTCCAAGCGACGATTGAATCGCGAACTCTGAATTGGCAGACGGCATCGCTAGAAGACCTTGAGTAATATATCTCGTCCCCGTATTTTCCGTCAATTAAAAGCTGTGTTGTTCTGTACCCAATTAGCCGTCTGTGCCTCGCCACTTTTGAGAGTAGTTTACCGCTTGTCAGATGTGATAGAGGAAACGTTTGTTGCCAGAGGGAATAGTCACTTGCAGTAGCTCGTCAACTGGATCTCCCCTTAGCTGAACGGACGTTTTCTGTTCGACACAAGATTAGAAGTTCAAATGCTTATCCGGAGAATTACCTGCAGCCAGCTGAAAAGGCACGCCAGGACCTTCCTATAGGAGAATAACCAGCGCATAAAAGTATCCCCATCTTGTGAGGCTTTTTCTGTCGGTGCTGTGCCACATTTTAACAATTCCAGTAGTGTTGGGCTCGACTGTATTGATAGAACTGTAGTCAGGAGAAAAAGAAATGAGATGCCTTTAATATCGAACATGTACGGTACGAAGCCACGTATCCAAGCTAGTAATCAAGCTAGTACCCAGGGACGCGTGTGCGGCCCGCGATCTCGAATGCTTAATTCGCTAGGCACTATCTCCCCGGGTCGTATTCGGGATCAACCTTCATCCTCGACTTACTAGTACGTACCACACGTATTGTTTAATGATAGATGAATACAGAATATTGGCTGCCTCGTCACCAATCATAAGGTTACCTATTTGACGGATCCAGAAAAATCTAACGGAGTTAAGCCTAGACCAAGCACTATGACCTTTAGTGTTGAGGAAAGTTTTTGGGGCACGGGAGACCCTTGTTTTTCTCCCAGCCACGAACACCGGAAGCTTTCTTTCCTATATTCCGGGCTTCGGTCTTGAGATTCTTTTCATAATTAGTCTGTCTACTGCTCAGCTGCGGTACAGCTACGCAGTGCCGCAGCCTTTGCCGCACTTGTTTAGATCAAGTGGTGTCGTGCTTTTGGAATAAGTTTCCCAACTGTAACCTATCACGATACGTTTGGCAGCTCCATTACTTGCATGCGCAGTCTTGCACGAATGATGCCATGCTACTCAGCAAGATATACACTGGTTCGACATCGTCTCGATGATAGATCTGTAAATATCGTATCTGACATGGGAAATACGTGGGTATTGAAATCGAAATTCATATCCATAGAACGATCCCGTCAATTTTTTGATCAGGGGCTACTGTAGATAGCGTGACAAGCATTAGAGGCGCAACGTTACATCCGACTTTCCATTTGCACTGAGAGGCGCTATTGACTTGCTACACACATAATATGTAGTCAGTACTAACTGTATCTAATTCGTACTCTATGCCGCTCCTTTTCCAATTCTGATTGGTACCTTTGATCATTTAAGCAAATTAAGAAAGCAAAACGTCTCTCGCTTAGACCACATCCAAGCAGAAATATTATGATATGCCATAAAGCCCACAGTCTCTCAGATAATAATTAGTTCCTTCAACTTTGCTATGGAATTGTCGACACCACGGAAGAATGATGTATTACGCGCGGTTTATTCTTCCTCTTCTCCTTCTCGCACCCGTCTGTGTTCTAGGAGATGATCAAGTCAATGGCTCTCTTCCCTTGCGCTCGACTAGCATAAAAAACCTCGGTGGAATCTACGGTTCAGTTGGCTCGTAAGTCGCCATCTTCATCCTCCCAGAATCATCCACTTACTCACTGTCTCTTTCTTGAACCAGATACTACAATGCGACCGCGCAGATCAAATTGACGCCTCTCATCGGCATGTATCCTAATGTATCGGTTTGCTCGAACCTTGAAGGGCGCAACATCACTGCTGAATTCCCGGCCAGACTCGCCGTGACAGAGAGAGGATCGTACAATGAGGGTCAGAACCCTGTCAATACCCTTCTAGCTCTTTGGGCTTCGGGGTACAATTTCTCTTCTATGGTAGCTTGGCCGGATGAGTTTGAAGCTGTGTATGATTCCGTATGGCGTCTCGAATCTTCACCGTAAGTAGTCTCGCACAGCTGATATGGCTCTTTGTGTACGTACTAAGAGAGAATACCAGAGCGGTCCATTGGGTTGATCCTGAAGAGTCCGCAGTGATCAGCGAAGCAGGAAATCCTCCGCCCTACCATGATTACTTTAATTTGTCCTTGGAAAGCACCACACAAGCGCCATATAACCTCAATGGTCAATTCAGCAATGCCACCAATGTCTTTTATGCTCTTTTCGATCTCACTTTAAACGAGTCTTCCTGTAGCTCTGCAACAGCAACCGACGAGTATTCCATTTCGCTTGTCAACAGTCCCTCGGCAAACACTGAAGGATGGAACTGGACATCTCCCACAGTGGAGTTGCAATTCGACAGTCGAACAGCAAATTATACGTTGGACGGATATTTTACCGCCGTAGCACAACAGTTCTCAAATGGCACTGGTATCTTAAAATCGCCTTTGAATTGGGTCCAAGGTAAAATCCGCATAACGTTTTCCGGCATCATTGACGTTTATCATTCGGATGTGCTGGTGAACAACAGTGCAATCCCGACTTGGCTACCGACAGTTGGGTTCAATAACAACTCCATGAACATAGACTATACTGAGCAGAGCCTCTCGGAGAATCGCCTGTATCCCAACTGGTTAGTGGCTATGGCCGTATTGTTCATTAGTGTTGTAGGGGTTTGTCTATGAGCATAACTTGATTACTAAAGAGGAAGCTTTATACCATATTTAGTTTATTGCAGTTTTCGGAAAAATTGCTATAATACACTCGTATAAGATGAGATCTTGTCACTGCTTACTGTACATTAAATGCCTACTCTGCATCTCTATCAGGAAGAGGAAAATAATAACCAATCATGTCTGTGTCACAACATAATTGATCCTCCTCTCGTAGCTACGTTTGTGGCAGAGTACGTTGGACAATTCATCTTTTAGATTTTTGATTCAGTCCATTTAATGATCTCACTAGGCTTTACTAATTTGAGGAGTTCCCTTGTAGACAAAAGAGAACCAATCAATCGGTAGCGATTTGTTGGGACTACTGAATTCCTTGCTCGAGGGATGCGTATTGCTGTTTTTCTAATCCAAACAAAGGGAGTCTTTAGAAAGCTGATGTCTGCACCAATGCAAAACCAATATGGTACAGAGCTGGGACTCGTACCGGCATAGCCATATGTACGTACTATTCCTGCGTCTAGAGACGAGGTCATAATTGTGGAGATAAGGTACACGTAATAAAACGCCTCACGGTGGGGATATATGTGATATTTTAGACGTTATCATCCATCACCAGGGTATGAGTTAATATCGGCAGCTCGTACGTTACTCTGCAGTCGCACATTCAAGTGCGGCGCAGCGCATGGCTAGGGTATCTACCAGTATAACCGGTGATTGTCATTGATAGGTCGTATGATTGTACCATAATTGAGTACCTTGTCAATTAACCTCTAGATTGAGGCTTTAGCCAATCGCCAGATGAAGCTATCCACTAGCCTCTCATTGAAGTCCGTTGTGAGACATAACACTCAGCCGGACGTCTATCTACTATGTTACATCCAGTACCATCAAAATTATATACTTCGGTATTTGGTTTATTTCCTCAGATCCTATAATTTGCTCATAGGTAGCTCACCGCTATCAATATCGAAACATTCCTGTGGTAGAGACGCTCTAGATAAGAGTTAGTGACAAAGCCTCCTAATTGCCATAAAAATATAGGGAGGGAAACTAGATCTTACACGTGACAATTACAAATACTTCAGACTGCACATTTCACTTAAATACATGATGTTCGATGCTCTGGTGGAGAAGCCATAAACATTCTTGGTCCGGATGAATCGAACCCTGTCTAGATTACGTACCTCCAATTCCAAGGTTTGCCTTATTCCAGAACAACATCTTACATTTATAGAGGAATGATACATGATATTATATATAGAAAGCGTAGGTATAGTAAGGTGATAAAAACCAACACTAGATCAGTAGCACGTCGAAACTAAGAGACATTCTAAGTGGTTGGATACCCAACCTCAAAGTATTAAGAATGAGCTTTCTGTCTAGGTCTTGTAGTATGAATGCGGAGTCACAGAACTCACCGAATCACAGGGTTACAGAGAAATGTAAAATAATGCCTCATATTATCTAGATCAGAGATAACCACATTGTTGGTGAAGTTGCTAGCGCCCTTGTAGTATACATATGCCTAACGTTTCCCTTTGATTTATGTCCCAACTACAACCTCGAGCACATCCATCTTGACCTCTCATAATCCTACGAGCTGAATTTCAAGTAGGTACTCGTACTCTCTTATTCAACCACTATGTTTGAAAGGCTTGCTTTAGCCTTGATTGCCTTGCCTCTAGTGGTAGGCTACCTCGTATCACCCCCAGGAACGGCATATCCTGGAGCTTCCGTGGATTGTAGCGGCTGGGTTGAAGGCACCGCTGGCTTAAGCTGTGCGGATGTTGAGGAGACCTACTATATCACCGAATCCGAATTTGAGAGCTGGGTTCGTTCGCCTTTGCCGCTGAAGAATTAACTTTTGGTGAATCCTTGTTCACTGACTACTATGGCTTTTTCAGAATCCACTTATTGCTTCAACTGGCTCTTGCGCTCTTACTTCAGGTTTCTATTACTGCGTGCAAATCGACTACGAAAGTACAGGACCAACCACATCTCTGTCCTCGTCATCTTCAGTCACTACATCTGTTGCTACAACATTGTATACAACCACGTTAGCCACGACGACTACTGGAGATGGCATTTCAACCCCGACGCCTTATCAAACAGGGATGGCATCAAATTGCGATAAATTTTATTTAGTTGTTAGTGGTGATCAATGTGGTACCATAGCGACAAGTGAAGGAATCACCCTCGCTGATTTCTACGCTTGGAACCCAGCAGTGGGAACGAGCTGCGAGTATCTAGACCTAGGTGACTACGTCTGTGTTGACGTTATTGGATCCACGCCAACTCCTACTACTATGATTATATCAACATCGATGACCACTACAGGGGATGGGATCAGTACGCCCACACCCTATCAAACAGGCATGGCCACAAACTGTGACAGCTTCCATTTAGTAGTCAGCGGAGATGAGTGCGCTGCTATTACCACCGAGTACGGCATCTCCCTAACTGAATTTTATGACTGGAACCCCGCGGTTGGCACGAGTTGTGAGTACCTAGATTTGGGTGACTATGTCTGTGTCGACGTTATTGGAACGACCGCAGTCGCTAGCACAACAGTAACTCCCACTAGCACCGGCAATGGGATCACAACGCCTACACCTTATCAAACAGGCATAGCCACAAATTGTGACAACTTTCATTTTGTCGTCAATGGGGATGAATGTGCCGCTATAGCCACAGAGTACGGCATCTCTCTGACTCAATTTTACGATTGGAACCCAGCAGTTGGCACAAGCTGTGAATATTTAGATCTAGGTGATTATGTCTGTGTCAATACATTGACATGCTCGTCAGTCCTACCGGCTCCACCTCAGTATATCTCAACATGCGGTTTTCCTGGATTTTCACACGACGCGGTCTCAACTGTACTGGTCTCTTACACATCCGGCAGCCCTTATGTCGAAAGCGCTGCTGCTTGTGGAGCGCAATGCCTCGCTACATCTGGATGCACTAATATTTACTTCATCGAAGGAAGTTATTGCAATCTGCATCAAGGGGAAAGCAGTTTTCAAGAAAGCACTGCGAGTGGCTATTATCTGTGGTTCGACGCATCTTGTTTCTCTTCAGGCGAAGCATGTGGTTCATTTGGCTTTTCGGATGATAATCCATCAACGTTGATCACTTCGTATACTACAGGATCTGCTTATGTTGCAAGTGCTGAAGCGTGTGGTGAGCTGTGTTTAGCTACATCTGGTTGCACGAATGTGTATTTTATAGAAGGCAGTTATTGTAACCTGCATTCTCCAAGCACGTTCCTGGCTTCGACTGCAGTGGGTTATTACTCTTGGTACCAGGTGGGCTGTTTTGCCTGTGATTAGTGTCGCTATCTGATCCCTTTATCATGGAAATCTTAGGCAAGAATAGAGCATATCTCGGAGGTTCGTACGTTAAAGAAAGATACAAGGACATGACCACATACAACATTCAATTCGTATCATCTTTCATCATGAATTTCTCTATCATTTAGGATCTAAAACTCAAACCCGTGCCTGTCTTGTAACTGATCCATAAATTACGGATATCTCTGGCTTGGTCTTGCTGTCAGTCGGATTATAGATAATGTGTGTAAACACAATGTTCCCCCGTCTTTTCAGGGAATTTACTATTTTTGTGGGCCATGAATGTGGAACTTGGGTATACGTAATCAAACGCCTCTAAGTTAGTGGAGATACTATGTACGTTACTCCGCACACATTTTAGTGCGGCGCAGCGCATGGCTAGTGCATCTACCAGTATAAACGGGGAGATATGGACGTACGTGAAGTTAGACAGATCGGCTAGTACGGCCGGATCATCGCATATTTTCTTATCTTTGATTTACCAGCCTTCAGTTTGCATCATCTTACTAGCGCTTCCCATCGCACGTTGTCTAAGTCCAATAGAGCAAAGGTAGTAGTGTTATGTAGTAGCACTATAGGCGTGTTGGCTTCCTAGTGCGGCGCAGTCAAGATACACTAGTCAGAAGTTCATCACTGATCATAACGAGTCGTTTTGGAAACAGGCTACTTTTTACCACGCCTTACATTAAATTACATAGCCCTAAACGAATAATACAAGGTCAAGTACGTAACTATCTAACCTTACTAGTACTTCACTGTATCGCATAGCGCATATAGACCGTAGCGGCGTGGCACGCTTGTGGTTCTCTCCACTGAGATTCGATAGGGATCATTAGGTATGTACTTTCTTACCGGTTAATTCAGTGGTCTGAATCTGTCTCTGGAAATAATGTGATGCCCTAAGTCGCTCCCCCAGTACCTTGATGCATATTTCTGATTTATCAGAATAACACCTGGTACATGATAAATTTAACATACTATATAGTGTTGCCCTAATTATCTTTTCTACTCAATACCATTTTTGTATTAGAACGAACGCGCCCCCTATAGGTCCCAGAACAGAACATAGAAAATCATAGCAGGAAGGACGTATCTGAAAACTTCTCCTCTTTGGATATTAGTAGTACGTATTCCCAATATATCTCGTGTATTGAAAGACCTGTAGCCTAAGGTATATTTCCAGATTTATCACTGTTCCCATACTCTTGATATAAAGGTATCGAAGGCCGAGGTTATATATGCATATCGTCACACCCAGCTATGCCGTTTTTACTAACAACAGTCTCTTAAGCCATAAGCCCGGCAAAGAAAGAAGCTAGCGTTTTCTCTTTTCATCAAATGCCACATATATACTTAGAAGTTTAGCCAGAGTTACATGGCGTCTACTATCAATTTACAGTTGAGCTACTAAGATCAACTCTCAGGTTGCACCTAACACGAAAATCATTTCTTGTAGTCTCGATTGGTGCAAAAAATATGCTCTAATTGAGTGCATTCGTATGCACGGCGAATTAATCCATTGTACCTGGATAAGTATAGTCTATGATACGAGAGAGATCCTTGAACCCATACTATACGCTAAGTTTCCACCAAAAAAACAGCTAGAAGGCTCACATAGCACATGATTTTAGTTTGAGAGAACAATCAGCTAACAGGATATGTAATATTAGTTACATAGGGTGTAGGTATCTAGGTCTGAGGTGCAGCGGGCTTTTTAGTCCATATCTTATAGTTCATATTCTAGCTCCTGAACATACCAGACTAAATATGGGTCAAGACAATCAATTAATCCCGACACAAGTATAAATATGCCTTGATATTTTAGGCAGTAAAGAGATTTTGCGCAGGAAAGTAGTTAGGAAACCTCATTTCATTCCTTCACAAGCGTTTTTTGATCGTCTTCCCATGCACCTGAGATACTGGCTCACGGCCACGTCGGTCAGCCTGGCCCCTATAGCCATGGCATTCCCATCCGAGCTTGATCAATATCTAGCAAAGCATCCCATCTCTACCGTGACACGACTGTCTGCCGCTAGCAGTCCAACGACGCAAGTGAGTGGTGTGTTACAGTCAAACCCAGCACTTGTCCATGCTAGTCGAAACCGTTGCCCTATCAATTGTGGTGAAAGTGGAAAAAATCCTAGCAATTGGACGGTTTACCACGGTGTCGACAGGTTGGCTTGGTGCAATGAGACAATGCTTCTTGACTTTGCTGTATACAACGAATTGGCGGATCCTGGGACTCATACAAAAATTCGTGCTTGCACCGTCGATGAGGAAGGGGAGGCAGCAACTACCTCTGTCGCTTCCTGTTCTAGCATCTCTAATGGTTCAAGGCAGAAAACGAATACTACCTTACAATCTGCTTTCAGTGGCTCGACTTCTTCCTATAATCCCTTCAATCTTTCGTCAATTTTGGCTCAGTTGGAGGCATATACGACACACTCGGGCATCTGTGACTCGGTAACTAAATTTGCAATCTTTGAATCTATATACCTAGGCGTCTATGTTGGAACAGAGATTCAAAGTCAAGACCTCACCACAGCCTTGCTCAAGCAGGCAGTTTCCGCATTGCAGGACTTGTTGTCTGCTGAAACTGCTTTGGTGCAGCTCTGTGGCACGGGTCCCAACAGTGCGTACACATTTGGAATATTCGCTAGTACGCAGAGTTTAGGAGACGTCCAAGATGCAGTGCAGACATGGACGAACGGAAGTTGCATCACCTCTTATACCACTACTGCTCTTGGAGATACGGTATCACTAGATGTACCAATCACAGTTCACACAGCCAGCAACATCTCCAATGCTACACTCAGCTCTCGCTCTTTGCAGCCTCGAGCCAATTGTTCCACCATTCAAGTAGTTTCTGGGGACAGCTGCTCGTCTTTGGCAGCTGAATGCGGTATTACTGCAGCTGAATTTACTGAATACAATCCTAGCTCGACTCTGTGCTCTACCTTAACAGCAGGGGAACATGTGTGTTGTTCATCGGGAACCCTCCCGAACTTTGCTCCTCAGCCATATGCCAACGGAACCTGCGCTACGTACTTGGTCGTTTCAGGGGATACTTGCAGTGCTCTCGCAGCCACTTACAGTCTCTCGGAAGACGATATAGAGAGCTACAATGACGACACATGGGGCTGGATGGGCTGTTCTGATCTACAAGTTGGTAATAATATATGTCTCAGCACAGGATCGCCACCCATGCCTGCACCAATCGCCAATGCAGTTTGTGGACCACAAGTTCCAGGTACAGTGACCGTACCTTCGGGAACCAATCTATCTACACTGAACGAATGCCCACTCAACGCTTGCTGCGACATATGGGGTCAATGTGGAACAACAGATGAATTCTGTACGATTACCAAATCACCGACTGACGCCCCCGGTACAGCAGCGGCGGGKACAAATGGCTGCATATCCAATTGCGGTACGAACATCGTCGAGGGAGATGCCCCTAGTCAATTTAGGAAGATTGCCTACTTCGAAGGATTTGATCAAACACGTCCTTGTCTAAGCAATCCAGTGACATCACTATACGGTAGTGACTACACGCATATTGTTCTCGCATTTGCCGGTATTACCCCCGACTTTCAGATTAATGTCTCGACAATCTCGACCCAGCTCAACGAATTCAAGGAATTGGATGGTAACTTCAAGAAGATAGTTTCCATTGGTGGATGGGACTTCTCAACCTCACCATCTACTTACAATATATTCAGAGAGATAATGGCAGAAGAAAACCAGGACGCTTTTATTACAAGCATAATCTCATTTGTGCAGGAGTACGATCTTGACGGGATCGATTTTGACTGGGAATACCCTGGAGAACCGGATATACCCGGTATCCCCGCTGGAAGTGTGGCTGACGGCACGAATTATTTCCTCTTTCTAGTTACACTAAAATATGAACTCGATATTCAAGTACCTGGAACGACCATCTCAATTGCCGCACCAGCATCTTATTGGTACCTACAAAACTTCCCTATCCAGGCCATTTCAACTACAGTAGACTGGATCATTTTCATGACCTACGATCTTCATGGCCAATGGGACTATGGTAATGCCAACGCGCAACCCGGCTGCTCGGCCGGCAACTGTTTGAGATCTGATGTGAACTTGACTGAGACGGTCAATGCACTTTCTATGATCACAAAAGCAGGAGTACCATCGTCCCAAGTTGTTGTCGGCGTCACAAGCTATGGAAGAAGCTTCCAAATGACTACTGCAGGCTGTTATACTGAGATGTGCACGTATACGGGTCCTGCGTCTGGAGCTTATCCCGGGTCTTGTACAAACACCGCGGGATACCTTGCCAACGCAGAAATTGCATACGCGAATTCAACCGGGACAAATGTTCTTCAGACCACAGATTCTGAAAGTTACGTTGATATTTTGGTGTGGGATGACACTCAATGGGTCTCCTGGATGTCCGATTCAAACAAAGCGGTCCGAACATTATTTTATCAGGATCTCAATTTTGGTGGTACGACGGACTGGGCCGTTGACCTTCAAGGAACGGCCGACACTATTACAGGCCAGTGCAAGTCTCTGGATCAAACTGACACAGGATTTCCTACCTGCATACCACTCAATCCAGACACAGGCTGTATTGCTGGCACTGCGGGTGATGTCAGCTCCGAATACGAATTTCTCTGTGAGTTCAGCTGCCAGTATAATTACTGCCCGGAGCCATTTTGCACTTGCACCCAGAATGGGACGCTTTTAGAGCAGCCTACCGAAACCACAGGTTCCTTCTGTCCCGTCTCGACTCTAGATAGCAGCTACCAGCCCCTTTGCTCCTTTGATTGTGGTCTCGGATACTGCCCAGATGCCTATTGTGTGACCTCATCTGATGAAGAAATGTGCATCAATGATCCATACACTGGGGCGATATTTGTAGAGGAATTTAACTCAGACTCGAGTTGCGCTGAGCTAATAGGATGTAAGTAGAATACCCATCTACTTTCTGGCTTTACGGCATTCGTTGTTCGCTTTGCGCTTAACTCTGACACACTACTACTTGCCAGATCAAACTATGCAAACTTACTATTGGAACGATGTCGATACTACCACGGCATTCACGAATTATCTCAATTCGTATAAAGATGACGGCGACTTTATTGCAGAGTTTGCAGCTCAACTTCAGATGGAAAATGGATTCTCAGATTGTGGATCTATTAGCGATACCTGTGAGATTCCAGACTGTACCCTATCCACGGCCGGTACGGGCTGGAAGTATTGTGTTTTGGTATCAATTGGTAACCTGAACAAGGTATGAATATTATCTTTTTTATCAAATAATACCATGAGAGAAGGCTGTTGACACCTGGATTTGAGTTGCTCGCGAAAATCCACGATGCGGTCCAGAATATGCCGGCCAACTTCAGCACACGTGCTGACACGATTTATTCTACATTCMCCTGGCCCCCTGCCACAGACGAGAGCCTACTCTTGACCGAGCTCATGACTGGAATAAGCACTGGTATTTCGGTACTGTCTACGCTAACCGGCGATGATGTTGTCGCTGCAGGCGGCGCATTCATAGGCGGAATGATCTCTGAAGGAATGGCTGCTGCTCAGTCGAGTGCCACGACAGCAAACAACCTGTCTATGTGAGTGACTTTGTATTTCTATCTTCTGCCATGAACATTACAAAAGACGGAGTAGCTGCTGACGTGAGTGGAATGCAAAGCTCTGCGTCAAAATGGGCAGAAGGTTTCAACGACCAAATGGACAATATATGGAGCTATACTATCGCTAATGGCAACGTATCAATGATCTCTCTTTTTGAGAACGGCGCCTTTTTAAGAGAAGAGACGATGCCACTTATCAGCACTGACAACAACACATTAGTGACCACTGATACAATATCAACCGACCTGAACTACGTCTGGGATGCTTCGATTGTCAACACACTGTGGAACCAAAGCTCGGTTTTCCTATACTGCTATCCAATGAGTGAGGATGAATGTATGATCCGTGTCATCCTCCTTGTTTTCCCTGTGTCTCATGAACTAATGGACCTTCCAATGGAAGTCAATAGCAATAGTGGAAAATACCCCACGGATCTTCAGGCCTGGGTCAGTCAGGATTCTGGCTACGGATGCTATCTTCAAGGGTGAGTCTCTATGCTTGATTCGCCTCAAAAATGCTAAATAATCTACCCTGCGCAGAATTAGTGACTACAACGTTATATACACATATGGCTTKCCCCCYGGTTATGATGTAAGGAAACATGCCCATTTCCAGTTCGACCAATATAGAAAACTAAAGATGACTATACAGCAACTCGGGGGATATCGATTCACTGCTATAGATGTTATTCAAAGCAGTTACGCCAGTTTTGTCAAGGGCGGTTTTAACTACCAGCCTGCCGTAGACAATACAGTTCAATCGGTTCTGGCATTGTCGAGCACAGCTGTGACAAGTACTGCAATATACACAATGGCAGGAACTTTTACGCTCCCTATTTGTGACCCCTCGGGTTCATGGTCAATGGATGATTTTTACACCAATATGAATTACACCGGATACGGTTATACAGCCAGGTGAGCAGTCAGGGATTTCTCTTAGTCGTTACAGCCCATAGCTACCTTTTCCATACTGTTTAAATTACCAGTTGACATTTATATGCTATGAAACTAACACGAGCGCCCATTAGTGTCTGTGGCTGTCAGGATTATGCCGACAAAAACGGTGTGACCTTTTCAGACTTTATTGGGATTGGTGATGGATGTTCCTGCGGAGGAGGAGCTGGATGCTGTGTAACTACAGGCACCGGTGTTGATGAGTGCCCATAGGTAACCAATATATCTTATATGGGTGATTCGATGATTCGTATACATGTACCCAAGCAGGCATCACAACTTCCAGTCAATGATATGTACAACCAGCAGCCCCAGGGCTTCTCTCCTAATCCTGTCACCGTTGCGCCACAATACATACTTGATTGCCAACAATTGAAATTGCTCGGGCTGATACAGTTAAAATTGATGTTGTCGCAATCACCACCGCGCAATTTTCAATACACTGCTGTGGCCACATACTCTGCTCATCTAGAAGAAGCGGTATCTACCATAGGTAATCCTACATCACCCCGCTTCCATATGGAAGTCCCAGAATCCTAGAAATCCTTGTTAAAAGTTGTACCATCTTTCTTGAGGGTTTCTTATTTAAGCCAAGTATGGGAGAATCTTTCATATACCAATTTGGAAGGACAATTATCTGGTTAAAGCCCGAATAGCTGATAAAAGGGTGTCCACACACGACTTACTGATAGTATAAATATTCATGACTTACCTAAGGTGAGCGCTGATTCTACGCGAGGCACGGCACACAGGCGATGCTGAAGCGGCCCCAGCAACTGATCTGAGTACGTAATTTTAAATCCTAGGTAGAAACAAACATCCTACGAACGTCAGCGCAGACGTATTAGGCACAAGTGCAAGTGGCTATCTTACCAGACACACCGGCGCACAATCCAAGGATGTTGGCATTACTTGCGTCGAAATACATTTTCATGGCTTTCGTCGCGTCCTTGAAGAAGCAATTGAGAGACCACACCGTGTTATCAATATGATTAGCATAAGAAGTTATTATACAAGGAAATAAATTGAATGTATCTTATTTCAGAATAGGCAGGGTGGACATGTTTGTTACCGGAGTGAAGTTGCACGCCGAATGTTGCTTTATCTCCGTGGCTAGACAGTATATTTGCTACAGAGCAAAGCAAATGAAGGCACCCATCAAACCAGCGGTAAGCTTGTTAGCTACGCTGGATAGAGTAGGAGCCGCATTTTTTGCAGCTGTGGTACTCGTAACCCTGCTTGCTTCAGTACTCAAAGCTGGTGGAAACGTCGTTATGGGAGAAGGTATGGTGGCTGCCGTGGGAACAGTAACGGTTGTAGCAACGGACACCGAGATTGAGACGGCTCCGGGAATGGCAATCGTTGAACTATTATTGATCTCCAGGATGTTATCTGGGCTGGATTTGGTGAAGTCTCGCTGGGCCAAGGATATTTCGTTGTTGGGCAAATCATAAACCGTGTAGACTGAGCGTAGAAAGTTGGCACCCAAGATTGCCGCCTCGTCGCCACTCGGAACAATAGTGAACGCACATGAGTTGCCGTCATCGTTTTCAGTAAGGAAGAAACTCAAGGGTATATTGATGTCGAAATTAGAGAAGGAGAAGGTGACGTTGTAGTTCTGATAGCCCACGCTGCAATCCGTGATTTCCCCAATCTGACCATTCCGACTGAATGAAACATTCAGATCCCGATAAATGTTTTCCACAACGTCGTCTGGTAGGTAGGTCCAAAATACGTTGCTATCCAATATCATATATGCTGGCAGCCCAGATATATCACTTTTAGCAGAAGTACTGGAGTTGCTTTGCACGACGACATTTGAAACAAGGACCATGGGTAGATGATGGACTCCATCAGCAGCGGCAGGAATGGACGTGGTGTACAGCTCGCCAGTGTACTTGGCTGAATTAACACCGCCTAAAAGAAGAGTTCCACTATCTCCGGAAGGATCATCCGCCCAGAGACTGTACGCAGCGGAATTGATTTGACCGCTCTTGACTAAGGCTTGGGGAAGACTCGTGGAGGAATTGTTGGATGAATATCCGAGACCCAGGATGTTAATAGCTTCCAAGTCATATTGAACAGCTAATTCCATGTTCATAGTTGCAGATCCAAGTGTTAATGTATCAGTCCCAAGTACACCGGTCAGCATTGTGCCTGTTGTATAAGTCTCGTTGATCTGACTGCCGGTGGCTGTGTATGTTGAGGATGCACTGATATTGAAAGATCCCGGTGTAAGGCATTTTTCCGAGTCGGAAGAGGTCTCCGTACAGGCTGAAGAGTTAGATGCTATCACGAACAAGTAGCTGCTTCCCGTGTCCAGTTGTGCCTCCACCTGCTGTGGAGGTGTTCCCAAACTGATATTGCAAAAAAAAGCAGGGTACTCAGAATTCTATATAATAGTCAATTATGGACTTGAGCAGATTTTTTGACTCTATAGAACCTCAATCAAACTTAGCATTTCGTACCTGAATACCGAGGGGCGAGGAAGCCGTGGCTGCTCGCTCTTGCAAACGGCCCAAATTAGTATCTCTGCGTCGTTGAACAGGGAAGCTAAAAACCGCCGGCTCATCTCGTTTTTGAAGAGACAATGCCTGGGCTCCGGGGAGGGCCATCAAGGCCAAGCAAAGGAGCGACATTGCTCGCTTTCATATATGGTGATACCCGTGGTCTTGGATAATGAAGAGCTTGGATTATTTTAAGATCTAAGCAGCGGAAAATTGATTTTAACTACAAACTTCGCCGACGGTGGGCACTGAGAAAGCCCCTTACTCTCGACTGGAGACCGTGTGGCGGCGGTAGGTAGCAGCTCTAAGGACTACAAGGGATATACGGAGTAATTACCCCGTATACGTAGTAGTTTGATCACACGGCTTGCACCTAATTACCGGACTAGTAACCCTGTACTGAGTACGCACTAGCAACATGGCTAGTAGTATTTGTTCAGAAGCTAGTAAAATCGCTAATGCAGGAACTACTTCATAACGTTGCTACGTACTGAGCTTATCGTACCCTAATTGCATCATATTATCTAGATAGTCCAGAGTCTCAGTAAATGATTATACAGAGCACATAATGCTCAGTACTATGTCGTCCATGAGCCTCAACCTGGTCATGTTACAAACTCACCTCACTAAGAAAGCTAATAATACCGATTTAATCGCATTTGCGTACTTCGGACAGTCTAGTACCGGCATCTACGTTGGAGCTGAATCCAAAGCTAAGGTATACCAATACCGGTATCGTAGCAATTCATTTCCGAAGTCCAGACCATGAACGGCTCGGACAGCATTATTTGCAATTTTGTGGAGAGGATCGTGGTTTACAATACTACTTTGGATTCGTCGCAAACATGAACGCTGATCATGCCTATGTGCAAAATGCTGTCAAGACTTGGAAGAAGGCACACTGTCTCACTACATACGGTGGGTCAACAACATGGCATTCAATCACCCTCTCAACTCCAGTTCTTCCTACTTCTAATACAAATACCACCATTTCACTTAATGCCACAAGTGCAACAGCATTACACAGCCGAGCTTTATTTGCTCGTTCAAATTGTTCGACTGTCGCCGTTGCCTCGGGGGACACATGACACAGAGCAGCCTCAGTACGTACCTTGCGTATGGCTTTAACTATGCTGCTCCGATTGACAACAGCATAAAAGATTTCTTGATATGAGCGAGACAGAGCTGTTCACTGATCCTTTCTGGGAGTCAGCTGGGTTGTTTAATCTTCCAATTTGCATCTACGCCGGTGATGAGTTAACGTCGTTCTATTCTCAAATGAACACCCCTAAGAATAGTGGAGATGGAGCATCTGCAAGGTATGCAAATAAAACCTGACTTTTGTGTAGATACTGACCAGAATATTTCCTCATCAACTGTAGTTGGTGTGATTGCCAAGCGGATAAGAACTGTAAAGACTTTGCAACTTTCGTCACATCTGTCAACGATGGTAGCTGTATTTGCGATACAGCCGGTTGCTGTTATCCTATTGCTATTGAATATGCTTAGGCACCTGATACGGAACCGAGCCGAGTTCGAGAGGGAGATGGCTGTATTTCATGTTGATATTCTTCCATACATGTATCACTTAGTCAAGGGGTCATGGGTGATCAAAGGACCAGACAAGAGATGGACCAGATTTTATCATTATTCTGTCGTGATACTATTCTCCTACCTTCCTCTATGCATGCTTTGGCATTCGCAACACCTAACAGCAGACGATTGAGTGGAGTTAGGGCTGCGGTTAGGGTCAGGTCGTCCCAGAAATACACTATATTGGTAATTCAATACGGTACAGTATGTTACTCAGGTGGGCCAATTATATTATCCGATAAATTACAGAATACAATCTTGCCATGAGTTTAATTATTCCACACACTTATTTCATCAACAATGAGTACATACAACAAACAACCACATTGAAACGAACACCAAGATCTAATCTACTAATATAGGCAATATGGATTACAAGATATCGGAAGACAGCACTTCCTTTCCCTGGGAACTGGGCGTCTTCGATGCCCACTGTCACCCCACCGATACAATGACATCAATATCAGACATCCCACACATGCGCGCCACAGCCTTAACAGTCATGTCAACACGTGGAGAAGACCAAGAACTCGTAGACGAAGTCACAAAGCGACTTGGAGATTACCATCATGACTCCAAAAATGAAAACGGAAAAATCGTGCCATGTTTCGGGTGGCATCCTTGGTTTGCGCACCAGATACGCGCTGAGGAAGATGAAGATAACACGAGGGAAACAAATATATCACAACATTACCGAAACGTTCTTACAGGCACAATGGGAACCGAAAATGACGATACTGCCTTCTTCAAAACTCTACCAACCCCCAAACCACTTTCGACGTTACTCTCAGAAACTAAAACTCGCCTGTTGGCACACTCCAACGCCCTCGTCGGAGAAATCGGGCTCGACAAGGCATTTCGCCTGCCCATGCCATGGCAAAAGGATGAACTTGACTCCCGGAACGAGGGTCTAACACCGGGTTCACGCGAAGGGCGCAAATTGTCACCCTATAGGGTGAGCATAGCTCATCAGAAGGCGTTACTCAAGGCTCAATTGCAGCTTGCTGGAGAATTACGTCGCGCTGTTTCGGTGCATAGTGTACAGGGGCATGGTGTTGTGCTAGAGTGTTTTCAGGAGTTGTGGAAGGGGTATGAGAGGAAGGTTGAGAGTAAACGGAGCCGGAAGAAGTCGGTTAATCAGGGACGGAATGAGGAAGACGAAAAACATGATGAGGAAGAAAAAACGTCGGAGGCAACGCCGTTACCATATCCGCCACGAATATGCATGCATTCATACTCCGGATCTCCGGAAGCAGTAAAACAGCTCCTGCGTCCTAGTGTGCCGAGTGATGTGTATTTCTCGTTTTCGACTGTTATCAATTTCACAGGGCCAACTGTGGATAGGGTTAAATCGTGTTTGGAGTCATTACCCGATGATAGGATTCTGATTGAGAGTGATCTGCACACTGCCGGAAAACAAATGGATGATTTACTTGAGGAAGTCGTCCGAACAGTCTGCTATGTAAAAGGCTGGTCTCTTGAAGATGGAACGAAGTTATTAGCCGAAAATTGGAGACGGTTCGTCTTTGGTTGATTAGTGTAATTAAGCTAGAGTATAAATACAGATGTCCGCCCATGAGTGAAGACTTATAAAAGTTTTTGGTCAGATCGTAGATAACTGCTCAAAACCTCTACGCGAGTTTTGGCAGCTTGATCGCCGGCATTTGCCGGACCCGTGAGGATCTGAAGCATATGCTGCAAATCGCTTCGTGCTCGTTCCCAGAGTGGATCAAGCGAAAAACTCCGTCTGGGACGTCTTGGGGTTCTTGTCGAGTTTGCATCGATACTGTCTTGTCGTCCTCTATCGCTATCACGTTTCTTGAGTAGATGTGCCACGGTAATCTGTAAAATTTAGAAATTCCACTCGACTCGAAGAGAGTATGCAGAACAAACGTACCGAAGTTGAAAAAGCCCGATGGCAAAAAGACCACCAAACACTACTTTCTCCACCAAGGACTTCATGAATCACGAAAAACGCACGCATTGACTCATACGCCGCGTCCAATGTTCCCTTTGCATATTTCTCGACACTACTTGGGCCTTTGAACTTTCTTCCTGATTTAGCCCAATGCTTCTCTTGCAATTCACTTTCCTCTATCCCCTCGCATTGAATCAATGTCACGCAATGCCAGTAGAGTCCCGTGAGGAACATGATCTGTCGAACAAGACGTTTGCGTCCCTGTTCAGCCAAGGTCGCAATTGAGGTCTCGTCCCAAGCGCGAAACTCATCCGGGAAAGTGCGGTAGGTAGCGCGGAAGGCTTCCATTAGTCTATCTCTCTGGCGTCGGTTGGTTGCTATTGGAGTCGATAAAGACCGGGCTTGCACTATAGTATCGCGTGCAAGCAGTGCAAGATTATACATGCTTTGCACATAGCCGGTGTCAGAATGGCCGACCTCATTGGAGAAATCCTCACTGGCAGCATCCTTGCCACCCGCTTCGGCGATACTATAGGACGAATCGTCATTATCGCGCTGGGGTGTCGCAGCCCCGACATCGCCATGCATCGCAGCCGGCGGAAGTCCGAGACTCATACTCATAAAACTGTCCTGGCACACAATTCCATGCCAAAGTCTCCTTCGCTCCAGGATCTGGAATGCATTGAACTTTGCTCCGAACAGAGTTGGCTCACGGTTGATTCCGTAAGCAGTTGCTTGTCTCACCAATGTCCCGGAAAATGCCCAGCCGTCCGAGGCTCGGCCGGAGTTCATGAGAAAATATGTCATAAATACCATTGCCTGGAGACAGCGCACCGACGTTCGATTCAGGTATGAATATAGCCGCATGCTCTGATAACACGCACTAGAATAAAAATCTGCAACACCCTGGAGTTGGTCCGGTGACCCGGGTGCCTGCAAGAATTGGGTACCCATGGCAAGGACCATGAAGGCAAGGGCAAGAAAGTCAGCGTCCACATGCGGTTTTTGGTTGTTGTCGAGTTCCCAGAAGCCTTCATAATCAATGTAGAATCTTTCCCGGCTGATTAAGGGGTAGACTGGATCGACGGCGTCGAAGAAAACGGTCACCAGGCTTTGAGCAGTCAGAATCAAGTCATAGAAAGGGTTGGGCGACTGGCATACATATCTGCTTGCTCCTTCCTTGGAAAGACTTTCAACACCTCTGCTACCCCTCCATTCTGGGTCCAGTAATTACTAAATGGATAACTTCACAGACATCAGCACCAGTCCACGAAGCAAGAAATAGGAAACATACTCCGTGCCAATCCCGAATATCGTAGTAGTAGACCCTATTTCAGAGTATGGTGGGTTGCTAAGCAATAGATCCGTGCCATCTTGATGCGTGAACAAGGCGGGTTTGGATCCGGTCGAAGATGCTGGGGAGCCATCCTAGACGATATTTAATCAGTCCTTATTCCAAAATTGGATTTAGTGATAGTTGACTAACAATTTCACTGGAACTCTGTTTTTGCTGCTGTTGCTGCTGTTGTGCTTGTGGCTGTGGCTGTGGCTGCAGCTTCGACGCCTTCGGTTGGATTTTTCGACGAGCAGTCGGCTTGCGAAGAGAATCCCTACGGTCATATCGAACGTAAGTTCTACCGTACAGTCCAGGGCAGGAATATGGTGGTACTGACTCGACTGTATCAGCTGTGATTCTGTAAATACACTCGGTTTCTCTCCGGATACAAGAGAGACAGCTATATCGTATAGTCAGTCAGCATTAAAACGAACATGGGGTTGATTGGAGACACGTACTGCGGCCGCCCTCGATCACACTGCACATATGGAACAAATTAGTCAATGTCATCGATGAATCACATGTCACTGTGTGCAACATAGAGAAGAAAAATAGCCAAGCTTCATATACCCCGGCCCCATAACCGTATTCCCGCCAGCCAACTCCGGAGCAGCCCTAAAACCGGTAAACTAAGGGGAAAGCGGAGTATATCTGGCCGGAAATAACACTTGATCGATGCCACAAGAATGGATATATGTAAAGTCATGGTGATTGACCAACGGTCGAGCTTTGTTTGTGATGACAAACCATGGGATACTCATAGTGGGGCTACCTCCTTGCATGAATCGTACGATAGATGACAAACAAAGAAGAAACTAAAAGGACTTATAAAACTCACCCTTATCTTCTTTCCGACACATTCTCTGCAGCTCAACGTCGGCTTGTTACGTTTTCGTCTCTTCTTCTCCCGTTCGTCGGCTTCGATATTTTTGACGGGTGGTTCTTCATCTTCTGCATCTTCGTCATCGTCGTCGTCGTCGTTGTCATCTTCAGATTCTTCCTCTACCTCATCACGCCTCCACTCATCATCCAGCGGCTCTTGTTTGAAGATGGTGGAAGATGAAGTAGAATACGGTATAGGATGTACCTGATTGTACCGCGACGAGGGTTTCTTGTACTGTTGCTGTGAGGCCGATGCGGTACTTGTCCAGTCAGGATGGAAGATATGATCTGTAGTGCCGGTACCACAAGCAGCGCTGTGTTGAGAACGTGGTAATTTAGAGTTGGCGTCCTCAACTAGTGAAGAAGACACCTCCAAACTCCTTGATAAATCATTCAAGGAAGCAAAAGAAGAAGTAGTAGGACCAAAAGTAAAAGGACCGGAAGAGCCAGTCGGGACGAAGCCGAATCTTTCATCGGCCATGGTAATCCTTGAATTATCAAAGGAACTAAAACCCAATCAAAGAACCGTGATTAGTGCCCACTTTCTTCTGATTTGCACACCTTCCAAGCTTATTATTATTATTTTTTCTTTCAAGATAATAAGGTTGCTTTGTTCCAGTCTGAACTTATCGAGAATAGTGAACTAGCTCAGATTGAGCGAGTCAACTAGCTACACGGTGGCGGAGACTATCGTGTAGCATTGGCGGGGTTTTGGCGAATGTGTCCGACTGACTCTGACAACGGGGCTGGACACAGATAGAAATGTAGGACAGGCTGAGATGGTTTCTTTTTGTGTAACTCTTCGTGATCGGCCAATCGTTACGCTAAATTGTGGCCGGATATGCATTGTGCAGCGTCAAATCTACAGTTGGTGGCCTCATGGGTGAGGAAAGCGGTCCAATGATAATCCCTGTCTACTCGCTCGCTAGGTGCAGATTCTTGTAAGATAGATAAGATAGCTTAGTTTTCGAGATCTGAAATCTCGCCGATGGACGAACTGCGGTCAGAAGAGATAAGTATGTACTGGTAGCATATTGGCGACGTATAATTAATCATGTCCAGCAAGTTTTGCCTCACGTTGATACGCTCCCAAGCTTACGCTCATCCGAAATACGCCGAGAAAGAGGATCACTGTCATTTCAAAGACAGCTAGCTGGATTTTCCGGCGATCACGGTGGCCAAATACTCTCCTGAAGCAAATCAGACATCTGCGGTTCCATATACAACTGACGCCATTCCTCTTCTATGTCCATCAATCCTTCTATATTCATCGGTCCGGGTTCTTCCAAGCCTGCGAATGGGAATAGTTGCTTCCAATCTAGAAAATTTCCAGAGTGTTCCGAGCCTTCTGCATGATGAGTGGTTGACCCATCATTTGGTTCATCGGGTACATTTCCACCGTATTGAAAATGCCCGCTTAGTCCGGTTTCGTTGTGGATTTGGGGATCCGGGTCCCTTGATGCGTTTGCTGAATCAATCACATTCCCTTGATGGATAATATCACCGCTTACTCCATCCTGGGTATGTGGTTGTGAAAGTACCGCCACCGAGATAGGTACTACTGTAGAAGTAGATCTCGTCTCAACAGACATGTCATTTTCCTGGGTTTGTCTAACCTGTCCTGGTGCTTCATCATGGACAAGACGAAGATCCTGCTGAAGCTTCTTTGAGTTCTCAAATAGACGGAGGATCGTCTCGGCACTGAACCAGTAATCGGCCAAGCAGCGAAGTGACGAGAGTGTAGAATCAAAGCGCCTGAGAGCGTTGATGGCTAATATAGGATTTGAAAATCGTAATTCGACCCGCACTTGGATCATGGCTGTAAACAGTGTGTGGACTCCGGAACACCAGAGGTATTTGATGCAGTCCTTCTGCCGGAGTTCCTCAAAGATAGAAGTAATGACACCTGCTGCAGCGCTGCAGATTTCGGCATCATGTGGACCATAATCCTCTGAGTATGCGGATGCTCGAGGATGGGGCCGATGGAGCAAGATTAGGAAGTTGTTGTATGTAAGATGAAGCATAGCCGACCACGAATCCATAGATCCTCTCAGCCGGAGAGAGTCTGGTAGACTCAGCGACCAATTTGCCAACGCTTCGTCGGCCTCTGGAAGTATAGCCTTCCGGCGCTCCATGCTGACCGTTAAGCCGAATCTTTCACGAATGATATATGAGATCATCGAGCACAACCCAGAGAAATGAATTACGAAGTCTATTTGCACTCGGGGGCCACAACCGACAAAGTCTGCTGGTGTTAAAGGGCGTACGTCGCTGTCCTCTAGATTGCTAGAGCCCCAACGTCAATTAAAAGTATCATTGCTAGAATTCGACATCACTTACATTGCCTGAGGTCGACCATAGGATAATGATATCAACACATCGTACTGCACAAGGATCCACCACACGCGGCGCCATGTTCGACGATCAGTCGCAACAAACTTATTCGACATGGGATCGCGATGCATTCCCAGACCCGTCGCAATTCGAGCCGCTACTCCCACCCAATAATGAGCATTGGCGGCGACATCGTCATCAAGAACATCTGAATGCCACGTCAACAGCAGCGCGGCTTGCACGAGTATGTCTCGATTGCGCTCTATTCGATTGTCAAACAGCCATTTACATCGGCGATAAAATACATTCTTCAGCTCTTCTCTTTCTGGGCTATTGCGAGAGACGTGCACACCACACAGCAGGATGGCTTGAAGGAGCAATACCGGTGGTGGGTTCGACGGGTCTCTGTTGCGGTATTGAGACATGAACAGTTCTTCCTCGACAAGAGGGTAACCGGGGTTGATGTGTTTGAAATATGCATCCACTAATTCATCTGCAAGTGGCTTTTCCGGTAGAGTCAGAGCGTCCTGCAAGAATTGATCGTGTCCTATTTCCAAGCGACGTCGTGGTATTTCGTTACCGGCGACATGATATGAAATTTCATCGCCTCGCTGCTGGCGGAGAAGAAAGGACATGTTGGACACATCGTGGCCTACATATATCGCACGAACGCCATGCTGGATTTCCCTGGAATCATTTTCTTGCTGGTCTATCAGCGTCACGAGACGATTTTCCATTTCGCGCCTATCGTCGCTGGGATTTGACAGTGGTTGAGCAGTATGATGTCGGAGAGTCCCTTGTGCTTGTATTCCGCCTGTACCTGGAGATCCATCGACTGTGCCACCACTAACGTTGTCAGGACGTGGAGTCTGTTGTGAGTCAGGCGATTTAGCCCAAAGAGAATCCGCATTAGTCCCCTGCGAGCGCGAGGGTGCAACATTGGCTTCAAGAGCCGGAGGCGGGCGACTAAGTATAGGAACCGGATTCAGCGTAGAACGAGTCATAGGCCGTCTCTTCTTCTCGTGTATGCGACAATCTGTCCTGCCCGACGACTGGCAATTGGAGCACGGGAACCCAACGGATTGCGCATCGCATTTTACTTTTCGGCGGTGACAATGAACGCAGGCGGCCCCTTTACCGAGAGATATGTTAGCTATATGTGCGATACAAGGCGGAGATACATACCTGGCCGTCGCTTGACTATGCCATTGCCGGATGATAGTCGAGTCTCTTTTTCAGCCGAAGCCATGGATCCAGAGGTGTATAGAGCTGCATTGACTTGAGGATAGCTATTCTTTGAGCGCTCTGGTTGCATTCATAGTCGCATGACGAACATGATTGACATCAACAAGGACATATATCCATTGCTAAGGTTTCTTTCTGAAGAGCCAGGAGGAAACTGCTCAGTTCCGAGAGGCTCTATCGGAATTGGAGAAGGCACTGGGGGATCTTATCATTGACCAATCAGATCAATATACAATTAGCCGACACGTGACTTCCCCGCAATATGGCGTTCTACGGTGAGAATGTTGGGGAGAACAATCAGTCAGTCAGTGTCGAGATAATAAATTCTTAATTCACTAAAAATAAATAATCATGATAATCCATCCCATTGTCCATGACCCCAAATACCTAAGCGCCTGCTCGAGCCAGCGTCGTTTCTAAGCATCGCTGCACCGTAAGCAAATCGATCAACATCGAACCTCCGGTATGATAAAAACCAAAAGATACGTTGTGTACATAGGGACGACCTTCGAGTGCGTAGAAGTTGCCAAACTGATAACATAGATCGCGCCATCCTCGAGGTCAATCATAACGCCTTTTCTTGTTGTCTGTCGATTGTACATGAGAGTAGAAGAGTCGATTCAAGAAATCAGACAACCTTCGTACTATCCCAGGGAATTTAACAATAAAGCCAAAGAAAGCATGATAAACCCAAAATTCAAGAAGCCTTAAGCTGTCGCATGTTGTTCGCTTAGTGAAACTCCGTTCCAGCACCGTTGTGGCCTTGGCCGACCATAGAGCCATAGCCATAGCCCTCTTGCTCCGAAGGATCTAAGTTCGAAGCGAGCATGTTGTTCGGGTTTTCTGAAGCCGCGAATCCAGCGGGGGCAGCTGCAGCGGCGCCGCGAGCAGCTGGAGCGCCGCTTGAGCCACCGACTGGTCCACCAGCATTATATCCACTGCTAGTAGGTCGGTTTTGATTTTCTCCACGAGCAGATTGCGTCTACAGAGTGTTAGCCATATAATTGTGCTCGAGCTGGGACCTAGAGATGGGAAAACCGAAACGCACTTCACGATATTTGGAGAGATAAATCTTCAAGGCTTCCGCATAGTTCTCAAAACCCAGAGACGTCATAGCAAATAAGATATCTTCGCCATTGACTGTCTTGCGCTTTTCTTGTTGACATTTTTCGGATGCTAACTATGGGTCAGAGATTGCTTACGACATCGAAAACACTTAGACATACCTTCACTAGTAATGAACGAAATGAACTCGCTGACACATTCTTGCATGCATTCCTTTGCCTCTTTTGCGATCTTAGCGTTCTCGGGCAGGGCAGTTTTCATGATACGGGCGACTGTTGAGAGAATCGATCCATGTTAGTGAGTTGTTACTTTGAGATAGTGACGAGACCAAGAAAGTCTTGAACGGTCTCGTGGACCAATGAGCTGGTGAAATGGGATACAAGATGCATATCGCACGGTCGTCAACGACTAGACCAGGCCTAAAATGATAACACCCGCAGGCAAATGATTGGAAAGACCAGCTGCACGCAGCAAGAGCCAGTGACGGGGATGCGCGAAGCAGGGAAGGGCAAATAAGCATTGCGCAATAGGCATAGACTAGACGCAGGAACAGACAAAAAGAGGCAAAAGACATAAAAAGAACGAACCATTTGCAATTGGTAGCCATCGGTCTTGTTCCTTCACCTCAAATTCTTGCCCTTGCCCGCTTGGGTCCTGATTATCGCGGTCCATTTGTTCAGGGTCATCGCCTGACTGATTCTCAGGTTCCACATCTGGTTCTTTTGGGGGGGAGGCCGAAGACATCTTTTTAGGTCTTGTCTGCGGATGGCGGTGATATAGGGGGTAGTCCGATCGAATTGCTCTGCTGGCAAGTTGACCACGTCAGAGGGGGTGGTGTGGGCGTGCCCGCGCGATTTTTCGGGTCCAAGGGCGCGATAGATGCAAGCACTGCGTCACAGTCCGGCTGGCTGGGCAGCGATTTACCTCGCAGGAGCCCAATATAGTTTGAATTAGACTTGTTCCGCGTGGGGGATTGAGGCGCAGAGTAGACTATGTGGTCGGTAGTGAGTAAGTGCTTGAGGATGGGTTCTCTGGCGGTGTGGATGAGGCGCGCCAACGGGCTAGAGCGACTAACGCGCGAAAACCACGTCGGTGGAGATGCGATTGCGGCGGAGAAAAGCGACAGGGATTGCTGCAGCTTGGAAGCTGACGAAATCAAGCGCGTTTTATGATGATAAATCGAAGAACAGGTCTTGCAGCTGGTGAATTGCAGGAAGAGAAGACCTATGGCGAGGGAAGGTCCGTTAGCTAGGTAACCAACTAGCTTCCGGCGACGGCAGGAGGGGGAGGCTGACGTTGTGTGGGGGTCTGCCAGATGCCAGAGAGATGTTGTTCAGTCAATTATCGACTGGATTATTAATTCTTTCACTCTTTCCGATCACTTCTATGTTTGCAATTATCTGAACATCAGCTGTTGCTACGTTGTTTCGACCCGTCTTCTCTTCAGCCTTGCGCGACGTCAACAAACCGGGGATTATTTAAGATTAAACAGTCCCCCCGTCAATTGGCGAACCAGAGACGTGCAGGAAAGACGCGACTTGCGGCCTCTGGCCACTCAGCGCCCGTCGCAAGCCCAAATAGCGACGAGAGGGCGATCCGACGTGCTAAGTGGTGGACTCGTTTGTTTACTCGATGATTTGAGAGCTTCATTCAGCTACTTGGAAGCACCACTAATAAATCTGAGAGTACCACCATTGCCCGTCAACCATCATGAAGTTCAAAAGGAACACAAGAGACATTTTGATTGTGCAGGCGTACGAACGGATCGCCCGGAACGGTCGTATCAAGAGCTGTTTTCGGCCGCAAAGGAAATGACTATAGATACGCTATGACAATACCATACAATGCTTTTTGCGGAAACTCCCGTACGAAGTCGGATATCGATACGGTAAGTTACGGTATCACCAGGCTTTCAACACACTAACATGAGCATTAGGCGCCAGCTTGCATGTCTAGTATGTGATTGTAAGCTGGGTTAGTTAGTGGTGATGATAGCTACTCACTGATCCCTTAGAGCCCGACTTGACTGGTTGTCATTGTCTGATAGCTAATCGATCTACATCTCATAAGGTTCATTAACAACAATCGCTTGCTAGATCTACCATCCTATGGTCGAACCCCTGCCAGTGCTTCCTTCTTGCGAACTTGTCGGGTCACAAACCAGTCCTTCATCTTCGGCGACCGTCATAATCGGAGTTGTGCTCAAACCGGGGTGAATCATAATCCTCGATGTGGCACATCTGATGGATCGCTACACGACCACCGTGCACGACACATGTATAAAGATGACACAATGACATGACGTCGAAGCTATGTCCAACCTTGACTGCCTGTCTCAGCTCTTCGAGTCTCGGTATTTACAATCTGAGATGCAGTACAATCCGAGCCGGGTTGTACGACCAGCTAATCCAGCGCACAGCAAACCAACGACCATCTATGGCTCAAAAAGTAAGTCAGATAGCGTTACGCATAAGACCTGACCCGTCACCAACAATTCTGAATCTCGCGGCCAGTAGGGCGGAGGCCCAAAATGATGGAAGACTTCATGGTTGGTACCTGAGGCTGCAAAGATGAACTGACATGCCAACGTCCTCGCGCAGACGTGTAGGAATATTGCCAGTTGGAACAAAAAATTTTCCATGGCGCTAATGCAAGTGGTACAAGCCCAGTTCAAACCTTGCATAGAAAAAAAAGAGAAACAGAGATTTGCATGTATGATGCAAGGCCTTGATTGCGCCTGATTGGGCTGTGTTACTCTAGGACTACGTTAGGGCCTTAAGGCTTAGACTAGCAAAGACAACTCACAACCACACCTCCCCCACCATCAGACTAGAATTCTCATGGAGGGTAGATGACGAAGCATATCATAGAAAATTTGCACCGTTGCTTTTGCTCAATGTCTCATTATCACTAACTATTAGTATGGTATCTAGCTACTGTCCTGTCCCTCTCCGAATTGGCGCCTCGCAATTGCATCACACAACTGTCAAACTGTCAGGCACGATTGCATCCATGACTGATAGATTCGAATCCCATAGAATCATCGAAGTCAGTCTACGCAAACCCCTGTGACTACATAAGTCGTATTGTAACATTCCTTGGGCGATAATTGCGTGTATCACAGTACAGACAAGAAGTCCGCCCAAAGCAAAATCGTCCTCCGAAAAGGGCTTGCTGATTGACTTTCAAAGCGTATTCCCGGTGCCGGCCCGGAGTATCTCATCAAGTTTGTATGCGCCGCTCTTTCGGGCGGTATGTAGTAATGCCTCGAGAAGGCATCAGAGGTAGACTCACACCTCATTGCTGCACGACCTGGACATTATTCTTTTTCTGTTCGTAGAGTCAGCAACCACTCCTCAACTAAACTCCAGCTTATCTCATCCAGCAGAAGACAAGAAAGACAAACCTTCCAGTTATCCATCTCCGTCTGCTTGGCCTTGTATTGCTTCACCATCTCATCAAGAACCTGCTTCAAGCCATCGGCATTCGTTTTGAGCGAAGGCACGACATCTCCCACTGTTCGTTCGACGAGAACACCGTTAACGAGGCGGAAGCATTTGCGATCTGCCGAGAGGGGTTCGAGGGTTTCGATGACTAGTCTTATGCCAATGATTAGCTGGGTGTTTTCCAAAAACGATCGAGCGGAACGGGTATTATGGTTTGAATTTTTGTCGGCAAGTTGAAACTCACTTATGTTCCTCGGTTTCTTGCTCTATATCGCCGATTTTCTGTGCCATGCTCTGCAGCGCATTCTTGTAGTTGGAGTATTGGAGCTGGAGCTCTGCATAATCCATGTGTTAGACAATCAATTTTTCGAGAGCCATCAATGGCCAAGATCGGGATTTAGACTAACCCTGTTGTTTCCTCACGCTGACCTGTTGCTGCGAAGCCATTTTGAGCTTGGACTCGACGTGGAAAGCTATCGGACAAGGTACTGAGTTGAAAATGCGTCGTGGATTGAATGGATTGTTTGATGCGGGGTGGCTTCGGCGGCTTGGCAAGATTGATGCCACATATCTCAGGTATCCACGGAGCTCTGTGCATGAGTCGATTCGAGTCATAATGCTTTCTAAATTAATTGAATGTTTTCTTTATACATACTTTTCCATTATGTTGATATTTTCTGATTTTATTCATATGGAAGCTAGCTCTCAGCGTAGTTCGTGATGTTACTTATTTATGCTTGGAATCACCAACCACATAGATTGCATACCTTTGTGAATTAGATCGAGGCCATCATCATCCAAATGACTTCTGTCTCCCGGAATGGGCTCGTCTGGGACGAAAGCGGACTGGACATCACGCCAGTATGGAACAGAGAGCTGTCATTGGAAGCCATCACAAACGTATGTCGAGAGAAGCTCCAGGTAGCGGGTTCGGAAATCTGTGATGTTTCCTTCTACGCCGCAGGAGCCTTCAACAAGCTCTATCTAGTCCAGACAAATCAACGGCAGCTGCTAATGAGAGTATCGTTGCCTGTTCACCCACAAACTAAGACCCGGGGTGAAGTCACGACGCTCCGGTTTCTCCGCCGAGAGACAGATACCCCCGTGCCCGAAGTTATCGCATTTGACGACTCATGCAACAATCAAATTGGGTTTGAATGGATTCTTATGGAGTTGATGCCGGGTGTTTCAGCATATAAGAAGTGGCGGACGTTTACCACATTCCAAAAAGTGGCCCTTGTCCAACGTGTAGCTGAGCTACAAGCACAAATTTTCCATCATACATTTTCTGGTATCGGAACTCTGACTGTGGGTGATGAAGACCAGAACCACCAAGAAGAACAACCAGGAGAGATGGTTTCGAAGTTTTACTTCTGGGGTAACCATTTTGATTATGACGTTGCCCGTGGACCGTTTCGTTCAACTTATGATTGGCTTGCCTCATATCTCGAGATCATCATCAAAGATCAAATTACGGCCAAAGAAGAAGCTGAAGACGAGGAAGATGAAGAAGACGCTTCATTTGCGTTAGCGCTCGCTCATCGATTGGCCGATCTACTTCCTAAAGTATTCCCTTCGCTCCAGAATCCACCCGAACGATCCGTGATATGGCACGACGATATGTCACTCAGCAACATTCTAGTCAATGAGCAAGGTGAGATAACCGCATTGCTTGACTGGGAATGTGTGTCAGCCTTGCCACTGTGGATGGCTACCGAAGTGCCCAAATTCTTACAGGGATCAACGCGGGAGGAAGAACCAAAGCGGCAAGACTATGCAGATGAAAGCGAGAACGAGTCCAGCATGCCTGGAGATAATGAAGATGACGACCTGGATCATGAAGGGAAAAATGAACTGTATTGGATTCATTTGATGGAGTACGAAAAGACTCAATTGAGACAACTCTACAATACCCAAATGTGCAAATCACGACCAGGTTGGGATGCTGAGATTGAAAAAAACGCATTAAAGGAGGACTTTGTCGGAGCAGTCTTTCGTTGTGGTCAAGGCTTCTTTCTCAAAAGGATTGCGCAGTGGATTGATGCAATAGATAAAGGCCAATTCCCAAGGTTGAAAGATGTCCTAGAGACAGGCTTGAGGTTATAGAGTATTTGAGCGGCTTAGATGACTCTGTCAGCACTTATATTTGATTGACAACTTGATATAATGACATCGCTGAGGTTTAGCCTAATTGCAAACCCTGCTCAGGCTCTTGTTATATCGTTTCCTAGGTGCCAGCTTCTATCACCTACTAAGAGGGCCATCACTATGTTTCGCTTAAATCAATTGGATAGAAAATTGAAATTCCACGACGAATATTTCAGTACATATTTGTAGTCACTCAGGAGAAGACCGAAATGAATAAACATTAACATTTGAGTTCGAAGTTGGTTTGTTTAGGGAGAAACCCCCGCTAACGCGGAACAGGTTAGACAAAAGTAGTTTAAATGGACGCCGTCACAGTTTGCACTGTTTGTCTGGAATCTATATTTCTCCAGAATCTTTACCCAGACCAGCCAGACCGAAACACTCTCCAACACACGGTATTTGCCATATACACGCATCCCGAGCCTGAAGTATATCTAGGCGACCGATAAACAATCCAAAATGGCCCGCGACGATGCGCCGCCGCCCGCCAAAAGGCAGAAAAGCTCCCTGCCCGCGCCACTCCGCGACGCAAAGCGACAAGACATCGACAACTGGGAAACAAACCGCATGCTCACGTCCGGTGTCGCGCAACGACGAGAATTCGCCAGCGACTTTGCCCCCGATGACGATGAAGGGACACGCGTGCMCCTGTTGGTGCACGATTTGCGCCCGCCGTTCCTTGACGGTCGAACGATCTTCACGAAGCAGTTGGAACCTATATCTGCCGTGCGGGATCCGCAAAGTGATATGGCGGTTTTCAGCCGAAAGGGGAGTAAGGTTGTTAGAGAGCGGAGGCAGCAGAGAGAACGACAAAAGCAAGCTCAGGACGCTACTACGATGGCGGGCACGGCATTGGGGAATTTGATTGGCATCAAGGAAGATGAAGGCGACAGTGCTGTGGCAGCTCCGATTGAGGAAGTTTACAAAAATACGAACAAATTCTCGCAACATTTGAAAAAGGATGAAGGCGGTGCTAGTGCGTTTAGCAAAAGCAAGACATTGCGCGAACAGCGAGAGTATCTGCCCGCTTTTGCTGTACGGGAGGATTTACTTCGAGTTATTCGAGATAATCAGGTCATTATTGTGGTTGGAGAAACTGGATCTGGTAAAACGACCCAATTGACTCAATTTTTGTACGAGGATGGATATGGCAAACAGGGTATGATCGGGTGTACGCAGCCTCGTCGAGTGGCAGCTATGAGTGTGGCCAAGCGTGTGAGTGAGGAGATGGCGGTTGACCTGGGGGATCTTGTTGGATATGCGATTCGGTTTGAGGATTGCACGAGTGATAAGACCATTATAAAGTGTGAGTTTATCTTCAGCTTCGTGTGACCACAAGCTAACGTGTATAGATATGACTGACGGTGTTTTACTGAGAGAATCCTTGGTTCAACCGGATCTCGACAAATACTCTTGCATCATTATGGACGAAGCCCACGAACGTGCATTGAATACAGATGTCCTCATGGGACTGATTAAGAAAGTGCTGGTCAGAAGAAGAGATTTGAAGCTGATCGTCACATCTGCTACAATGAACTCGGAACGATTTTCACGGTTTTTCGGCGGTGCGCCAGAATTTATCATTCCTGGCCGTACATTTCCTGTCGACATACAATTCTCTCGTTCGCCTTGTGAAGACTACGTGGACAGCGCTGTCAAGCAGGTTCTTGCAATCCACGTCTCTCAAGGACCAGGCGATATTCTAGTGTTCATGACCGGTCAAGAAGACATCGAGGCTACATGCGAACTAGTCGAAGAGCGACTGAAAATGCTGAACGACCCGCCAAAGCTGAGCATTCTCCCTATCTACAGTCAAATGCCTGCCGAGCAACAGGCGAGAATTTTCAAACGGGCCGCGCCGGGAGTCAGAAAAGTCATTGTGGCAACAAACATCGCCGAAACGAGTTTGACTGTCGATGGTATTATGTATGTGGTTGATTCGGGATTTTCGAAGCTAAAGGTTTACAACCCTCGTATGGGTATGGACACACTTCAGATTACGCCCATCTCTCAAGCAAACTCCGGTCAACGTGCTGGACGAGCCGGAAGAACGGGTCCGGGTAAAGCTTTTAGGCTGTACACGGAGCAAGCATTCAAAAACGAACTATATATCCAAACAATTCCAGAAATCCAGCGAACCAGCTTGGCTAATACGGTGCTTTTGTTGAAATCATTAGGGGTCAAGGMCCTCTTGGACTTTGACTTTATGGATCCCCCGCCACAGGAGACAATTTCCACTTCATTGTTCGAATTGTGGTCTCTCGGCGCACTGGACAATCTAGGAGACTTGACGCCACTCGGCCGTCGCATGACCCCATTCCCCATGGATCCATCATTAGCGAAACTATTGATCACCGCATCCGAAGAGTACGGCTGCAGCGAAGAAGTACTAACAATCGTCTCCATGCTCTCCGTACCAAACGTCTTCTTCCGCCCCAAAGAACGCCAAGAAGAATCCGACGCAGCGCGCGAGAAATTCTTCGTTCCCGAATCCGACCACCTCACTCTGCTGCATGTATACACCCAATGGAAATCCAACGGCTACTCTGACGCCTGGTGCGTGCGGCACTTCCTACATTCCAAATCCCTGCGCCGCGCCAAAGAGATTCGCGAACAACTGCACGATATCATGACCGTGCAAAAGATGCCGCTGGTCAGCTGCGGCACAGACTGGGACGTGATTCGCAAATGCATTTGTTCAGGGTACTACCATCAAGCAGCGCGCAAAAAGGGGTTGGGAGAGTTTATCAATCTGCGGACTAGTGTTACGGTGCAGTTGCATCCGACCAGTGCGCTGTATGGGCTGGGTTATGTGCCGGATTATGTGGTTTATCATGAGCTTATATTGACGAGTAAGGAGTATATGTCTACCGTTACCGCGGTGGATCCTCACGTAAGCCTTCCCCTTCATTTTAACATTTTTTAAGTGACTGTCAAGCTAACGAGGGGACAGTGGCTCGCCGAATTGGGCGGCGTCTTCTACTCCGTCAAAGAAAAGGGATACTCGCACCGCGAAAAGCGTATCACAGAACACGAATTCAATCGTCGAATGGAGATCGAGACTCAAATGGCGGCTGACCGTGAGCGCGCGGCCGCTGAAAAGGAGCGGGAAAAGGAGAAGAATGATCCTGTGCGCAGAAAAAGGGAGATTGAGGTTGGGGTAGGGATTGGACGGCCTGCTTCTGCTGCTACTGGTGGTACGACGAAGTCGTCGTCGGTTGTGAAGAGGCCGGTTGTTGGCGGTGGGAAGAGGGGTGGTTTGAGTGCGAGTAGTGGTGGTGGTGGGAGTGTAGTCAAAAAGCCCGTGGTCGTTCGGCGGCCTGGAGGAAGAGCTTTTTGAGCCTTGCACAAATTATGATACGATACCTTACGTTGATTGAGCATATCATGAGCATTTTCGGCGTTGTATAAAAGACTAGGCATGGAAATAAAAAGACCTGATTCTGATTCTTCAAATGGTTTGTTTGATATGCCCCAGCTATAAGCAAATACAGTACGTACTCCGAATTTTGAATAGATATACACGCAACCTAGTTAATCCACACTGTGTAAATATAGGTGCCATAAGACCCGGCAGCACTTCTTCCCTCTTTACCCATCTCGACGAACCCGAATTTCAGGGTAGTCTAGTTAATAAAATTAATGCAGAAAAAGTGTAATATCAAACTTCCAAAAATATAATCCGCGAATGCCCTATCCTCAACACATCAGCATTCGCCCAAAACTACAGCTTATAAGGAAAAGGGACGAACCTTTCATGGGAAACTTCCTGCGTTCCCTCCTGCTCTGTACTAGAAGTAGTCTGTAATTTCCCTTTCGACGAGATCGAGACATTCGTGGAGGCGGAAGAAGAGGAAGTAGTCTGCATCCTCAAACTAGCAGTGAGCACAAACTGGCCGACGGCGGCTGAGAAACCTGCTAGGAAGGCGTTGAATGGCTACACCAAAACATCAGCACATAAATCCTTGAAAAGTTATTAGAGACTGCTATAGGAGAAGGGAGACGGACGTAATTTCCAGCAACGACACAATACACAAACTGTATCCCTCCCACAAGCACCAGATACACCATAAACGCATCAAGAAGGAACGTCCGCTGCGGCGTCTGCGCAAAGTAGCGGTTTAGGATGTGTTGTGTGATTTCGGCGACGGATGCCTTGGGCGACAGGGCAACTGCTGCTGTTGTTGTTGAAGATGAGATTGTGGTGGTGGGTGTTGATGTGCCGGTTGTGGTTGTGCTGGGGGTTGAGATGGCGGCGGCGGAGGGGGAGGTTGCTTGTTGGCGTTTTGGGGCCATTGTCGCTTTCTTTATATTGTGAATTGTGAGGTATGTTTGATGGGAGGGAATTGCTCAATTGAGTTTCGCGGTGTTTGCTGTTGTAGGTTGAAGTCGGACGGGGAAGGCAGTTGAAGCTGCGTGTCTTCTATCGTCATCCAGCTCTATTATTGGTTAGCTGGTACTGCTCCGCGACCCACTTCATGACCCACTCGAAAATCATTACCCTAACTTACTTACGTCTCAACCCTAACAGCATACTCCGTAGTATATACTACTAGCTTACGAGTTGGAATAGAATCGTTATGTACTTCCATTTACTGTTCATTCACATAAAACGTATCTGGGAATCCCCCGAGTCCGGCCCGGCAACCTGCTCAAACTCCTGCTGGAAATCGCGCATCACATCATCGAACTGTTCCCAGTCCATAGGCATGCCGAATGCGTTCGGCATGTCTTCTGTCCAGACATTGTTGTTAGGATTGATGTATGCGGCGGGAGTAGAGGAGAATGTAGAGGTTGTTGGATTGTTTATATCGGTGGTATTCATACCACTCGTAGTGATGGGTATATTATTCATATTCGAGGCATTGGGCCCATTGTTGTCACTAGAACCCGATATTGCCATGGTATATTGAGGCATGAAATCGCCCAGAATGTCGGGTATATTTTTACTCATGTCGAGATTGAATTCGGGTATAGGTTTTGTGGTATTAGTTTTGTTCGTTGACGTCTGTGTTATAGGGGCGGATATGGAAGAGTTCGGATCTGCGCCGTGGGATGTTTGTCCCGGACTGGAGAACTGGGGTGTATTTCCGTCTCTTTGGTAGGGACTGCTGTTAGTGCTGTTTTGCCGTTGCTGGTCTGGTTTTGTCTTTTGTGGTTGACTTCTTTGTTGTTGCTGCGGTTTCGGCTGCGGCTGCGTTATATCGTGTATATGATCTATCGTTGGACAACCAGTTCCCGGCGGTCCATACCGTTTCGCACGAGACGCTTGCGCTCTATTATACAACTTTGTCAGCGGCCGCCACAATGATCCCTTCTTTCCCATCGACCCGCGCTCCCATTCATGAAACGTCGAGTCAATCGCGAGCCAAGCACGATCGACCCCCGGACACTGCGGTCTGACACAGAGTTCTGCAAGCACAAAAGCAATTGCATGCCATTGAACATATGACCCAAACAACCAACCCCAGCGTCTTGTCGATTCGCTCGTTTCCATAAGTCGGGTAAACTCAATCACTTCGATCGACGTTAACAGTATTCTATTGCGATCCTCGACGGAGAGCGACGTTAGATTGTTCTTGAGCATGGGATGATGGACAACCAGCCACAACTTGGCTACTACCAATCGCGCCATTGTTGCGCACGCCCATTGCAGCGGTTCCTGCATATCGCAATACTTGACATATTTCTCATTCAATGTCTTGTGCAAACATTCCACTGTCTTTTTGCGGTCCTCTAAAGTTGGTGTGACCGACTTCGTTCCTCCAGGGAAACTGATCAAATTGCGATAGTTCCTAGAGACATGGCACCGGATCATGGTAAAAGTCATGTCTGTAAATCCTGCCCGTTCGGGTGGAAAAAACTTCATTTCCGGGCTAATGTCGTCATCGTTGATATTCAAAGGCATCCTCGTATCGTACATCCATTCGTTAATCATAGGATCGGTTCCGTGATCCTCTGCAGTTCGCACATCCACAATGACTATATGCCACCAGAGTCGACGGCGCATTTCCGTCTCGAATGGGCTCAGCCCGAAATTGGTCCCGTCGCGGTGGATACCCAGACCAGTCGCCAGTCGAAGTATAACCGAACACATTGTCCAGACAAACCTGCCATGATCAATTTTGTGGATACACGAGATGAGCAAGACACCGGCCTGCAGCAGGTTTATGTTGCGTGAATTTAACAAGTTTGCTCTCGCTAGAGCCTGTTCGGTCGCGAAGCGGAATCGGCTGACCATCGTATCCCGGTCATCTCCTAATTCCGCCAGACATTGTTCAGGGGGCATGCTAATCACAGCGACGAGATAAACAGCAAAAACAAGCGCCTCATTACTTTTGTCTATTGAATCGCCCATAGCTGCATTGATGATCAGGTTCCGAATAGTCGGTCTATGTACGACCGTCAACAACGGTGATACATTCTGCTCATATGTTTTGTACAAGATGAATGCTTGTGTCGGGGTCGGATGATAGTTGTGCAGAGTATGGGCCACTGAACTGTATCCAAACAGAAAAGCATCGTGGTTGCGATTGTTAGGCGATTGCGTTGAGTCTTCAGGAGAGTTCTCGTTTTCGTCTGCTTCACTAGGAGATTCGAGGATCTGCTCCAATTCCTCAATCTGTGATATATTTAGCGACAACCACATCTGCGTTCGAAGAATGATAGTACCTGGTTGCTGAGACTGCTATACAAACGATCGCTCATATAAATGCTTTTCGAATCATCAATAACTAACCGTCCGAGCTCTTGTTGTACCTCATTTCCTAGCGTGGAGTTTATATTACACACCCTCGGACCGGACTTATCCTCGATCTCAGACGCTCGAAACGATCCGCCAGTATCGTTATTCTCGTTGGTGTTCGCCGAGTTTGTATTCGCCGGTGATTCACCCGTCAATCTCGCCGCTATCAACTTCTCAATCGCCTCTGTGCCTCCCAAACTCTCAACGACACCTTCCAACCTCCTCAATCGCGACAGGACCTCAACATCAGGCGGCCGTCGCTGTTTCCGTGGCGCACGACCGGGGCCAGGGAAGACACACTCAATACCCGCCTTGACGCAGTTGGAGCATGGCTCTCTCTTGTTACAGCGTACCTTGCGGCGGCGGCAGGTCACACAACTGCGGAGGTTGAGGTTCGAGTCTGCGGTAGCACTGACCCCTCCGGTGTTATCCGATGACGTAGATGGATTTGTATTCGGGTTTATATTTGGACTTGCGTCTGGATTGGCGGTGGCGAACGGGGTTGATGTCGATGGTGGATATGTAGTGTACCCAGTCGCATTGTTTAACGGTGTTTCGGCAGACATATTGCAGATCTCGTTCATGCAGGTGATGATTTTTGATTTCGCCTTCTTCTTGTGTTGAACTCGTGTAAGCGCTATGGTCTAGGTTTGCGACTCGTCCGTTTCACGCTTTCTTGCTCTTTCACGGGCCGAAGAGGACGAGATGCGAGGTTGCGTAAATTGGGTAGCTTGCGATGGCGTGGTATCAGCTCTGTGAGTCGCATGCAGGCAGATCTGAACACAACCTGTTGTGAAGCAGTTTCCATAAGCGGAGATAACAGTATTCCACTGCTAAGACACTTTGAGGATATTCGCGACTGCCATTTTTCGAATTGGCGACGACATAGAGACGGATTTTGATAGTTGAAGTTAAGCGGTGGTTGTCGTTGTCAAGGTAGGCAAGTGGGGCGGCTAACTTACTACACATGTACACTCAACCCTCATTAACCCTAGGATGTTGGCACCCTGTAATAAGCCACTATCCATGAAAGTTTGAAAACACGGTAGAGAGTCTGAGAATTTTCAAGTGTAGAGGATTACGGCAAACCCAACTTAATTATCAGGAAGACCATAGATCTATCTCCTATTCGGCAAGCAGGTAAATAGTCATGCGGTATGCATTCAATGTATAAAGTATGTGCGCGCTGATATTGTATATACAGTAATGGCTATGAACAAAGAGGTATATAGGTAGACATCAAACATACATATGTCCAGAAAATCAAGACCAACACCGGCAATGCATTGCACCGAAGCCCAGGACACCAAGCTAGGCACTGATGAAAATAAACTGAACCCGAAATTGCTAAAAGACGTTTTGATATTTTGTCATGATTATGTTGTAGAAGACTATGATGTCGGCTCATCGGTGTGTTGTATAAAGTTGTAGATTCTATTCTTTTCTTTTTCTTCGTGCTGTTCTGGTTGTTTTCCTTGCTCTTCTTCCACTTTTTCAACTTCCCTATTGAATCGTTAGTTTCTGGAACTGTTGAACAAGACCTCAATAACGTACGAATTCTTGACCCATTGCTGGACCTCTTCGGAAAAGGTATATCCGTTGAACCGCGCATTGGTCATGGACTTTTGTCCATATTCACCCGCCAACAACTTCGTATAAGCATACGGCACTTTGGCCGGTACGCCCTCAAATACGGTCCGTCGTAAGGGGAAAATCTCGTTTTCCTGATAGCGATGCGAATCCTTGCACATCAGCGCGCCCTTGTCGCCTGCCGCTCGTCGCGAGTCATCTGAGCGCACGGCGGTGATGTCGATGAATAGACCGCTTGACGTGTCAATCCATCGGCCGTCAATGACGTTTTGTCTGTCCAAGGTTGTTCGCACGATGTAGTGAGGATTGATGTCGAGCTTGTATGTGCGTGCGCCGACGCCGGGGATTTCGAAGCTATGTTCGGTCATGTTGTAGTTCTCGGCAAGGAAGTGGATGCCTGGTTCGGAGACTTGGACGTCTAGGTCGTCGTCCCAGGGGAAGATCTGTTCAAAACACTGTTAAAGGTGCTATTAAGGTGATAAAGAAGGCGCAAATCACCTTTTGGTTCCACCACCATGCTAGTAATGTGCCGTGCATGATCCAGGTTTCTACTCCTAGCTCATCCATAAATGACAAGTATGTTGTGATTAGGGCTGATAAATGCGCATTTTGATCCTCGTGATCAAGGGCCTTGTCGGTATAACTAGGTCGAGTCAGCACACCCGGTCCTTGCGCATTGTCCACGAGTCTAATACATACCGACCATCATAATGACCACTAAATCTACAAGGCAATGCTTTGTTAGCAATGACACTAAGAAACCCACCTAGGTAGTTGAACTCACGAAGATTCATCTAGAGGAGTATATTAGCCGGACGTTCTGAACAGTATTCCATCCAAGGGTATGATACTCCGACGGAAATACCGAACACGATGACAACTCAAGGAACTTACGAAAATATTTCCACGCTGGATCACCGCCCTTTCCGGTCCAGTCCTTGGCCAGCTTTTCCCTCTCGTCCATGAAACTGGTGTCGACCACCGCGGCGCTTGCTGTAGCGGCTATCAAGGCCCATATTAACGGTGTTGTGCGCATTATGTTGAGGTGATTGTTAAAAGAAAAAAAGAAAAGAAAAGAAAGGAAAAAAGACACGCAACAAGCCTCAAGGGCTGGGCTGGACTATGTACACGGTGTCGCCAGAGCAAGCGGTAAGGAAGAAGTCAAATCGCGATTTAGCAGTTGCCGCGGTCTGAAGAGGTTGATAGGACGGTCACGAGGAGATACGGCTTGAAGCTGCACAGGCGACTCAGACAACGCAGCTTGTGATAGAATGGATAATGCAATGATCGACTGGAATGCGATTAGTATATACAAGGGGTTGCGTAAAGTGAGAGTGAAGTGTAGAGGTTTAAAGAGACTTTAAGAGAGAAGCGAAGAGCGAGAGTCTTGACATGGCGAATGCAAATGGCAGGAATTTACCCCATACTGGGTCCATACAAACCTACGACGGTGCGTACGTAGGCCAAACTGAGCTAGCTGGTAATTACAATACAGTGGGTAACGTGCCCGATTTCCAGTCTTATCTACGCGATCTTTTCTTCTTCTCCGATTACCACGCATGTCTGTAATATAATCAGATAACCGGTCACTCTACAGTGTGCACTTCGGTCTGCATTCTACTCTGCATTCTATATTCGTCCAATACTCAACAGATCATGTTGAGTATGTACACTCATCTCACCGCAAATCAAATCAAAAGCCGAATCGTACGCGTCAGATGGATTCTTGATCTTATCAGAGCCTGCTGCCGGACGCCTCGCCTCTTGGCGCCCCCTTTTGGCGGCAGATCGAGAGTGGCTTACGCCTGCCGAACATGCCAAGCAGCTATGCCTGATGCCAAGTATTCATATACGTACACAGTATATTCTTAGGGTACTATGATACCTCTTCAGAAATTGAGAAACTTCAGGTTAACATCTACACGTAGGACTATGTAGGCAGTCGTACTGCCATGCATATAGCGATGCGACGTATTGAAACAGCCTCAGCATCTCACGTGTCTCCATTGTCTGGCCGACGCAATTGGCTTTACTACGTAATTTAAATGATCTGATTAATTTCGCTGTTATCTCCCCGTCATCTGTCCTGTTATTGGCCGCTCGAGTGGAGTCATCCAATCAGACGCAATCTGGCTTTTCCGTGCCACGCGTTCTTTTGGACGCTGACGAATGCGTTTCGACTTTGCGCTGGAAGGGGAAGACTTCGCTTGATTGACCGGTGTATCTGACGAGTCAGTTGTTACATGGATACTCCGTACCTTGTGCGGAAGCACAAGCTAAAGGCTGACTGGCGCACGCGTGATGGGTTTCCTGTTTGGGCACGTTGAGATCCCTGATCTGCTTGGCTGTCGTCATGCGCCCTTGGCTTATCTTGGCATATATTGGCATCGCTTGGCGGGCATCAGCCTGTACGGAGCATTACAGTACTGATCTCTCCTTTGCACAACTATCTCACTTTTCTTCGGCACAGGGAAATACCGTTCAATTGTATGCTCACGCAATGCAACGCCGCCGATGTCGATCATGCAACAAGAATTCCGCCCTACCATGACAGCTGACTAGTCGTTGAAACGAAGAGCCTTGGCGGGCTACGGGCTGGTGGATCTGATCTACAACCAACCAACAGTCCATGAGCTTACTTCTAACCTCATGCTTGCATTGACTGCCGTCTGGAGATAATTATCAACACAGTGAGACATGCATACATTCCTATCCCGCTCGTCAGTGACCCTTCAAACTTTCGTATAGCGGCTTTGCACTACACACTCAATACGCCGTCCACGGATAAGCGATGGTCACGATCCTCGACTCATCTAAAACAAGTCTGCACATCTATGTTGTATCATGACTCAGGTTGAGAGACAATTTCAGGTTTGACTACCATCTGCAATGTCGCTTCCACAGTCGTTTTCGAGATTGTCCCCATATGCAATAGATTTAATAATCAGGATCTGCGCATTATACAAGGGCTATGTTCCTTTTTTGAATGATCTGTGAAGAATGAAATCATTTGCTGGCAGGAAATCTCTTCGTTGCAGATGGTTATCAGTCATTTTATGAACAAGAGAGCCTATTCTAGCTCTGAAAACAAGTTTCCCTAATCTCTGCTTGCCAATGTAGTGGAGTCTCTTTGAGATTTAGCACTTGCATTGCACTATTCTAAGATTATACTCATTTTGTCAATAGAGATGACCGTTGCCAAAGAACAAAGAGGTTGAATGTGTTTCTCGCTTTTTTCTTTTTTGTTTAATTTAGGATTCACTAGAGATACTGCACATGTTTAGTCTCTTTGTCCATACTTTCATTATCGATCAGTAAAAGGCATGTGCAACTAAGGAGTCAATCGTTAAGAAGTAAATGCCTTGCTGCCTGAACTCCAGTCTATTTATAAATCTAGCTTGAGCCTCCCTCCCCACTTGCTTCTCATCTTTCGCTCCATCACCAAGCTCTGGTCACCCTATAATTTCTTGATATATCGTCTGTATATATCCCTCTCTATTGTCATTTGTGCGCGCTACATGTCTCACTCGGTATCTTATGCGACATACCTGCGCCAACTCTCAAATGGAGAGTCTCAGCCGAGGTCAAGAATATTCCCACGTTATGATATGTAAGACTTGCAATTTACCGTCAGTCAACCCTGGAACACACGAGACTTCTATCTGAGCAACAAACTCAAAACCACGCGGCAGTCATCACAGCAGCACTACTGCCGCCATAAGCGTCCTGCCATTTCAAGTCTTGCAGCTCACGCGTTCTACGATCCCGCCCAAGAACAAAGACAGTCATGGATGCAATAAAATGTTCGACGGGGGCTTCAATTTGAATCGGGCTATATCCCAATAAAGTCACCCAATCTATATTGGGGTCTTTGAACGATTGGTATACAGATTCCTCGCAGTGTCTGTGACACAACTCCCATCACCCTCGGGCTACAAAGGCGTGTTTTGGGAGGCACATAGAGCCGTGCTTCAACTTCCATCACACCGAATAATTCCCAAGAGCATCTACTGACTCAATGAAATAGATGTAAGAATTCAAGAGAGCAACTGGCATGTGGCAAGGGGCTCAATCTAGAGATTCCAAGCTGCCAATTCTGACATCGAATATTTCGATAATCCCGGAGTCAACCCGGTAGATCGGAATTGATCTAGGCAGCGAGTATAGAATCAGCGCTTGTGCAGTATATTTGGGTAGACTGGTATGGGAAGATATCGCTAGCAACGACTTTCTGTGTGATACTACCATACACAAGTTAGATTCTCAATTTAAGAGAGATTTGAATCAGTACAATACTGTGATGTACCCTAAGCAACTCTATTGCTTCATCCGAATTATTGAGCAGTGGAGTCTTTATTCTGTCTTGCTGCGACAAGGACGAATCTTTACTTTCTAGCGTTGACGAAGCAGTCGTGCTTTCTCGCTTCCAGTCTCTGTCTTTGTAGCACGATCCATATTTTGAGATGGGTGGACTTTTTCTTCTAATACCTGTCAAATATGATCTTAGCTTAGTGCACAGTAGTCTATCCACAAGAGATAGGGACGGGCGACTTACGTGGCTCGACTATCAAATTATGAATTGGACCTTGGTAGAATAAGGTATTCAGAAGACAGACATGATCTACTCGATAATGTTCTTCTTTGTCGGTCGCCGGGTTTGCCCCGAGATCAGTAACGATCTATCGAAGGTTGTCAATGTGAGACAACCATAGGAATGTCTTGGACGTACTTGAAAGCAACTCTCGGGCTCAGCCAAGCAAATCATCGAAATTTTTGATAAGTGCAGGACGATCTGTGTCGTTGAACTCCACGTCGACCATTGCAATCTCAATAGGAAGTGATCGAGTGGGGGGACAAGACTCAATGCAATTTTTTACTTTTGTAGGAGATGTAGGTGTCTGTAGGTATTGAACATTAGACAGCCAATGGGCTGTTCTTTGCTGCGAGTGCCTAGATTGCCCTCAATCTGATGTTCACAGTGACGTCGAGCTACCTGTTGCCAATCCAAGGCTTCTGCATATTCCTAGGCAGAGGTCATCAATCCGACAATCTTGCCTTTTCTTGACAATACTCATCCAATCTAGGTTCCCAAGGAATTGGCATGCCGAATATGAGTCTAGGTAAATTACCAACATAGGCTATTAGGGCTAAACAAACGAATAGAGATTGACGTGTCGGGCCTAGTACAACAGTCATGATCTACGACATCTCTCTACAGCTTCTGATTGGCTCTTAGATTAAACAGGATCGGATATAAGTTTCTACACTAACTGTATATGGCAGTATATCGGACTTTGAAATAAGCTCTTTGATTGGCTAGCTGATTTTCCCAGGAAAGCTTAGCGCGGGAACAGCCGCCCAATTCTGCCTTGTCTTTCAGGCTTCTGGATTTAATGTCTTTGATCGATCCACAGGTCGTATTCCAGCAATGCTGCCTGCGACGATGCCATATGTCTATCTGTGGAGGACGGGCAGCAAGTAAACCCAGTCTACCATACCCAGTCCCGGTCTGGTTACTGAGGGCATTGCACGATCGAGCATGGCCGTGAATGTTGTTGTGTTCAGTGTCGCTATTGTTACCACCCCGCCATAACTTCTGCCTACGATCTTGATGCGACGTAGCAAATCTGTACAGACCTTTGATACGTGCTGACTATTGATCACCTGCAAGTCACAACACTCGATTGAATCAGCCAACCACACTCGTATGCAGCCAGCCGTTCATGCGAGTATGTCCACTCAACCCGCAGCCTCGCACGACCAAATGGAACCACGCTCAACTCCCGCCCAACAATTGAACCGCTCCTGCGAATCCTGCCGGTCGCTGAAGGTCCGCTGTCTCCCCGACCCAATTGCGACCAACCAGTGTCAACGATGCGCAAAGGCGAAGAGGGCATGTATATTTGTCGCGCCGCAGCGGCGTCGCCCGCGGAAACGGACGGATACCCGTGTCGCTCAGTTGGAAAGGGAGATGGCTGCGATGCGCACGGCACTGAAGGAACGACGTTTGGCTGTCGAGGAGACGGCAGGTGAAGAAGAGACTGAGAGTGTGGATGAAGACGAAGGGGCGGACGAGGTAGATTTTGGAACGGAGGCAGTGAAACGACCACCGCCGAATTATCAGGACATTCAATACAATTCATCGAATAGGTCTCATGATACGTCGCAGTCTCCCGCTATTGGTTCTACTTCGCAAATGTCTCGTGACGGGAGCTCTTCCGTAGGCGGTACTCCGGCATTGACTCTAACCTCGAGTTTTCCTGATGGCGATGCGGATGTCATAGACCGCGGTATCATCTCTATAAGTACAGCAGAGGACTTGGTTTCACTTTTTATCAATGATCTGCTTGCTTTTTTCCCGTTCATGGTCTTGCCCGCCGATACAACCGCTCGTCACCTCCGTACTACAAAACCCGTGCTCTTCCTAGCCATCCTAGCGGGCACTTCTATCGCAGTTGACAACGGTCTCGCAAATACTCTCAACCGTGAAATGCTCACCATGTACGCGCAGCGGTTCTTTTTCAAGGCGGAAAAATCATTGGAAATGGTGCAGGCACTTCTCTTGATGAACATATACTACCTTCCACCGGAGCTGCCTTCGCAGATACAAGCATATCAATATTCGCATATCGCTGCTACCATGGCGTTGGAAATTGGGATTGCCTCGAGAAAGCGCATGCCTCGGAAAGTTGCGCCTGGGCAGAAACATGTTAAGCCGCCGAGCAAATTTGATGAACAGATGGCCGAACAAGCTCGTACAATACTCGCCTGCTATCATCTAGCTTCAAAGTAAGTTTTTCTCACGAAATGTTCGTAATATGTACTAACTTTCATAGCGTGGCTATGCGAACCCGTCGACCCAACTTACTGCCTTATAACGACTGGATCAAAGAGTGTGTGCGGCTGCTCTCTCGTTCTCCGCATGATTCAGACAGACGTTATGCTAGCTGGTTCGGTCTTCAAACCATCACAGACGAGGCATTGTCATCATTCGGTCTCGACGATACCAGCTCAACGGCTCTGCTGTCTGAAACTCGTGTCAATGGTGTGCTCCGCCTGTTTGATAAAAAGATGGAAGACTGGAAAGAGGATATTAATCCTGAACTCCTTACTGGTAAGTAGTCTATCCTGCTGTGATTACACATTTCCTAATTCATACCAGTCCCAATGATGCTGGAGTTTCAGTACACCACCTTGGTGGTCTATGAACTTGGTATTGGCGAAGGATACCGCGACCCAGATGCCATCAAACAGCAATATTACACCCTTCCTGCTCCGGATGGAGAGAAAGCTCTCAAAAAGCCAGCAGAACCGCTCAGTGCGATTCGAGTTGACCTTACCATCAAGTGGATGCACGCTGCACAGGGATTGCTCAACACATTCCTGGAATGCGACGTACATACCATGCGAAAAATGCCTAATTTGACTTACTCCCGCACCGTGTTGGGCCTTATGGTATTGCTGAAGATTTTTTTTTCTGTTAAGTCTGGTGCACTAGGAGAAGTCATTAAACCTGACACTGTCAAGGTAGAGAACTACCTAGGGCAATTGACTCAAAGACTCACTGAAGCAAGCGCTGCATCCAAGTATCCAATTCCAGCGCGATGGTTACTTGTTGTAGGAGGCAAATCACGAGACTGGTTGCAACGGTTTATGAAACACTGCACAGATCAAGAAGCGCAGCAACGAGTTCAATGCAATGCTGGAAACAACAATGCCGGCAACAGCAATAACAGTAACAGTAACGAAGTTGCTGTCGGTCCTTCGACGTCAACGGTGTCAGATTCCTGGCACGGAGGAATAGTGCCCCTGCCAACACCAATCAGTTATCATGAAGTGAACTTTTCTTATGTCAGAGAACATTTGTCACAACAGCAACAGCAACCGCCGCATGTTGAGAATCCACAGCAATCTCACCATTTCGGTGGCTATCATAACATGTCTGCCCATAACATGACCGCGGTTCAAGTGACCAGCAGCGTGACCAAAGGTGCTACAACCACGACCACAAATACATACTACCCTAATTACACCCAACCAACATCCTGGGTCCGACCAACCGTCTCCCCCGGAAACGAGTACCAAATCCATCCACAAAACATGTGGAACCTCCAGCAGCAGCAAAATCAACAGCTAATAAATCTACACAACCATTCGTTCCCCCCTGCGATGGGCAGCAACGGTACCGGCCACGACATGTTCCCCATGGAAATGGAATTCGACTGGGTTCCCGAACATGGCATATTCCAACTCCCAACATTCTGAGCACAATATACCCATTTGATTATGTCCTTTCTTCGTTTCGTACATACATACATGCATGCATATACGCATGAACATACCCTCAAAATATTCTATCGCAAATCACTTTTCGGCCTTGGTAGGCTGCTCATCGACATTTCGCTCATCAGCGGTATCTACCCCTCCCTTGTCATCATTATTACCACCAGCGTTCTTAGCTTCAAAGGTAGAAACACTCTCAACACGAAACATGAGCTCCTGCTCGTCTCGATATCCGGGACAGGATTGGGATTTGCGTTGGCATTGCGTGCATTCGGGCCGGAGGAGATCGCACTGTCCATGTAGAATAGATTTTTAGATATGGCTCAAAAGGCTCTCAAAAAGGGGTTTGAAGAAATGTAGATAGGAGGAGTACCTTGATACGCCGTTTGCGACAGGCGTGGCAGTCGCGACTTGGGCGGCCGACGTTCGGCATTTTGCCTTCCTGGCACGATTTATTGAATGAATAATAAAGTCAGGATGAAATTTCAATTTCCAAATTTCAAGATCGTCGGAGAGGGGGAAAACCCCTCCCAAGATCTCCATAGTTAGATTTTCTCGGGCTTTGATCCCCCAAATGGTCATACTCACAGCTCTCTAGTTGAGGACTTAATGTGCCCGCCAGCTGGTTGTCTGTTTTTAGTAATCCATTCGGCGCTATCAAAGCATTCGTGTTATATCTAGCGACGTGAACGGCCAATCATTTAGCCGCCTATGCGAGTTTACTGTTGGCTTGGAGTATATAAAGTATAAATAAGTAGGCGTTGCATGAACGGCTGAAGGATATAACAAAATCGTACATAATCATAATTCAGGTATCATAATCTGCGCAAACATGGAAATATCATACAAAAAAAACATCAGGATCGTAATCATAAATCGTAATCGTCGTCATATCTGATACAAAATCAATACAAAAGAAAAGATCAGATAATACTAAAAGCCTCCAAAGCATCCATAAACCCGCCTATGGCACTCGCACCTAGTATTCCGCGCATGGCCGTTCGTTTGAGGTCTTTGTGGCGGTTGTATGGTGACGGACTACGCGTACCGCCGCTGCCGCTGCTGCTCCCCTTTGAGGTTCGGTTGTTGCGTGATGATCGGTGGCGGTGTTGTTGGGTTGGAGGCGTGAGATATTGCTGTTGTTGTGATGGGTGAAGGGTATTGTCTGATAGGGTTCGCACGAAATTGGGTGGTGGTGGGTTAGCGTACTGTCGGTATTGTTGCTGTTGCTGTTGCTGTTGCTGTTGTGGAGGGTAATAGTATGATTGTTGATGAGTATAGCTTGAAGGTGTAGGTGGAAACCCATTTGTGGGTGTCTTGTAGTAGGAAGAAAAAGACGAGCCATTTGCGTACGGCGCGTTGCGTATTGATGGGCTCGATGGTATACCTCTTGCTCCTGGCTGCGAGGTGGCTAGGCGTTCTGGTTGTACGCCGGTGTTCACGCTCAAGTTGTTTGTCATTGGCTGAGGGACCGGAATTGGTCGAGTTTGAGTCTGAACGGTAGGTTGAGGTTTTGAAGAGCCGCTTGCGTGCCGCCAGTGATTTTCGGCATCGGAGCCTGGGACTGTGTTGGTCGTGGAGTAGGAATATGGTCGAGATGTGGTCGGGGTAGTTGTACTGTTGTCCATCTGCCCCTGTTCCGGCATATCGTCATACTCGCTATTGGCGTACGCCCTTTTATGATGCCTTTTTCTATGGCCTTGACGCTTTCCGCTCTTGACAATCGAATCTTCAGAACCATCAGAGTCGCTGTGGACATGCGCCTGCTTATCGGAATACATCTTCCGTAATTGTGCAGCCTGAGTTCGAGCTTCCTGCGAGTGAGGCTTTCGCCAGTCTGTGGTTACTCCTTCGATATAATACCCTTGGGTCGGGTGATCGATACTGTCGTCGTCGGATAACTCATTGTCGCTTCCGGACGATACATAAGCCCGTGGCATGGATCTCACGCTCTGACCGGCTTCAACTCTAATCCAGCGTATCAGTAACGCATCTAGAACTTCCTGAGTCAGTCGGAGCATATCACTTGGCGATTCCTCCATAGAGTTGAGTGACGATTCAACTCCCAGCGGGATGATTGGGAGTTTTGTCAAAGATGGACTGTTGGATGGAGTCGTTATTTTCTTCTCATTTGAGTCGAAACGGACGGCTGGACGTGGAGCTTCTTTTGCTTCTTGTCGAGCTAGTTCGTATAATCTGTCGAGTTTCTTGGTGGACCAGTACCTGACGATGAGCATGTTTTGAGCGTCGGCTCGTTCTTGGACGATCAGTTCGTCGGTGAGGGTATTCAAGACACTGATCATCAAAAATTAGTGCAAAGTAATACTGGGTTGGTAGTTGAGACTAACCTCTTAACCTCCTGCAAGCGCCCAAGATGCAGTATCTGTGTCATCACCATAAGACTCAACTTAAGCAATTCCAACTGTGCTAACAAATAGGTAACGCGCTGCTTCTTGAAACAGTCCTTGAACCTCTGCTGTACGGGAACATCTTTTTGTTCTGGCTCTACTTCTGCCTTTTGAACTCTTTCCAGCATATCCTCCACCTCCTCAAACACCGCTCGAGCTTGATTGCTGATCTGATGCGCTGTATCGATACATTCTCGAGTGTGTACCGAGTGTTCGGCCTGTAGGCTCTGGCCGAGCTGTTTGAGACTTGTCGAGAAGAGCGCAATCCCTTTGGAGATGCTGTGAATGTCGACGCCGAGGTTTGCGACCTGACATGCTACTGCGTTTAGCAGCAGGGCGAGTCGTAAACCGGCGCCGGCGACGCCAGTGACGTTGTTCGCCACGCCTGTGCAAATACCACGTATTAGCATAATATTCTCTATCCAGGGTGATGGAACGATGAAACGTACCGGTATCGTTCATTACTGGGATAGTTGCGGGCATAGACAGTCGTTGTTGATATCTGATTGTGTAGACAGGTAGTAATTGGATGTTTACTGTAGTTGGAGAATGGGGGACTGACGCCAGAAATGATTTTGTCCTCTTATGACATGCGTCTCTTCAGGGCCCACCTCATCTGCATTGCCACAGTCTTTCCACTCCATCAAATCACAACAGGTCTTTCTTCCACAGGGCTTGCGGGGTTATGGGGGCGGCCTCACTGGCCAAGACAGTTGAGCCTCCATGAATATGATGCTTTGTGTCTGATCGCATACGTAGTTTGATTGACCAAGACAAGCTAAAGCAATAATCTGCAACGCCATTCGCTCATGATAAACGACCGAGGCTTGTCGAAGCGAAGGACGTCCAATCCGGAGGAGAGGAAGTCATCGCTAGCTTCCCCGAGCTGAGAATACGACGTCATTGTCATCCCTCCCTTGCGAATCTCTGTTTCAGCGCAATAATTGGCGACGTGCTAACTGATAAAGTAGATATATAATGCACATTCACTCAAGAGTAGCCTTGAGTCTCAACAAAGAAATACACTTTTCGATTATCCTCCGAAGCTCGTAGGATTCAGTAGGATGAAAGCAGACGGCAAGCAGACGGCAAGCAGCGGCTATTCACGGCTTTTTCTCGATTATTCGATTATCAGATTGATTTATGCAACAAATTTATGCTGCTTCTTATCGTCCAGAAGGACGCATGTAACCATTTTTTACCGAGTTCGGCTTGTTTACCATTATTTCCGAACTGGGACCACGTGCAGCGGTTTCCATGGTTCATGGTTTCAAGAATGAGGCTCTTCGGAGGGTGCCGCTTATCTTCCATCAGTACAAATACGAGAAGTCTCAATACGAGAACTAAGCCTCGGTTTGGATGTTTCCCAGTTGCCTACTGTGTCATGACTTTCGGTTCTTCCTTGGCAAGTATCTGAGCCATCTCAAGGCTTGTGAATCCACGGATACCTTGGTACTGAATGCGGCTCCATGTTTTCAATGGTAAGGCCGACTCCAAAGTAACCGCTTCAAATATCACGACATTGCATATCGTGTTTCCATTCATGGGTTGTCCAATGAAGAAAGGTGATCCCTTGAAACTCCCGAGCACAGAACCCCAAAGGCAGTCAGATTTCGTAAAAATGGGCCAGCCTGAGTCCGCGAGGCGGTACGCCGCTTGACGGGATTCTGGAATTATCATCCACATAGCTTACTTAGCTGTCATGGATAGAGTTAGGGTCTGTCCTGTACGCTTGAGGACATTGTTCTACAGAGATAATCCATAAACTTGGATCAGTGGTGAATGAGAAATGATCTTTCTATAGTTCCCTAAATACATGTATACGGAGCATGCCAAGCAGACTTATCAACACAAACTTGGAAGCTTTTCAGCCCCAATGACCCGTCAACGCTAGAGACCCTCCGTATCGAATAAAAGTTTCGTGTACATATGTTGTTCCCAAGGTATAATTATGTTCAGAGAAGCCAACTTCGATGCTTGCGCCAATCCTGTCTCGTCGCCTCTCTCAAATCATCCACATTGACAATATCCACCCCTTCACGCACCAGCACATGCCATACGTGATTGCGCAGCCCTCTAGGCCAGCTCGGCGTGCCCCAATAGCGAACCTTGAGGCCACGTCTATGAGCTGCCTCGATCTGCGCACGAATCAATGTCAACTGATCTTGCGAGAACCTATTTCGATGGAGACCACCGATTGTTTTCCCGAAGTTCACTGAGGCGTAGTAGCTGTTCGAAAAGTCGTAGTCTGGTGATAACAGATCTTGGCTAGGTGTCGGTGACAGTGTCAATTTATCTAACGGGGCATCATAAAAAATGTCGCGGTAGGTGTCATTTCCTATTACTCGGCGCAGCGGTGCATCGCCCGAGGCGACAACGGTGATGGGTCTTTCGTTAAGACTAGTCCCGTTGAAAAACGTCAAATAGCCAGCCTCACGCAGAGGTTCCAATTGTTCCATCACGTATGGCCAAAGCTTGTCGCCGTCCGTCTTGAAATCAATTAGTAAGACCAAAGTCTGCGCTGGATCCGAGGCGAAAACTCCCGCCATCGGAACATTGGTGTGAAAGGTGTCCGGCAAATTCAGCAGATTTGTCCGGGTATTGCGTTGATGTAGGATGTCCAGTAATGGATTGAGATACAATATTCGCAGACTCTCGTCGCGGTTAAGCACAAACGGATTGTGGCCGACAAGCAGATCATGATCTGACAACCAGATATCTGCCTCAACACCGATGCAGCCAGCAAGAAGTGCGGATTTGAGCGGGACATCGCGCCAGTAGTCGTTATGAGAGTGGCATCTGCTGAGAGGAACTCCGTGCCTATCCCAGTGTGGAGATAGGGACAATTGGTGATTAGGGAAAAGCCACGCATCAAGTCGATCGTCGAAATCATCGGGAAAGAGGAAGAATATACAGTTCACGCCGATATGGAGAACGTTCAGCAGTCCTCTACCAACAACATTATAGGATTAATAAACATTATTGAGGGGATTAGCATACTGCTAGGTACTCACAATAGTACTACAAGTCCCCAGAACGGTCGTTGAATGTATCGGCAGATTATCGCTCGGGATGATCGGGGGTGCGCGTTGCAATACGCATGTCGACATTGTGTCAATGAAGTGCAATAGCTTGGAATTCGAGACGAACATGATACTAATTTAGACTTGATTGATGGTTTTGCGGGTGGTTGGTAATTGCGTCGCCCGTTCAGAGGCTGCGATTCATAGTCCGAGAATTCGTCAAGGGAATCATCATCGTTGATCGATCGAAGGGGAATTCCATCCTCGGCGGACATGGTTGTCGGTGATTGTCAATGATACTAGGTTGCAGTTGACGAGAGCAGAAACATTGAATGTAGAATGTAAGAACATAAGTACATGTTTGCTCATGTCAGGCAAGGAGATCAATGTCTTGATATTCATCGATTAATCAGATAGATAAGAAGAATGTCACCAAGGCAGTCACATTCGTTCGCAAATATGCACTAATGCTTGAGACAAGCCACGAGAGCCGCGTATACTAAACCCACTTGAGCGCTATGATTTGTTCTGTCGATCATGTTCCTCGGGAGACTTTGCTGTTTTTGTACAGCCCCAGTCCGTGCGAATGCTTGATTTTCGGCCAGTGTTTCATGATTGTACGAGGCCGACGACGTAATACATCGGCATATAATTTTCAAAGCCAGAGTCCAATGACCGAACACCCTACATAGTACACCCATCGCTGGCGGATGAAAAGTGATTCTATTTTAGGGGCTTAGGGTTAGGGCTTTGTTATGCGTCTGGATGGCATCATAACAGATTGCCTTAGCTGCCATGTTTTCCCATATCCAAAAAATCAGTTGACAAAACAAACTATAATATGTCTATCTACCTCCTGGGCTAGGTATAGAATGCTCGTTTTCATACCATGGAACACAAATTATAGGAATAGAGGTATCTATCTATGTAGGTGCCTAGGTATACCAAGGGAGACCAGTTGACAGCGAATTATTCAACTACCTATTCAGGCATTGAATCCAGATCTCTTCAAAATCTCATCCAACAAGACATGGGTCCTCAACGCCGAATCAAAAGTCGCATAGTGTGATTGATCATCTTTCAAGAACGCCTCATACACTCCAGTAACATTGATGCTCAGCCGCTCGAGATAGCTCTTGTCCGCATTATTTGCATAGGGGACCTCGACAGTTTCATTTTGACCAATTTTGAGTCGCAGCTTTCTTCCTGGATCTGACATTTGCCATTGTCCTTCCGGTGCGGTAACCTCTATCTCGCCCTTGGTGCCTGTGATCAACCATCGAAGGCCGATGCCATCCACGGTATGCATGAGATCTCTGGAGCAGATCGAAGCTACTGCGCCGCTGTCCTTGAGCACCCCTTGGACCAGGATATGGTCAGGAGTGTTCTTAGGGTACTCAGGTACTTTGATACTACCATCGCTACCCCGAATCGCAATCTTGGTTCGGGCGGCTTTGAGGATAGAATGCGGTTCGACGAATTCGCCAAGGACTTGTGTAAAGGAGTCGAAGACTGTGCACTTTGATATAAGCATATGGCACGACACTGGATCATCTTCATACAATAACTTACAATGACCGAAAAATATCATGAAATTATTACCACCGTTCTTCATGTCCAAATAATACTCGCCACCATCAAACCAAGAGTCCGTCGGCAAGCCGCTCATAGGTCCCAAAACAGAACTGCTCGTTATGTTACCTATTTGGCCTGATTCCAATAACTCCTTCAGCTTATCCACGAGCGGATCTGCGCGCGCCTGCAATCCGACTATAGTCCTGACACCATTCTCTTTTGCCAATGCCGCCAATTCCTCAGACTCAGCAAGACTAGCTCCCAGAGGCCATTCGACAAAGACGTTTTTCTTAGCTAGTAGCGCCGGTTTGGCGAGTTGATAGTGCTTCATAACCACAACACTGATGACGATGAGATCAACATCGGGGTCTTTAGCAATCTCTTCTGGACTGCCGTATGCCTTGGTTGTGGCTGGKAGATTGTATACTTTGATGGCCTTCTCAGCTGCCTCTTGAGATGAGTTTGCGAGTGCAACAATTTCGTAGTCTGGTGAAGATAGTAGATATGGGAGGTGAGCTAGATGAGCCCAGGCGCCTACTGTCATGCTATCTGGTTTGCTTGAAGACAGGCCGATAAGGCCGACGCGGATAGGTGCCATGGTTGTTTTTGAGCGTATTCTAGATACTTATGATGCCCTGTGAGTATGAGTATCTTAGGAAAATTCATGTTCCGGAGGAGGAATCCTCCTTTATAACCATCGTCTCTTTGAGGTTGTGCCAGAAAAAATCTTCAGCTACATCCATCCGCTCATCGTTCAGCAAACAATTTCGGCCGAAATTAGGATCTCAGCGCAACGATCGCAAATCATTCCATCATTGAGTAGTTGTTGCATACGCCGCGGACTCTCCAAAGTGACGGAGAATGCGAGCTTCTGATTGGCTGAATCGCCGCGGATTTCATTTCTGCTGATGACAAACCACACTCTCCGTTGAAGCATTTCATGGTCAATCCTGCTTGCTGCTTTCAAATCCCCTAGTCACTCTGTGGATCTAGGAGTAAAGCGGAAATAATGCCAAATACACGCAGGAAAGCTTGCCAGCAATGTCGGTCAGCCAAGGCCCGATGTTCGCTTGCCTCTCCGTGTTCACGTTGTGTGGATCGCAGACTACCCTGCCATTACCCTACGTTGAGATTCAGATACCGGAACAATCTCCGTCCATCTACTCAACAGTACACGCATGATGCATCATTTCATCTCTCAGATAACATTGCTAATGCCACGTCTGTGGGCGATTTGCTTCGGCCTACCGAGCTCATTGATTGGAATGAAGTTGAAGGGAATAGTGGTCTATTAAATTCATCTCTCGTTGATACGAACTTGAATTCCAATCATGAAAATGAGACGTCCGGAACGCTTCAGGCTTCTCCGCTTCTTTGGGACAGTAGTATAACCAACAGCTTATCAGGGTTTGTACCGGCACTCAACCCGAACGACACTTCCATCAATGGAGCATTATTTCGAATCAGTCCTTCGACTGCAAACCTAAGGTCAATATCTCCAAATTCATCCTCCCTCACCAGGGGAACCCTCGAACCGAGGAATCATCTTCCGAAACATTCAAGTACTACTACCACAGCAGCAAAAACCCTGACACACAAAATCCTTCGAGGCCAGATAAAGGGTTATCCAGAAATGATGATCCGTGTAAATCTTCCTCATTTCATTCACCCACAATGTGTCTTGAGAGATCAATCGGTACAAGACTGTATCTCCGATGCCGGTATACATTCTTGTCTACCGGAGCCGTTGGCAATATGCGCAAGTCTCATGCACATGTTCTTCACCAAGACCGATGCAAGTAGTGCATTTGTGAAGGGGAAGATATACGAGGAGCATTGTCGTTTGCATCGTGAGGTAATTCCCCTTTCCCTTGCAGTTCATAGCTTCCACATTGACAGGTCGATTAGCATATGGCTTATGATGTAGAAACACTTTTGGCTGCATTTCAAGCTACTTTCATATACATCATAGTGCAGGGAGAAGGGACGTCGTCTCTGATTTGTAATAAGCAGCACAGCGGGGTGGTGCACTCTATGCTAAAAAATTGTGGTGTAGGTCTCTCACAAGATAGGACAAGTCAATGTAAAACCAGATTGAGATTAACAAACCTCGGGTGAGCAGGAGATCGGGAAACAATTATACATACTCTCTGATTATGAGTCACCCCTCGAACTCTCTCGCGATGTTCGCCAAATGCGCATGAATTGGGTACTGAAGGAAAGTATAAAGAGGTTCGTCCAACTTCCATCGTTGAGCTCAAGCTTCCGTGGTTACATGGTCCTAACATACATTGTAGATCATACTGTCTGCTGTATGGAATTGAGTTACTCTCCGGAATTGCCGTCGCGGCTACAGAAACCCAGCGAACCGAATGTCTATATGGATATACTCGCGTGCCGCTGCCATCTTCACGAGATCTATGGTCAAGTGCATCGAACCAGGAGTGGGCAAAACAATACAAACGTTTCCTTGGTAGAAAGTCGCAAGAAAGTGTACTGAGAATGCAGGATTTAATGTCTTCGCTACAAGCTTCGACAGTGGGCGACGGAAAGGCTGCAAACCTTGAGTCTCATAAAGATATATCTGAATGGTGTGAGAGGTTAGATGATTTTGGGATGTTGATTTGTATGGCTACTATGGTGGAGCAGGGTTTGTAGTCTTCTTGACCACAATTCAAGGCCCCAGCATGAGATGGTATGTTCTGTGATTTCTGTAAGAACTCTCCTGTGATTCAGGCTGTTAGATTACAATATTTCGAAAGTAGCTACAGAAAAGACACAATGGAAAATTAAAATAGACGATTTGCCTTGTACTTCAATGCATACAATTCTTTACCTTTCCCACACCTCTTATCTTCTCGAAGATAAGCAGGTCGATGTGTGGTGATCTTCGAATGATGATTAGGGCTTCCATTTTATCTCTACTCGTTCGTCATCCTCGACACACGGGCTTCTCCGCTGTTTCAAAGACTTTCCCGGCCTGCCCTTAACATGACTCAAACAGCAGCCGATATGAAGAATGAACTGGGTCCTAAATATCACAGCCAAGTCGAATCGCTTTTGTCTCTTGGTTTTCTATCTTCTTGAATTCTTGGATAGCATGTGGCAATGATAAGGTACTTGATAGCCTTTCTGGGGCTTGATCGTTATCATCGCCAACCTAGAGCTATTATAGATGTATGGCAGCCATCATGTAGCCAATGGAAGATATAATAACTCACACATGAGGAATATAGCCAAGAGATAGCCTATAACCCTAACCCCAGTCGAGGAAACGGGCCTAAGGCAGCCACTTCCTTTGCAGATCAGTCGTCATCACCACATTTCTTAGAGATTTTGGAATTTTTTGGGATATACAGTCAGCGAGCTAACTTTATACCTTGTATAAATATACGTATCGTCAAATCTTTTAAGGGAATAGAAGGCGATGAATTGTCAAGCTCAATGCTGAGGTGTATAAAGTCCGAAAATTGGGCCAATCAGAAAGCCAGCAGCAAGTTGGCCATACAAATTGACTTCCCCACGGCAAGTCCAACTCCTTTTCTCCAATGCGACTACCTCTGTCGCACCTTCGTCGCAACACTCAGCTAAAGGGAACAGGCACACTGGTGACCTTTAAGCTGTGAGCATTAGCGAAGAAATCGACCACGATCCTATGACCTTTGTCCGCCGTGTTCGTTAAGCTCGACCTACGTTCTCCGCCCTGTCCGTCTCATGCGGTCTCCGCTCGTGACTCCCCGCCGACCACGACTCTACAATTAATAGACGCCGGGTATATTGAGCAAGCTGACGGGAAATATTAAAACTTCGCTAATTTGTATCCTCGTACTCTGCAAAGCTCGGATTGTATGTCGCTGTTGGGTTCGCGCGGATGGGTTGCTCCGAGAGACATCGTCCATTAACGACACCTGTACGAATAATTTCCCGGCAGTGCGAAGTCTGAGAACTGATCCTAGTCTGCACAATCTGTGAAACATTATCATGTCTTCGGGACAGTCAGGCACGGTACCTGATACAAACACAATCCCTCAGCAGAGCGGTGGTGATACCCAGGTGGAAGTGGACGACTTTGGGTTACCCATACGACCAAAGAAGGAGGGAAACAATTCAGAAAACTCCGATCCTGCCTCGCCAGTATTTCACGACGCTTCGGAAGCACCATCTTCCACTGACAATATTCCGCCTCAATCTCAAGACCATCCAGTGACGACGAGTAACCATGCCGAAACGAGCCAGGAAACAAACAAGGGGGAGGACGGTACCGAGAGGATTGAAGCTCAGGCTCCCGCTCCGCTTGCCGGGCTAGGCGTCATGATTGATAGTCATAGTGGTTCTGAATCGCATAATAATAAAGACTCTGTGGAAGAATCACCAGTGCAACGACAATCGACAGATGTCAAAGAAGAGAAGCGTACGCACGCGAAACATGACTCGACAGGTGCTTCCGACTGGTCCCACCAGAAACTCACCGAACAACATTCGGACGAAGAAAGTGATGGAGAGGGAGACTGGAAAGCCATGCCCGCCCTTGGCGAGATGGACTATTATGATGACTACGGCAGATTAGTCGCAAAAGGTTCGAAACTAGACGATGATGACTACATGAAGTCTGGAGCCGTCAGTCGCGGCTATACGCGTGTGCAGTTCGACGACGATGTTCATTCTGTAACTAGTATGGACGAGGATACGGGCTATCTTTTCAAGGAAAGTCATGGAACCTCGGCCGGTATTGACGACGATACTCGCGATCCTCTCAGCCAATTACAGGCCACAAAGGACCTTCTCAGTGAGAGTCAACGTATTGCTTATGTTGGCGTTGTGCGCCTCGCCATCTACAAAATGACCAGTGACATGGAAAAGATTCCTACAACAAAGGCTTCCAAAAAGGCTTTGCAAGAAGCCGTGGACTCAATGAAGAAATGGAGCCAAGGGGTGATGATACGTTTGTTCGCCCATATGGATATTGATTCCGCAGAGCAAGTCATGATTGAACAACTTGCTGAGCATGGAGTCCAGGCAGCAGATCTTGTCGATCCTTTGATGAAGAATTCTCGGGTCAAGAACCCAATGGCGGAAGAAGGGCGCTCATCACTTGGTACTCCATCTCCGAACCCACCGAGTCCTGCGAGCGAAAAGCAAAACAACTCTCCGCCATTGAACTCGCCTCCAGCTTATGAGGAAACTCAATCTCCTCCAGCTTACGGTGCGGAAGCCGGCGAAGTGCCGGCGGTCCAGACACCTTCTCAGATGCCCAAATCAGCGAATATAGAAATTGACCTCCGATGGACCGTACTCTGTGACTTATTTCTTGTTCTTATTTCGGAAGCAAATTATGATGCCCGCTCGCGCTACCTGCTCGAACAGGTAGGCGAGGCAATGAAAATCTCCTGGATGCAAATTTGTCGGTTTGAAAAGAAAGTCATTGATGCGCTCGAAATGGAGCAAGCCGCCGAGAAGGAGACTTGGGATGAATCGGAGCATATGGAGCAGCGACGTAAAAGGGCACTGAAGTCCAAGTACGTGATAATGGGCCTGGCTACTGTTGGCGGTGGATTGGTTATTGGTCTGTCGGCAGGTTTGCTAGCACCGGTCATCGGTGCTGGTCTGGCAGCTGGTTTTACGACTATTGGAATTTCTGGAACGGGTGCTTTTCTGGGAGGAGCCGGTGGTACAGCATTGATTGCTTCTGGTGCGACACTCACGGGTACTTATTCAGGTCTAAAGGCTTCACATCGTCGAACGGGTGCCGTTCAAACTTTTGAATATCGCCCACTTCACAACAATCAACGAGTCAATTTGATCGTCACTGTTTCCGGATGGATGACGGGTAAAGTCGATGACGTTCGACTGCCTTTCAGTACGGTCGATCCAATAATGGGCGATCTTTACTCGGTCGTCTGGGAGCCGGAAATGCTGCAGAGTATGGGTTCTACCATTAACATTCTGGCGACAGAGGTATACGATACATTTCGTTACGCTGCAAAGTAAAAGACTGCTAACATTATATACAGGCTCTTACTCAAGGTTTACAGCAAGTTCTCGGTAGCACTATTCTAACAGCGTTAATGGGAGCTTTACAACTCCCCATTGTCCTTACCAAACTTGCTTATCTCATTGATAATCCTTGGAATGTCTCTTTGGTGCGAGCCAATGCTGCCGGCCTAATTCTTGCAGATTCTATAATGAGTCGCAATCTTGGGAAAAGACCCATTACACTTCTCGGCTTCTCTCTTGGCTCACGAGTAATCTTTTCCTGTCTCAAAGAGCTTGCCAAAAAAGGAGCTTACGGCTTGGTTCAGAATGTTTATATGTTCGGTTCGCCAATTGTGGCCAACAAGGACGAATATCTGAAAGTGCGAAGCGTCGTAGTCGGCAGATTCGTGAATGGCTATTCGTCTAACGACTGGATTCTTGGTTACCTATTCAGAGCTACCAGCGGAGGTATCATGCGTGTGGCAGGTCTTGCTCCTGTTCTCGACGTTCCGGGCATGGAGAACTTTGACGTTACGGACCTGGTGAGCGGACACATGAATTACCGTGCAGCGATGCCCCGGTTATTACGTGAAGTTGGCTGGGAGGTGCTAAGCGACGAGTTTGCTGAGATCGAGGACCCGGATCCGGAGAATCATGCGGAGCGACAGCGAGAGCTCATTCGTGAGATTGACGAAGCACGCAGAGAAGCGGAGCAGAAACCAGACAAGAAAAGATTCGGTCTTTTTAAGAAATCAACTTTGGCGAAAAAGAAAGGCTGGGAAACTTACGATCCCGATCAGCCAGGTCTTGTGCCACACCCCGATTCGCCAAACTCGTCGTCGGGACGCGATAGTGTCCTCTTTGATATTGACGCCATCAGAGCAGAACTAGCGTCAGAGCAAATTGAGGTCAAGCAACTCGAGTCGACTCTGCCTCCGATCAAGTTAGATTTGAATAACAATAACCCTGATCGACCTGAATTACGACCATCCAAAAGTGAAAATGACGCTCGTACTTTATCCGATAGTCTCCCATCCACCACAAAGAATACCCCCGAACTTTCTTACCCTGCACCAGCGAGCAGTGATTCGAAAGCAAAGCATGACGATTCCCCCAATAAACACGATTACGATCCAGAAGAAGATGTTCAACTGACTTTCGACACGGCATACCATAATACATCGACGACAATAACCCCCCTCGGCGCCTCAACCTTCGATAATGAATATAATTATAATAACAATAGTAATAACAGACTCCACGACCAAGACATCTCCTCGATGAGTCGGCCGCCACTACATTCCGCTGCAACAACGCCAGTCGATTTTGGACACAATGCTTGGGCCGAAGGTACGAATCACAACGAGGGTGAGATTCATATGACTTTTGAGTGAGAGAAGAGAGACATTTTAAACTTGCATTGCATTGCACTTTACGGTCTGATTCTTATTCTTATTCTATTTATATATCATTACCTCGCTTCTTGCATACTAATACTTTGATATTCCTTTCTTCGTGCTGTGTTCTACCTAGGTTTGTTGGCGAAGTAGCGGTTATCGAGCATTAGAGATGAGAGGCGTCTATGAATCTGTTTACATTTGTTTCCCTAACACTAGACACACAATAGAGCCAGTGACTCCGTGTGCATAATTTATTTCTGCCATGTAATATTTCTAATATATCTACTGTAACTTGGTGATGTCTCATACTACGGGGCATCGGTATTTGCAAAGATAAGAAACACGTGAAGATAAGCGGAGCGCGCAAGGAAGGAACGCGGCAGACGCGTCTCCGAGCTGTGATGCTCCTACTGCGTTATAATTGCTGTGCAAAGCTTCGCGAATCCTTGTTGAGCATACGCTATACTTATGTCTGCTTTGACGCCTAAAAATAAACATGCTTATGATCAATTGATGAGTCCCTGAAGGCTTGTCACATGGGTAACCAGACTTCGCGGGAATGCTGCCTAGTTAACACTTGACGGGCCAGCTCACTGAACTCTCAACGAAGACATAGAGCGCTCCTTGAATTGTTCGAGGGATTCAATTTGTGGCCCGATTCAGAACGGAAGCAATTGTTCCGATCAGAGATACGACAAGCGACTATTCCAACACAGCCTCACTTATCGACTACGCTCGCGATATAATATCAGCTTATACCCCACCGTACTCTCACCATCACCTGAGAAGTATTATTCGGTCCATCCAATCTGAGACGGCCGCAAGATGCCTCCTCTTTCGAGACATACAGCTGGAGCACCACTAACGCGAGCTGGTGGCAGATTTATAGCACGAGGATCCCAGAACGATGCAATACCCAAAGAAGAACCCAGCCAAAGTCTAAAAGCGGAACCTGCCACCGACGATGAGCCATTGAGTTCTAGTGAGGAGGAGAGCGATAGCGAACGATTAAGGAAGCAAGAGGAAGAGGAAGAGGAAGAGAGGAAGAAAGAAGAGGATCGACAGGCTGAGCAGAAAGTTGCAAAGGATATTAGCAAGAAAGGCGCGGGCAAACGAAAGCGGGATGATGGGAACAAGAGCAATCCGCCTTCTTCAAGTACACCCAGGGAGGATGACGGGTCTTTCTTTGGTGGTATCAGATCATCACAGAAGAGCAGCAGTCAGGGATACGGGAACAAATCCAGTGGGAACAAMCCTGCCGTATTCCAAATGCCCCAGGAAGTATATTTGAAGGACAGGAAATTTGAAAGTTTCGAAAACTTCAAGAATCCAAAAAAGATCACCATTGCAAGCCCTCGCAAGTCGCAAAAAAAGACTAGAGGATCGACTGCCAATGGCTCCAAGAAAAAAAAAGACACTATATTCCGTATGCCTGCGCCCCTTAAGGAGGACCCATCTGACAATATGCCATTGTCGGTCAGCCATTTCAAGGAACCTCCAGGGCAGTCTACCACAAGCGCCCCCAGTTCTGCATACACTGCCGCAGACTTCGATTTCGATTTTGATGACTTATCATCACTCAGCTCGCCGCCGTCTGAATTGGCTTCGTTATTATCAGCAGATGATGATGAGTACATGCAAAATGCACCCGCGAAAATAGACCAGTCGCTTTGCCCCAACTGCAACGCCCCTGTCAACCCAGAAATACTACGCGAATATCTTCTAAGGCCAAATCGACGTTTAAAAGACGATCGTCTCTTTTGTGAAAGTCACAAGATGAATACGGCAGAGAAGGATTGGACGGATAACAAATATCCCACGATTGATTGGGATGTGTTCGACAAGCGAATTCAAGAACATCTTTCAGAACTTGAACGCCTTCTAGTACCTAACCCTTCGACGTTTTTCCGCGGTCGTTTTGAGAGCACTTTGAGTGATGGACAAGCCAAAGTCTTCAAGTTTGACTTGGAGGGCGATAGTATAGAAGGGTTGTCGTGCGGTTATTACGGTCCTCAAGGGGCAAATAAAATGTTAGTTCCGCTACAACTGCAATACAATCAAATTTTCAAGCTAACATGTGTCTAGGTTGAACTTTATAACGTCAAAATACTCCGGCAAGCTCCGTCAACTAGCGGCTACGGACAAGGTCGTCAAAGCCGCGGGAGCAGCTGCATATGCGCAAGCTGTGCTTGTCCCAGAATTGACCGTCCTTTTAATCAAAGAAGATATGAAGGTCGACAGTCAGGACGCTCGGCAAATCCTGAGGGAAAGCACTGAGATTGGATTAAGACTCAATCCAGCAGAACAGGATCAGATCCATGTGGCAGAAAACTGAAGATGTTAAGGGGCATGATTATTGATGAGGAGAGAACCTATCCCTACGTAAAGGGCACTATATATCGAAGTATATGTTAGCTAAAAGGCATGTTTTATGACGGATTTGTCTAAGTCTCGGCAGCGCAATGAGCCTGCATAGCTTCCATCCGTGTAAAAGCAGGCTTTACAATATCACTATCTCGCTATCATTTGCTTTCCAGTTAGTTATCAAGAGCTATAGATCTTTCGAATTTGTACCAAGGTGTACGGGCGTACGAGAGCAGTCACCACCAACATACCGGGTATCTCGTCACTAGAGCTTAGGGCTAGGTGTTAGGACTGGCCTTGCTAGAAACGCTGTGGCGGGAAGAGKCTACCTTTGTAACTATATAAATTCCGTGTCCCCTTCGGAGTACGGAACCTTGCTAGCTCCAATGTAATTAATTTCCAATGACTCACAATTGATATATCAAGTTCGCAAACAAGTACGAAGTGTTTAGTCGTCAAGAATGTTGGTTACCGTATGATACGCGTATGTTATACATTACAAAGCATTTCGCTAGTATTACGTAGCAAGCCGAGATCAACATTCGTAAATTACGGTACGACCTTCCTAATCGGTGCTCGGGCGGATCCATCACGTCACGGCGCTCTTATCTTGTCTGATCTGATCATCCTACGACGTCCCCCGCAACTTCTTTATAATCTCCAACATCGCACACATCTGATGTAGCTGGATTGTTCTTCGATAATCCAGGTATTTGCAGGTGTGAGCAAAGTCATCCTTGAGATAGACTCTCAAGGTTCAAAAACGAAACTATGAAGGAAAAGGCAGACCTCAACATGCCTCTATCGGAGACAACTCCGCTTCTCGTGGTGCAAACTGCTCCCAGGCGACACCGATATCCTCATCATACCCTCCGTCGCACATGCACCGCCATCCTATGTCTTGTACTTCTTATTGCAGTGACACTATTCCTCTTACCAATTAAGCTTTTATCGCGCGAGGACGGTGCTCCATGGGTGTACGGTCCATGGTCCAAGCCCTACCCTCAATCATGGCCACATGGAAACGGTCTGTCCAATGCAGAGCTGCGCGCACTTTTACACGAGACCCCTACAGCAGAGAAGATTGAAGAGTGGAGTAAATACTATACGGCTGGTCCACACTTGGCTGGCGCCAATTTCTCGCAGGTGCTTTGGACCCAGGAAAAGTGGAAGGAGTTTGGTGTCGAGGACACAACGATTGCCACCTACGATGTTTATATTAATTATCCGCTAGACCACCGTCTCGCGCTCTTGAATAAGAAGGGTGAAGATGACTATGAAGTCGCTTACGAGGCGAGTCTAGAGGAGGATGTTTTGGATGAGGATGGTACAAGTGGTCTGCCAGACCGTATCCCGACGTTCCATGGCTACTCGGCTTCTGGAAACGTTACTGCGCCGTTCGTATATGCAAACTTTGGTACATTTCAGGACTACCAGGATCTGGTTGATGCAGGCATCTCTGTTGAGGGCAAGATCGTGATTGTCAAATATGGCGGTATCTTCCGCGGTCTCAAGGTAAAGCGTGCGCAAGATCTGGGTGCCGTGGGTGTGATCATCTATTCAGATCCCCAGGAAGATGGCGATATTACCGAGTTGAATGGGTATGAGGCATATCCTGCTGGACCTGCTAGGAATCCAAGTGCAGTTCAAAGGGGCAGCGTTCAGTTTCTCAGTATGTGTGCCAATTCCACCCGATGTACAAAGACTAACATCGTATTTTCAAGGCATTGCACCAGGTGACCCAACCACTCCCGGGTATGCATCGAAGCCAGGCGTCGAGCGACAGCCTCCAGAACACTCCATCCCGTCGATTCCATCTCTCCCCATCTCATACACCGACGCCTTGCCACTTCTCAAAGCTCTAAATGGCCACGGTCCCAAGGCAGCTGATTTCAATGACTTCTGGCAAGGCGGCGGCTTAGCTCATAAGGGTGTTGACTACAACATTGGACCTACTCCGGATGACGTGGTTATCAACCTGCACAATCTTCAAGACTACGTCACAACTCCTCTGTGGAATGTCATTGGTGTTATCAAGGGCACTATTCTGGATGAGGTGGTCATTTTAGGAAACCATCGTGACGCCTGGGTCGCAGGTGGTGCCGGTGATCCCAACAGTGGCTCGGCAGCTCTCAACGAGGKTGTGAGAAGCTTTGGTGAGGCTCTCAAGGCAGGATGGAAGCCTCTCAGGACGATTGTCTTTGCCAGCTGGGATGGCGAGGAGTATGGTCTAGTTGGTTCTACCGAGTGGGTGGAAGAGCAATTGCCATGGCTCACAGTCGCAAATGCGGTCTATCTCAATGTCGATGTGGCGTCAAGTGGTCCTATATTTGATGTCAGCGGCAGCCCTCTACTCAATAAGGCCGTTCACGAAGTCACGAGGACAGTCCAGTCACCAAACCAGACGGTCAAGGGTCAGTCAGTTTTAGATGCCTGGGGCGGCCACATTTCTTCGCTTGGTAGTGGAAGTGACTATACCGCTTTCCAGGAATTTGCTGGCGTGCCTAGTGTCTCCTTTGGATTTAAAGGTGGAAAAACGAGTGCGGTCTACCATTACCATTCCAACTACGACAGCTTTGACTGGATTAAACGCTTTGGTGACCCTGGCTGGAAGTACCACGTTACCACTGCCAAGATTTTCTCCTTGCTTGGGGCCTACTTCTCCGAGAAACCTGTCTTGGGCTTCAATGCTACGGACTATGCCATTAATTTGCAGAAGTATGTTAACAACATCAGATCACACGCCGACAATCTCCCAAAAAAGACTCATTTCAGCTTTGGACCTTTGGAGCGATCAATTGCCGATTTCTACGATGCTGCAGTAGAATTCGACGCATATGCTGCCAAGGTTGAATCTGAGCTAGATCAAGAGGAGCCGTGGTACCACTGGTGGAAAAAGCTACAGCTATGGTTCAAGGTGCGCGCTATCAACACAAAGTACAAGACTTTGGAAAGAAAGTTCCTGTATGAAGCTGGCTTGGATGGACGAAGCTGGTTTAAGCATGTTGTCTTTGCTCCGGGTCTTTGGACTGGGTATGCTGGAGCGACCTATCCTGGTCTGGTTGAGAGTTTGGATGCGGGTAATGTTACAAACGCTGTGGTAAGTCCTTTCCTTCCCTTTAATAAAAGATTACAGCTAATGTTGTTGCAGAGATGGAGTGAGATTATCCAGGAACGACTTGGTGTGGCGACTAAGCTGCTTGAATAGGCCATGTCAGTTGTCGACTGCAAAAGATACCGCAGTATATAAGATCTGTGGATTATAAGGAAATTACACCGTGGATTATAGATGACGTCTCAAATTTTTGACAGATTGGTATTGAGTCTTCCTGTCCACGGGTATATACGAAACGTCCACTAGCGGACGGTTACTGAATCATCATACAAGTCTGGTGATGATATTGGAAAATATAGATGGTAGCTTGAGTATAAGTCAGATGTCCGTTTTACAAGCAATATTGAGACATACTTTGCATACCTAGGTCTCATCAATTATAGTTATTATATGCTGTAAATGCTCTCTATATACATAATGTCGCAACAAATTGTATCAAGAATAGGCAGAACGATGCAAAACACACTTTTCCATAAGTCAATATTGAAAAAAACGCCGTGCACCATGCAATCTTCCGATAGATATCATTCTGGTTCCGGGTCCTCATTTCTCGTACCCCATAAATCACGTTTCTTTTCAATTATTGCGATCGTTCATCATCATCGTCATCCACCCCCTCATCATCCGGCGCGAACCCATCCGTCTCCTGAATCCAAAACACTGGAATGGCCGCCACAACCGTGAGCGCCGTCAAAATCCACCACGGAATAATGACATACCCCAACTTCACGCCCACCGTAAACGCTTCACCAACCAGTGCGGGTCCAACTGCGCGTCCAATCGCACTTACACTCACGCCGACACCATTTAACGTCCCCAAAATCTTAAGACTGGACKCCGTATTCGTGAGCAAGATGGTGGTACAAGGAAACGCAAACATTCCGAGAATCATCTTGAGCATCAGCAGCAAATACACGATTATCATGCTCATAGACTCCGGCACAAGGACGAGAAAAGGCGTGATGAAGTATATGAACGGGAAGCAGAGAGCAACAGCCTGAAAGCAGCGCAGGACGCCGTACCGCTGCGCACAGAAAGGGAAGAAGATGAATTGCACAACATGCCGATTATGCCATTAAGGGTGTAGAGGATGCCTATCGTTTGGGAACCTGCATTCACTTCGTTAATATACTGCTGTTGATAGAGAGGAGAGGGGGCTTACCGAGTCCGAAGCCACTGGTAAATTTGAAGGGGAGTTGGACGTCTGGATTGTTGGTCAAGTCTTGTTTGGGGTGGTATAGGAATACGGGGAAGAGGGAGTCGAAGCCCATGCTGTGCATTGCTAACATGCCATAAACTATCAGGGTGAGGGTCGACTGTGGGGTGAAGATGGTTTTGAATTTGCTAGAAGTCTTCTTTTTGGGTTCGATAATGTCATAATCTGGGCTGTCGTTATTAGTACCATAGGTCGTGGCTTTTGAGGTTGGTATTGTGTTATTTCTTTCTTCGTGAGCGGCGCTCTCTTCGTCCGAGGCGAGAAGGCCAGTTCGTTCATTTACTGAAGTGTGGATCTTTCGGTGATGCGGTTTTGATCTTTTCGAGGAACATGACTGCGTCAACGTCTGCCCCAGAACCAGACCATAGTCAAGTTTATGCTTTCGACTCTCCAGGGTTTCCTACAATATGTCAACCATGGCCACCACACTTATTCGCGACCCGATGAACCTACCTCAAGAAACAAAAAACCCGTCATGATACCCACAACAAACAGAATCGCCGACAGAATATTCGGCAACGCAAAGGGATATTTCTTAAAAATCTCCCAATTCCCAAAAATCTGGGGATGCTTAACAGCCGGATTGGCCAGTGCACCTCCAAACGCCGGTCCAAAAATACTACCAATCGACCAGACCAACGGCATCATACTAAACGCCAGCGGTTGAAGTTCCTTCTCGCGCACGAGTTCAGCAACCATAGTCCTAATAATGCCGACGTTACCATTCATAAGCCCCAGAAACGCTCGGGAGACAAGTAACGTTGTGAGCGATTGCGAGAATCCAAAGACAAGACTGAAAAACATGGTTGATGTGAGACCCAGCAGGATCGAGTATTTGCGTCCAATGCGGTCGGATAATGTGCCCCAAGGGACGGCCATGATACACTGGCAGCCGGCGACGATGGCGGAGGAGATGCCGACCCATTTTGCGATTTCGTTTTTGTGCACGCCGACGCTTTCCATCATTTCGGGCTGTTCGCGGTCAGATATCAGTGGCCGTATGGAATTGTAGGGAGACATACCAGATATGGTAGAACCGATGTATATACCACTTTGGTTCATTAGATCTTGTCCTCGTTTCTGGTGCATCCTCACTTACCAGGTTCCGCGAAACGACATATTGCTAGCTTGCATGTTAACGGCTTGACTAGACATGGGGATTTTCAAATATGTGCCCATTTACCTAGTATCGTCAGCTGCTTAGCGGGCAGCTTGGGTTCTTTGCGCAACATCTTAATTTCATGAAATCAACCTCGGTCTGAATTAGGTTTTGTATACAGATGCATTAGAACGGTATCCAGGAGAGGAACCAAAGAACGAATGTATATATAGGAGCAATAGAAGTATCAACAATAACAAGAAGCTTGCACCATCAAGCGAGCAATAACAATAGCATTAACAAGAAAAGAGAAGAAGGAAAAGTAAAACATCGTGATAGAAAGGTCAATGTCACAGTTCGTATTAATTTCGCAGAAGTGGGGTTTTCCAAATACGACGGGCGTATTTGACGTATTTTGATCAGGTGGCGGTAAGAGATTTTGCGCTGATCCTATGTATTGCGTTACCTCTTTGAGTATTGTTTTGATACTCGGAATAAAATCCGATGTATAGTACTTCGATCTTGCGCAGAATTAAATGCGGCGTACGTGCGAGTGAGTCAGTGATAGGCTAGTATTGCATCGTATCATGTATGGCACTGTCCTTGTGACGCCGCAACCCTAACTTAGCATGGCAAAGAGACAGGTCTAGACGAAAGTGCTGTTAGCATCGATCGACTGGACTAAGCATTCCCGCTCTGACGTTTGCGAGTTCTGGTTTGCAGCCTCTGCTAGGGTTTACATTGGTTACTGAAAGGGGAACATTGTTGTAGATGGAGTGGGGACCAGACTTTCAGGGTTCGTGCTTGTTGAACAGTGTTGGAAATTGTATGGCCGCAGTCGCTCAGTCGTTTGGTCGTATTGTTCTGCAGGTGAGATATACTACTGACTCGATGGAACCTACTACTGATCTCAGCGAGTATCTACCGATGGCTGATTGAAGACGAAGAGCGGAGTAGCATTATAGCACTATCCAACACGCAAATTCAATTATTCACATCAACTCACTCCAATGCTTTCTGCCATCTAGACCCTCGCAGCCCTCTTATCGCGAAACGCCAATCCAAAAATCACCAATCCATACGTCGCAATCACACTAAGCGCAATGGGCACTGGCTTCCTCAGCCTCAACGCACGAGGCACAGATGATCCCGCGAGAACCGTCGAGGCGAGCAGACCAATCTCCTCGGCGTATGGCTGGTTGTTGCGGAGGCGGAAGAGGCTCAAGAGGTACAGAGCGCCGACAGATAGGCCGGCGGCGATGGAGGGGATGGAGCCGGTTCGTGCGTAGCCAATGATGCCGCCGAGAGAGGTGAGGGCTGAAAGGGCGCCGGCAGAGGTTATGGTGAAGTCTTGGGAGACCTGTGCAGTATGTCATATGTCATTAGTTAGCGGCGTTGAAGTTGTCAATGATATCACTCAAAGTGACAAAAGAGACAGTCAGCAAGGACGCACCATTGTGTCGTTGATTGCAAGAACTCAACTCAGTCAAATATCAAAAACTTGATTTGGGGGTGTGAAGGCAAAAGAAGAGGATTGATAATCATCAGAAGTGGTTGAAGTGTGTTGCATGTTCGAGCTGTTTAGACCGTCTTGGTCGGAGTCTGTGATTGGTGCCTCATTGATGTTGCCTCGGAAGCGGCTAAACCTTCAAAAGTTCCAACGATATTTCTGAAGGTCAAAAAATACTTTTTTTTTTAAAAAATCATACTGAATTTACATAACATACTATTTGTCTGTCTCACAAACATGTTCCAATGGATTATACGTTTCCCTAGAGTCGGTTCGGTATTTGGGTTATAATTTTAACATCCTTAAGAGTCAAGGTATACAATGTCATACTTTCGTTCGCCAGCATGCATCCCTGACGTTTATGTAGGTACTCAGATTGCCAATTTGCTTCGCTGTCGCAATAGAACAATCAATAGGTACATATGTACCCTCCGTTGATGGGTTCAATAGGTGTAAATCACTTTCCGTGAGTAATTTGCACTATGATAATTTCCAGTTTTCTTGTGGTACCATCTTCTTTTGAACATCTTCGTATCTTCCAAAGAGTAACCTTCAAGATGATCTACCAGCGAATTCATTTTGAACACATTCAAAGTTCCACTCGTCATAAGCCAGCAATGGAATGGACCCTTAGTATCTTGGCCACGGATTGAAATGCCTAGGCGACTTGCAGGATCTGTCGGCAATGCTTTCAGGGCATACTTGTGGGGATGTTCCGTGGTTGTGAGATGATATTGAAGAATAACTTCATCGTCACGGGCCAAATCAAGTCCCAATTTTCTCGATATTGTGAACTTGAAGTTCCCACTCGTGACTTCGACGTGGTCACCGCTTATCCGAACTTTTTCTTTGAATCCCGATAGATGGGATTTAGATCTCTCAGCCTTCTTCGCAGCCCAGGTTTTCTGTGCCTTCTCCAATCGTCGCAGTAAATGGCCTCGATAATAATCCCGAAGGACTAGGGTAGGCGAATTGCGAAGGTCATTGAATGCATCCCTTGTGCTTTCAGCCCACGCTCGTACAAACTGATCCTCGGATCGAAGGTATTGTTGAAAATCATGTCTGTTGCCGATTGCCTCTTGCAATTTCTTCATCTTATCTGTGAATCCTTGCCAGAGCGGAAGTGCAACGTTGAGGTGATTGCCTGACCATAATGGCTGCACATCTTCTGGCAAAAACTGTTCCAAGTGCAGAGGCCTGAGAGTTTGAAAGATCAGACACATCCACATTTCGCCGAGATTCAAGATTAACTGGTCATCCAGGCATTGGGGCTTTTTGTATGTTGCAAGAGTAACGAAAACTGAATTGATATCGTCAATTGAATCCCATATGTGATAATGGAGTGATGGATTTCTATAACGTCGCAAGGGATCGTTATGATTTTTCATCCTGTCGCTGAAATCCGATGCCTGACCGACGTATAACCAGAACATGCCGGGGTCATTTTCTCTCCACAAAATATGGAGATAAATTCCGGCGTCCTCAGATATTGCTGGGTCCGATCCAAGTAAAAGTAAACTAGACCTTTTATTAGCACTGTCCTGTGCAGATGGCTCGGATTAACCCGCTTCATGAGAAGAGAAAATACTACTTTTTCAAGTCAAAATCACCATCTTGACATATTTTTCTCACGGCTGGATTCAAGCCCGCTTCAAGAACAGCGGCTACATTACACTCCCTAAGCGTGTGTAGGTACCTGGCTCGCATTTTGATCTCGACTGTTGAGATGAGAGACGCTAGAATTGAAGCCCTATCGATCGTACCAATATTTTGGAGCCTCGACGGAAGACCACTAGCATCTTTCCAGTCCTGTCGCTTATTGAGAGACTTTCTTTGAGTTTGTGGCGCTGAGTCTAACGAGTCGATGGATTCGCTGTTTGTTGATTCGTTCTCGTCCTGAAATGGAAGTTGTTAGCAGCTAGCTACCTGAAGGGAAAGCTAAAAGCTTCTTGGAAGGAAGATGGCTTTCTCACCTTAGCAATATATTCAACGGACAATGGGGGCGTTCTGGGTCTCCATCCTAGAGTGCAGTTACCCCAATAATGCCATTTGTTGCAAGCATTGCATAGTCTCTGTTGACAATCCTCGTTTTTGTGGCCTACACAGCCGCATTTCCAACAGAACATGCAAACACACTCATCGTACCCATCCACGAGGCAATTGCAGCTCACATGAACTGTGGCCATGGTAAGAATAATTTACAGAGTCTCCGTTTGAACCCCCTTCCAGGCGATCTTGAAATTGATCTTAACATTGGGGAGTCAAAACTGAGAGCTTGCACATCTGAGGGAGTATGAAGTGGTCATGCGTCTCGTAGCGGTCAATTCATACTTGTAGTGTGTTCACGGATGACCAAAGATAAATTGCTGGGCATTCGAACTAGCTCATGGTAAAGCGAGTACGAAAGAAAGCAGGAACGGAGGACAGGAAGAAACTCAGGTTGAGGGCTTAGAATTGAGCCTGTGTAGACATCGTGTGACCCCGATGTCGATGACGCGAGACAATCCAACAGAAGTAAACAAAACATAACAACGATCATTGTTTGTCTACACGACGCTAGCGGTATCCCAATATGGCTCCGTTCCCAATGCGGTAATATTCTTCGTACAAAGCCGGTCCTGGCTGAAGGCCTGTCTCGCTGGTACTATCATGATACTCGCATTTATGTATGCTTTGCCTGCAGCTTCGAATTTTTGTGGCCAATCTTGTTCTATCAAAACGATTCGGCGGTTTGGAATTGAAGAGCACATGTGATCTATATGGCATCAGGTCAGCGACCATAGTCCACATCAGTTTCTTCTTGGGTTCAATGTTTTCTGCTCTACTATCACTCCCATGCCTCTGTCTGCCTTCCGGGGCACCCCTTGTGTCTTCCCTCTCACAGTTTTGACTCCATTGCGCCGTCGTTGCAAGCCTGATAATGTGACTAATTGGAAAGAATTAGCGCACAATTGCATATAAAACAAAGAAATACTTGAAATCGAAAACGCTAACAGTATTGGATTTCGAAAGAAATTTGAAACAACTTGGCTGCGAGGTCGCTTTCTCTAGCTGACGAAATGGTGGACTTTCTACACGACCAAATAAAAGAAAACCCCCCAAAAAAGAAAAGAGAAGAAAGAATTTAGACAATATGCGTCGTGGAGTTATAGCAAAAAAAGTAATAAAAAAAAGTTGACATCTTAGCATGTCCTGGTTTCGATCCAGGGCTATAGGCGGTATTAGCGAACTGTCTTAGAAATGTGCCGTAAAGGGCAACTCACACATCCAGGTTATGAGCCTGGCGATCTTCCTCTGATCTAACATGCTTTCGATGAAAGAAACTGTGAAATATAGTCCTATATCCCATCTATTTGCCAGGTACATAATATACAACGGCAAAAAAGAATTAGACATCTTAGCATGTCCTGGTTTCGATCCAGGGCTGTATTCGTCATTAGTGAACTGTTTTAAGAAACGTGCCGAGAATGGCAACTTACACATCCAGGTTATGAGCCTGGCGATCTTCCTCTGATCTAACATGCTTTCGATGAAAATTCTCGCGATAAATTTGTCGCTATGAACAGATGAGGAAGTTTTACCGTTTTTGTGATAGTTCGATATGCATGAGGCCGTGGATGGACTCGTATACCTGTGATAGGTGTGCTTTTTGTGGTTTAGAAGGCTGGTAATTTCAAGGTCTGCTGCTCTGTATGTGTACTCATATGTAGGGTACGAACGTCGTGGATAAACTAGTTGGCGGCGTCAACGATATTGGTTGTTCAATACCGAACATGTGAAGTTGGAGGGCTACATATATATATATATATCATTGACATATATCCCCGTCGTTGGGAGTCTCACGGTACTAATCATAGTTGATCACATGTAGTCAACTTGTCGATGTAAACCAACCTTTTTTTTACAGCAACGAAAAAACTACTCAATGCACGTGAATACCCGAACACTCGAATACAGAAATCGACATGAGACCAAATTATATTTCTAATACCGGACGTTTCTTTATAAAAGTAAGAGGACGTGCCTACCTTATCTAAACCATGGACCACCTGTAGCTCACTCGACTCTGACGAACCAGAACGAAAGAGCCTCCCGTATGTTTCTTACGGCTTTGTCGTGGAGGTTGACCTTCGAGAATAGAGAACACCCTCGCAGCAGAGTACGCAGAGAGCACACGCGCTAAATGTACAAGAAAAAGTAATGCATAGTAATGAATGGAGGACACCCATCAATCAGCTTGTGTAGGAAGAGGCGAAAATGAACCCCTACTCACCGACGATGACCGTGAAAAGCATGAGGATATTCGACGGAAAATATCGAGTCGCAAGTTTAAGTGTTTCCTTTGCATTCTTCTCCGAATGAGTGTTTGCATACCCGTGATTTCCGCAGTCAAGTCAGGCGCTTTTGTTGCCATGCTAAAACACATCAGGGAAAAAGAAGTGTACTCTTGTTTCTCTTAATCAAATGATGGTGGATATTGATATGGTTCGTCGAACTTAGCTTGCTTGCCCAACAATCATCTCTTTTCTTATTAAATTTCGCTGATTTGAAAATCGCCGACGCTCTTCCAAGGCTCTATAGCCTCTAACCAGAAGCATCGATGACATCGTCCGAATTCGTCGTTGGTCGGGCAACTGCTGGAACAGTAGCATCCATGAGTACAGTCTCTCTTCCTCCTACAAGAGGAGGAGAGTACGCATATCTCGGTATCCTTGCCATTTTTTCTTCGGGGCTTGTCTCGTTGTCGGAATAAACCAACCTTGTCTTTGATTTGTCCTTTTCCTTCTTTCCTTTCTTTTCCTCCGCGGAGGTTGGCTGCTTTTCAGCTGCTGGTGGCGTTGCCTGAGCCCGAGCTTCAGCTGTCTTGGCTGCTCCAGATATTAATTCGTCGACCGAAGTTGAGATATGTGCGGTAGATATGGCTGGTGTAGTAGTTTCTGGTGGAGAATATTGACTATATCCTTGAGGAATACTAGGAGAAGGAACACCGGGAAGTGGATGTTGCATTGGAGGCAAGGGATGAGCCATGGCTGGTGCACCACCGAAGGATGGTCGCTGTGGAAGACCAGGTGCGGCAGGAAGACTGCCTTGTCGGAGAGGAAATTGCGGTAAACTCTGGGGTGGCGTGTGTGTCCGTGCTGGCAGTTGTTGCTGCTGTACGTATGGATGAGGGGACGGCGTAGTTGTTGCGTATGGGGGTGTCTGTCCAGGTTGGAATTGTGGCGGGGRAGCGKATGGAGCGCCATATTGCTGCGGTGCTGGTGGTAGTTGCTGCGCATTCGGCGGGTAGCTTGGGTAGATAGGGCTCTGAGTATGTTGATATGGAGAGCTGACGGCTCCGTAAGGTGCTGCAGGATTCGGATATTGATTTGGTGCTGGAACAGTGGGCGCAGTTTGTTGAGTTGGGGCCTGTTGGAAAGACTGACCCTGCTATTTCGAGTTAGTAATGTCAAAATGCGTTGATAGTCTGGAAATGGACTTACAAAGCCACTTGGAGTCTGGCTAGCACTCTGACTGGCACTCTGACCAGCTCCAACAGGCGTAACTGAACCGCTACTAGCCTCCGACGGCTTACCCTCACTCGCCAACTTCGCCTTATGCTCTGCCAAACGCTTCTTCAGATCCGAAATCTCCAGCTTTGGCTTTTTGGCCGGACCGCCATCCTTCGTGACTCCCGGCGGAGGATTTCCTGTAGCTGCGCGACGCTCAGCTTCAGCTTGCTGAAACTGTGCAAGGACACGTTGGTTGTGAGCTTGAATGACGTCTTCGGGGACACCTTCCATGCCAAAAATCTCAATATCGAGGCTTGATCGGTTGGGTAGAGCATTGTCGACTTCGCTTAGCTGTTCTTTGTGGACTTGGCTCATGTGAACCGACAGACCTATAAAATTAGCTTCCTGAGATCGCGTTTTGTGTTTTGGAAAAATTGCGTACCTCCAGCTGTATTCAGTCGCCGTCCACATCGCTCGCACTTGAAATGTTTCGCTTTCTGATGCGAAATCAAGATTTTGAGATCATCAAAGTCTCGTTCGCAATAGTAGCACCATGGTCGGGCGAGTAATTCTTCGAGATCGGGATGACCGCGCTTCTTTTTACCCATTGTGGATATAGATATTCGCAATTGACTGACAATATTTGCTTTACACGAGTCAAGATCAGGACAGACGTGGATGCAGATGCTGGTGTATAAGGCGTTGAGAGCGACTGAGGTTGAACACAAGATGCAGAGCTAGAGGCGATGCCGCATTGAGATCAGCGATACACATCACGTGACTATGGGTATTTTATCTGGTGTAATATAACGACCAATCAGATGTGGCTAAAGTTGGATTCTTCAAGATCTACTTTATAGAGTGCTAGTCGTACGTGCCTTTCAAATACTTGAGCTCCGCATGTTAACTTATCCATCGTGCTATTCAAGCTCTCTATGAACAAAAAAATCAGGGCCCGGTCTGTCATGCAATGACAAACCCCTATAATGCTAAATGTGAATGCAAAATCCTCACGGCCTAGGTGGATTCTGGAGAGGTGGAAGAGGAGGTCGAGGTCGGCGGACATCAAAAGGGTAGTTTGCACTAGGTTGCATAGTCTCAGGGCGACCCGTGTCACGGCGGGGCTGATGAAGTTGAGCCGGAGGCGGAGGTGGTGGGTATTGAGTTTGTCCGTATGGGTGATAAGGCGAGGGTGGTGGCGGATTGCCGTAGGTGTAATACTGAGAAGGAGCAGTCCAGCGAGGAGGAGCTGTGTTTCTATCAACACTAGGCAAGACTGGCTGGGAAGTGTAAGATGTCATGGCTGGCTGACGTTCAGGCGGGGCGATCGGAATTAAAGGATGTAAAGATGGAAAGCTTCGCGAGGGTTGAGGTCGAGGAGGCTCATTGAGCGGAATGGGGTAAACTTGGTTCATAGTCCTTGCTGGAGGAAGAGGAGGAGGAGCAACTGGTGCAATTGATGTTGACGTGGCAGCTGGCTGAATCGAGAGAGGTTGCAGAGACATAATCGTTGATCCTGACGCAGTCGCAGTTACAGTTGCGGTTGCATTAGTAGTTGAAGTAGCCGTGGCCATAGTCGTGGTGGAGGCGGTTGCAGTTTGTTGTTGTGTAGCTGCGCTATCGACTGTACTAGTGGCAGCCTTACGCCTACGTTTTCTGGGAGGGTTTTGTCCGTTCGCTCTGCGCGCTTCTTCTGCAAGTCTATCGGCTTCCATTTGTTCCTTTGTTCGCTTGGGCTTCCGGGTTCGTCCGTCCTTGTGAAATTTGCCCCAGTGATCAAGCATAGCCATTGTTCGGCGTGGATTCTTGGAATTCGCAATTTTGTCGCGACGTCTGAGTTCTGCTTCACTGAGTACTTCGCCCGGTTCAGCAAGGTTTTGAGGTAGAGTAGCGAGAGCTGGAGGTGCTCCCGGTGCTGCGGGTGCAAGGGCGGGCATGGGAGCAGGAGTGATGTCAGCTTGCTCTGAGCCGGAAACAGACGTCATGCCATCAGCAGGTGGAGAGGTGATAGCGCGTGATGAAGGAGCGGTTTCATTGGCAGTTGAAAACGTGTTATCAGTCGGCGTGCCTGCAGTATTCGAAGTGACTGTTTGGAAAGCAACATTGGTAGCGAGATTAGTAGGCTGGGATGTGATGGTAGTGTTGTTGACAGGTTGTGCTTTCTGGCCTCTACGTTTCTTTCCACCACGAGGACGCGTGCCAGGGCTTGGTGGTGCAGTCTGAGTCTGAGGGTTTTCTGTTTTGTTGACCGAACGAGTGACACGCTTGAAAGGCTGACCATCAAGATCGGATTCAAAAGCTGTAGTGCTGTCGTGGACACTAGGATGTCTCAGGGCAGCGATTTCGCCTTGAGGCAATTTGCGCTTTCGATTTGTTGATCCTCGTGCGTCAAATGGAATCAATGGTGGATCTTGGAATTTAGGAGCATACTCCTGTCCATTTCTTGTCATCGTCCTGAAGTTGTCAGGGTTCGAATTGTTCTTCCCGACCTCGGTCTGCATCTTGCGTAGCTGAGCTGCAGTAGGTCTAAAGCCCCCTTGCACAAAAGGGTCTTGACACTTGAAAGTGGTCTCATTGTTGTTTGCTTCACGTTTCTTTGGTTCATGAATCGAAGCATCATACTTGTAGCCGTAGAGCATGGCTTCTTTCTTATCCCGGAAGACTTCAGGAGGGTCCAATGCGCGGGGATTGGAGGACTTTTTGGGTTTGGTGGTGACTCTTTTGCTGAGATCTTCAATGGCCATCCACTCATCTTGCCAAGTCTTCAAAGCATGGTAGACATTTTGAGCTGCAGCTTGAAGTTGATCGGTAGGCATTGATTCGAAGTTGGTGAGTGTGTCGAGATATTTATCCACAGGAGTGATTTTCAAGAAACCTCCCTTTTCTGTCGTGTCACTTAGATATGGATCAGGGCGGATTAATTTCTTGCCGTTGGTCTTCTTGTTTGTTGACTTGGAGTCATCGAAGATATAGCACCAAGTGTCTTCAAGATCTGCCGTAGTGTTATCGTAGTCAGGATTGAACTTCCGGGCATCGTGCAAGTTCCAGCATTTCATCAGGCGCTTTTCTGCGTTGGCGGCGTGGACCTGCTGACGTTCGAGGTCATGCAGTTTGCTGTCAAGAGATTCGGCAGCTCTAGCACTCAAGCCAAGTTCAGGAGTCTGTGATCCAATAGGAGTGACGTCCGCGTCTGTTGCAGGAGCTGTGACGGCAGCGTGACTACTCAAAACCCCTTTCAAATGACCATTCACCAAGTCATGGTGGTCTGCCATAGTGATATCTGAATCTTCTTCCTTGATTTCATCCTCACGTACCGAAAGATTGGCAATGCGAGGATGTGCAAGTGCAATATGCTCTTTCAAGGCGTTATGAGCTGAGAAGACTCCATCTTCGGGAGCATCAAAAAATTCCGAGCACCACGGACAGTTGATTTGATGGTGATCTGAGGCTGGAGGAGAAAGGGAAACTTCAATTGAGCTGTTGTTGAAGTTTGGCAAAGTTTGGGATGGTTCTGAGCGAGGACGTTTCACGGGTGAACCAGGATGTTCATTGGTCCAACTGGAACATTGTGTTTCTTCGTCATAGCTACGCTTGACGGGAGCCATCGTCGATATTTGTGTAAAAGTTGCAAATATTGAAGAGCCAAAAATAGCAGGCGGCCAAAGCCACCAAGTAGGTGTTATCAGTTGCAGTGGCCGCTGATTTTTGTGAAGCCTGAAATTTTTGATGTCAATACGTGTTGTACTTCGGGTTATGTAACCAACGAGCCAATGAGAGAAAGCAGAAAATTGGACAGGATGAACTAGATGTAGGATGACTGGAAGAGACAGGAATAGCAGTAAAAGCGAAGGTCAAGTTGAATATGGCTCGACGAAGGKCTGCTATAAAATATGATCTTGGACTCTCCAGAAAGAAAGTCTCGCATTGAAGACGGGAGACAGACAGGACACGCGATGATGCAACAGCAGTATCATGCCCGGACGCGATACGCAGTACGAACTTGCGAGACAAAAGAAACGGGGGTTACACACGATATTGATGAAATGAGATCTTCTAAAGCGATCTCTCGATCGAACCTCAGCGTAAGGTGGTCGGTGTTGTAGACGGTGTAGTCCAAGAAAAGCTTGACCAGAATCAAGAAAAGAAGCCGACAATTATTCCGGAGCTTTTCACGAAGAATCCTTACAGAGCAGTAAGAAGAGATGTTGAGGATACAATGAATAGATATTCCGAAGAAGGATACGAAGAGAAAAGAGGAAGAATTGATGATCGAGAATGAAAAATATTGGGGAGTCTTCAGTCGAGGCAAAAGTGAATATGGACGTAGTAAGATCGAAAAAGGTTAGCGTCAAACGCCAATGCCAGGAAAGGTTTAGCGTGGGAATAGAGCCGGACAACAATACAGGGCGTCTGCACGGCACAATGAGAAACCTGACGGTCACGGGAGAGACACAAGATGAGCGAGAGAAGAAGACGACATCTACCAGTTGGATAGAAGAGACAAAAGCGACAATAGGGAAGCGACAAACAGAAGACGGCGAGGGACAGAGCCAGAAGGGCCAACGGGAAGATCGCAGAAATGGCGGGKCTTGCCAGACGCTTGTCTCGATTTGGCCTGCAGAGTATACTTATGTAGAGTGGCCTATGAGCGGCCGGGATTTGTCACTATGAATTTTCCCTCTTCGCCTACTAGTGACGAAACCCGCCATTTGATATAAATATTGATATTGATAAATTATTCTTCGTTTCATGCGACAAAGCATTGACTAATTCACAGGGCCTGGCGTTTGCTGAGCACATGAGGCTGTCGAATATCTTTGAGGCCATTAGTTAACACGGTGCTGATTAGCGAGCGATATCTGCAGGGGTCACGACTGCTATTKCTCTGTTATTATAACAAGTCTATGCCTATTGATCGACTTCTGAGGGATCCAAGTGGTGCTAGAGATTCGATAATCAAGTCTCCCCTGGCTCTATGGTCATATATCCGTCACTAGTTACATGCTTACAACATCGCTCTGAGTGTTGGCAACCCAACCCCATTTCTCTCTCCCACATTGAGAGCTACCAGAAATCGACTGACACAATTGTMCCCCGCCACAGTAGCAGTAATCTCAACAATCTCTTTCTCCGTAAAAAGCCGCCGCAGTTCATCGAATATCAGTTCCGGGACCGCAATGTTCTTGGTCATCGCATCTGTGTATCGATAGACCGCAACCTGTCGAGGATTCAAGACCTGCAGAACTTCGTTTTCTGTCCCCGTAAGATCTTTGTTGGCCAGCACTCGAAAGGCTTCTTGACTAAATCCCGTGGCTTCCAAGAGCGGCGCATGCTGATCCCATTCGTAGCGAGCATGGTTGACCGCAGCTATCCTGCAAATGGCGAGTTCACGAAGGTCGTCTGGAAGACTGGTCTGAGAGCGAATGGCACCAAAGAATGAGTTCCATCCATTCGCGACTGGGTAAGAATGGAGCAACGCTCGGTCGAGTGCTAGCATGCCCCCTTCACCGCGTCGTGCCTGGATGCTGGATAGAATTTTTGCTTCCTCCGGGCAGGAAGTGGATGGAGGGTCTGCAACGTAGGGGATGCGCATTTTGATATAATGCTTATTGTTTGGATGTGTTTCTTCAGGAGAGGGGAGTTCTGATTTCCGCAAACAATGAGTCCCTAGGAAAGGTTTGCACGGTGGGATCGGTCTCAATTTAAGCTACAGTCCCCGTTTCTGTGCCGACGCAGACGCAGAAATCGATATGATACATCATTCTGCAGCGAAGCGAGCTGTTCTAACCCTGCCATAGACGCATCTCGAGACATACTCTATTGATAGGGTTACACAATCTATTCCGGATCCATACCCTTGACGCGACTAGACAGGGCCGTGGAGATAGAGCCCGATCCGCTGATTTGCTTGGCTTGCTGTGTGGTCATGCTAGATGTGTATGATGTACATCATCTAATTAGATGCGTACACCATCAAGTTAGATGTTTTCCCCATCTAGTTAGATGTGTGCACCATCTATATATTAGTTTTTCAAATCCGATAGCGGCGTGCTAAGTTGCATCTGGACTGATTGGATTGATTTCCGGTTAAATTCGCGAACGGCGATCGGCCTGGTGGAGATGAAGATCAGAAATTTGGGATCTTTGACAGCCACTTACGCTTGGCTGCAGGATGTTCTATTCTAGTAAATAGTACGAGTACGTAGTCTACTCAACACGTAGCAATACGTAGAAGAAGCCGGTGAAGTGGCTCGTAAATACGTGCAATAGAAAAGACTAAGCTTGGCGCAGATCATAGGGGATCCACGCGCTCCACTCTGGACGACGTCTCACTCGCTGCGACCGACAGCTTCAACTACAGTCCATGATACACGGCTTAAACACAACCACTGCACCATCTGCATCAAGCTCGCCATGCCTCCAAAAGGAGCCAAACCTACGAACGATGAGCTGCTAGCTCAATTTGACGATCTCGGTATCGACACGACGGGCAAGTCCTCAGAACCGACTCCCGCGCCTCCGACCACAACCACCTCCAAGCCAGCTCCTACAGAACCTCCAACAGCTACCGAAAAAGATCCTCTAGCTGAATTAGAGAATCTCGCGTCCCAGAGACCCAGCACACCGCGCCTGTCAGCAGAAGCGCGTCGCTCAAAGCCCTCTTCCGGTCGGACAAGTGAAGAGAAGCCCGCTATACAACCCCGCGCCGCGGTCGTCGAGGATGAACAGCCGTTAGATAAACCAACACCGGCACCTACTGCTTTACAGGAAGAAGCCAAAAGCTCTGGTGGAGGATGGTGGGGAGGATTCCTGTCGACGGCGACGGCGACAGCCACTGCCGCGATGAAGCAGGCTGAAGCGGCTGTGAAGGAGATTCAGAAGAATGAAGAAGCACAGAAGTGGGCAGAGCAAGTGAGAGGGAACGTGGGTGCTCTCAGAGGTCTTGGTAAGTTCTTTAATTATTATTGAATATGCATCCACGTTCAGGGATCAGGACAACTAATTTGGTTATCAGGAGGAGAACTGCGAACTCTAGCCCTACCTACCTTTACATCAATCATTCACACATTAGCACCTCCAATCTCATCCCACGAGCGACTCCAAATACACATTACGCACGACTTATCCGGCTACCCCAGTCTCGAACCTATAATCCACTCCGTCTTCGCCCGCGTAATGTCTCAAGTCGAAGGCGGCGATCTCCTCGTCATCCAACGCGGTCAAGAATCCTCTCCTCGTCGCGGGACAGACTTTGGCTTCCAATCTTCAATTACAGGATGGCGTGATGGGCCATGGTGGAGAACCATCACCCCTGGTACCCCGCGCAGCATCGCAGCTGTCCCCGGCGTCGTACCGGGCACAAAACTCGCTCGCGCAAGCGCAGAGGCTTATGCTACAGAATTCTATTCGTCGCGAGGCGGGATCGAAGAGGCTGCTAAACAGGCGACTGAGATCTTGAGTGAATCCAACCCCGTGCGAAGTAGCGATATTTTCCTTTCGATTCAAGCTATCAGCCAGACCGCACCGAAGGATCTGTTTCAAGCCGGTCCTACAGCGGAAAAAGCCACGCCGGAAGGTGCAGGAGGTGTAGTCGAACCGGCCGAAAATGGCGAAGAGGAGATTCTATTCGCTGTCTACCTGCACGACCCCGTCCATGGAATCGCATTCAACACAATCTCACAAACCATCCCTCGCAAATGGATCGAATGGCTCGATGCATCGACCCCGGCAACAGAGGGTCAAGAAGAGGACACGCGCACGAGAATCCCGGAAGCAATCCAGGATATTATCGAAAGTGGTGGTGTGGATCCTCGGGAATGGGTCTCGGAGTGGGTGGAGGAATCATTGAGTCTGTCAACGGGCGTTGTTGCGCAGCGATACGTTGCGCGTCGTATGGGTGTTGGTGAGGGCGGAATTGCAAAGGGGAAGTTGAAAGCTGGGCAGGCTACGACGATTGAAGGTGGAGCTGGCGAGGCCGCGAGGACATTGATTTAGTTTTTTTTTTGTCTCTTTTGATGTTTGTTAATATATTAAATGATACTCCACACCAGTCTTTGCATTTTGTGCAACTTGTTCATGTCTATATCTCTATCGGCAAGTGATATTTCTATATCCAAGTACTTTGTCCTCATTGCGCATAGAGCGCATCTAACCATAAACCCATAAACCCATTAAGAACCATCTATGCCAGTTAACAATCCAACTGCAAATCCCCACTAAATCCATCCGGATGCCAAAAATTGGCCTTTAGCGGCGTGACACTAAACTCCGCATCAGCAAAATCAACCCCGCGAGAGATGGAGGGGATAGAAAAAAACTCACCTCGTAAACCCATCAAGCACAGTCCTCGCATCCGTCCCCTGCGGACTCTCCGCCAGACTCCTCTTAATATCTGATAGTTCAGCCTCCCAGCGAAACTGGCGTATCCTATTCGACTTCCCTTTCTGGTGTATCTCAACTTTCTCGTTACTCTGAACAACCTCAGCATAAAGACTGGCTTTGGTCCACTCATTCCTCAATGCACGCGTATATCTGACTGGTCTAGTCTCCACGTCCTCTCTCATCGGCACATTGAGGTTATACAATTCAACCCTCTCATCCCAATTCCGGCATAGATACTCAATCACCCTCGTCGATAATCGTGCTGCTGCCGCAATGGTTGCAGGCGGTTGCTCATCTTTACTTCCAAACGAGAGCGCGATTCCGCGCTTGCCGCATGTAGCAGCCTCTAATGCGCCGCCCACGGTGCCGGAGGAGAGGTTGTAGATTGTGCTGGCGTTGCGGCCGTGGTTGGGKCCTGAGATGACCAGGTCGATAGTGCCGCGCGATGGGAAAAGAGAGTAGAGACCCAGCTGGGCGCAACTGGCGGGTGTGCCGTTGCTTATTACGACCCAGTAATCTTCCTCATTTTTGCTCTCGTTCTCATCGATTGATGGTGTCGAGACGTTGAGATGTTCACTTGACGCCGCGGGGGTGGGTGGCATGTACCCATTTGTCGTCGTTGTCGGCGTCGCTGTGTTTTGTTCTTTTTCGCTTTCGTCAACCCATGTCCCGTCTTCTCGAAATGAGTCTGGGTGAACATATGTAGCCGTCAACGAGGCGCCGATGATATGCGCTTTCCCGATCCAGGAGCGCGATGCGGCGGGGATGACGACTGAGACTCGATGACCGGCATCTTTCAGAGCGTCTACAAGGGGGCGGATGTAGGGTGATAATTTTTTGGATGGGGGGCCATCGTCATTGACGATCTTCGAAGCCGTTAGTCTCTTTCCTGGGATGTTATGACCATGCTGGTGGGAACTTACTAGGATATGCATGGTTGAAGTGCAACTGAGTGGAATCAATCAGATGATGAAAAGCGGAGCAAATGAAGAAGCAATGAAAAGAAGCACTAGATAGCACTTTCTATATAAAACACACTGTATCTTCCTGCTCGTATGTACAATTTTTGATCCTTCCAACGATCAAATGTCTACAGGATTGGTCCCTAATTTTGCCGAGGTCCTTTGTTCTGCTGTTGTTTCTTTTTCTTGGACCTCGTATTTTGACGGATGTTCTCTCCTAGAGGAAAAGTATGGAAAAAGGGAAGAAAGCAAGAGAAAAATGCGAAAGCAGAGCCAGCGGGCTTAAAGTTATTTCATTTGTATGTGTATGTATATCTTCACCGAGCTTCATGGCTAAAAGCTTCCCCGAGGAGACCCAGTCGACTTTTCAACTAAGGCTCCAATGCACATTCCTGTCAATGCGGGGCAATTAGCCGGAAAATAATCTCGGTATCTCGAATTTACCCAGTCAGAGTCGCAAGAGGGTAGTAACGTACCCAAGGTTTGGTACTGTTGCAGAGGTGTGTATTGGCGGAAGAATGCAAAATAAGCTGTTTAAGCGCTCAGCGCGTTCGGGGAACTTGCCGAAGAACTTTTTTTTCGGGATGTCGGTGAGCACTGATAGCCTGATAAGCACTGCGAAGGACAAAGTTGCACTTCGATAACGCGGAAGCCCTAATCAGTCTTTCCGGCAACAATTCATTGTGTGAGTAAGTACTACGACGGATGTTGCTCTTTGATTGCTGTCCTGGTGTATCGTGATCGAGTGCTTGATCAGACTAAATAATCGAACGAATCCTTACTGAAGCGATTGTGCATATGCTCCATGCGCGGCAGTTCATTTGCTCCTCGTGACGAAACGATGCAATTGTCAGTGACTACTCAAAACTGCATTTCGGTGAGATCTCAGCTGCGAGCCAACATCCGCCTGCCCGCCTGGCAAACATCGACAATCGCATTCCCTGTTTGCTAATCTGTTCAGTTTAATGCCACCAATGCAACCCCAGGTTAATAGTAGCATACTTCACGTGGCGTATCGCTGACACACTTAATGGTAGCTTCTCATGAAGGTGATTATTGCGTAGGTACGCACTATAAGACCGACAATCCGATGCACCACGGCCCTGTAACACAAGCACTCGTGGATACCGTATCATATCGTCGGTGCTGATCGACAGCTAAGATCAGGAATACATAGAGCGCCAAAGCCAAGCATCAAGGATTGCTAGATCTTCCACGCACTCTGTTCCCTGCAGGCAAACACGAACGCTGCCAAGCAACAATAGCATGTTGCGGAAAGGGCGGATGAAGGTCAGCGATGAGAAAATACTGCTTTTGACTGTTCACATGATAGTCATGACGCGTCATTCTGAGAATTGACCAGGAGATAGAAGAAGAGGAAGGGACGAAAGAGAAGAAGGAGAGGAAGGAAAAAAGAGAAGACATCCTTTGATTCCCCAACGAAGGAGCGAGTAGTATATAGAAATTTAGTGAGGCAGGTACGTCTGCAAATCTGATTGCAATTTTAGCAACCTTACCTAAAGAGGAAACACCCCCATTTTTGCAATCAATTTCCGCAGCCCACCATTCATCATTCTACACAGTAGAAGCAGGCACTGTACGTAAACCCCCTGACATCGTTGCACTTTTGCAAATTCAACTTGGCGTTTGCGGACTGCAAAAGTCCGGCATTCAACTCATCATAAATCCATCGTCTCTGATTCGATCTGGTACATACGAGACATGGTCCCCAACCGGTCGCCCGCGGCAAGAAAATGCCGGCGAGCCACCTGATGAATGATTTTTTTTCGGGCATTTCGGTTCTTTTTAACGACATGCCTATGTTGCTTTTCACACTTACCTCAAATGAACAACTCATTCTATGAGTCTCGGTGCCCTCCGTGGAAATGGTAGACGTCTTATGGGCGTGGTCAGTGCTCCCGTGGAGTTTTTGCGCCCACGAACTAAGAAAGAGCCATACAATTGTTACATCTAACGAGACTTACGATACACAAAAAGAGAGAGTCAACGGTAATATTGTATGTATCCTGGCTTGGCAGCGTATATTGATTACTCAAATGAATACGAAATCAGAACCCGACCCCAGATCCTCTTTATCAGCCCCTGGCTATTGGAAGATTGGAATGGAAATAAAGCATCCTGCCTGGTGTGTAACCAGTAAAACATCGGACTCCGTAGGACATCTACTATAGTAAGGCTGTGGGAGAAGGCCATGGATGATGCATGTAATGTGTCTTTTAATATAGCCACGATCCCAACAATAATACCATGCACCATCTGGATTGTATTTCAGCCCATCTTCCTCCCCTCTTCCTGTCTGTTCAGGTTCATCATTCTCATCATCTCATCCTCAGGCCATCTGCTTATCAACAAACCAATAATCATCCTGTACACGCGGTTGAGAAACTCCGTCTGCCCGCCGCAGACCGACGCCTGATTCCCCAGGCAGCCAGGCCAGCATTTAAGGCGCCCATCCACCCTCTCCGTTGGAGTCCGGTCTGTGCGTATTCTTCCAGGTCCCAGTTGAACGAACATCCACCCTCCAACTCCTTAGCTGTTATTTTTACTGGCAATTACTAGGGTGAACTCAGTACTGCTGTATTGTTGTGCACTGTCCTCAAATCAAAATAATCGCACAGGTGGAGCCACGCCCCAGCAGGCTTTCCGTGGTCGCAGAGTCGCAGCAAAGAGAAAAAAAAAAGCAACCTTGGAAGAAGCGACTAAACCCCGCTTGGTGTCGACAGTGGATAGTCTCAGACTGACTGACTGAAGCGCTTTTCTCTCTAACCACCATCTGGGTGACTGCAAACAACAATTCAAAAATCCAACCATCGAAAACAAAACTACGTCAACTACAAAGACCCTTCGACCGATCAGTCGCGGGGCTTGCTTACCACGACATTCCTCCCCCTCTCGTCGATATCGCCTGATGGACTGCGGGAGTGCTGATAATGCGCCGGGCGTCGATCCCAACAGTATCCTCAGCTCGTGGGATTTCACCAGCAACACCTTTTCCGATTTGACCTGGGACCAGAACACCTTTGACAACCTGCCAGAACTAGATTCGTACCAGGATTCTAATGAAGGTGATGCCGAACTATTCGATTTCCTCTCTGCTCAGGGCCCGCCCAGTCGCGACAGCCTTGACCCCTCGGTCATCGACGCGACAAGTCTGGACTTGAGGTTCGTCTCATCTGCCCTTCCATATATGAAGTGTTCGGAATATCTGACATGAGATGATCTCTTTAGCAACGCTTCAGTAGGTGTTACCGATGGCGTCAACTTTGTGGGAGGAACCTTTAGTCCGCGAACACATCAATCCGTCGACGACAACTTGCTCTCCGACAATGCGTGGTCGCAATTTCAACTTTCCCATTCCAATGGCTTGGTGATGCCATCGGACTCGGTCTATTCGAACCAATACCCAAAAAATACGCTCGGACGGAGTGCGACCGTGATTGTCGACGATGGCGAGCGGGGAATGGACGCTGGACTGACAAACTATCAGCGGGCACGTAGCTTGTCTGCCTATCAACGACTGCGCCAGTCTGTATCATACAACAGTGTCAATCACAACAAACAACATGGATGGCGTAACTCTGTCAGCTATCCAACCTCGTTCGCTCCGACGCAGTTCCCTATATCACCGCCACTGGAAGCTCAGTCGGAAACATCGATGACGAGCGCATCACTGAATCAACAATGGTTCCCCAACACCGACATGTCGGTTGGGTCTTTTGCCGTCCTGCCGCACGATGTGTCCGTCTACAGCCGACCTCAACAGGCCAAGCCGGAACCTCAGACGGGATCAAGAAGCCCTTCAATACACAGTAACGGTATTGCTGTGTCTGTTGATTTGAACAGTATAGCAAGCAACGGGTTACCTTTAAGCACTGATAACAGTGTGAAAGACGAGCAAATAATTATACAATGGGATGAACCAGTCTCACCCGAGAAGTCCCTGGAATCATCACCCGAGTTTCCCAAAGTCAATGGGTTCATGGTTAGTGAGGATACTTCTGACATCCCACAAATGTCGCTCGAGCAGGAGCGACGAAGCCATGTCGGTTCTCGACATACGCCATCAGCATTCCAACCAGCTTCAGTAGCACGCAAGCGCAAACAGAGGAACTCTTCTATTGTCAACATTGACCAGATCCAGCAACCAAGACCTTTACAGATTGTCCAAGAAGATGGATTGGGAGGGGCTATATCGTCCGAAGACTTTGTATGCCCCCCTCGAGGTGCTCGCCGGAAGGGTCCTTTGACCATTGTGGGCAGGGCCAATGCCGGCTTAAGGCGGAAGAATAAAGATACATGTGTTCAATGTCGATTGAACAAACGAAAGGTATGCTTCATACGAACTTCGTGATAGACCTATACTGATTGTGCTTAGTGCGATGGCAACGCACCATGCGATGCTTGTCGTCCTACCCTACAAGAGCAGCCTTGTGCCCGTGCATGCTTTGCTAGTATTGTCGAGTACGGGACTTGCAACTATATTTGTAAGTGACGCCGACTTCGAAAGATGAGCATAGAGCTAACATCTTGCAGCACAACGAGCAATCAATCATGTCACATCCACGGCAGGCGATCACCGGGTCCGAATTGAGATTCCTTCAGCATTTGACCTCCATGAACTGCTTAATTTCCTCGGCGAGCGCCGCGGTAAATTCAATATCCGCGCCAGCCAATCTTGGGGATCTCTCTACGTACTTGACCTTGGGGAAACATACAAATTCCTCAAGAGTCTCAGCGAGTACAATGACAATTCTCAGTCGACATTTTTAGAGTTCATCGACCATCGTGTCATTGACTCCAAGGATAAGACCAAAAATTGGCTTAGCTGCGTAAAGGACTGTGACCCCATGAATAATGTCTATGTAAGTTGTGATCATATCGCCTGTAATATTCTTACTAATTTGATAGAAACTGCTGTCCCAATGGAACAACATGCCAAGCCGCGCATCGTACAGTTTCGTTGCTTTGGACGGATCTTCCAACGACAAACTAATGGATGTGTCCAACAACCAAGACCGTCGTGATATTTTACTAGCAGCTCAATTGTCTCGGATTTTCTGTCGATTACTTGAAGTCGAGGGTTTCCGCAAACTAGAACGTGATTTCTACAACATTAAGTGGAAGCGAATCTCTTTGGATGCCCATATCCGATTCTTGGAAGAACTGGGCAACATCCTCCTGTCTCTACGCTGGCGTGTGTCATGGTGGAAGCGACTCGGTGATGGCGGCAAGGAGCCAGATCCCAGCCAGCAGCACTACATCGACCGCGTCGAACTCCTCTGTCGAATCCTATACGTCTACTATACTAGCGTTCTCACCAAACTTCCTGCTTGGTCGGCCACCGACAACTTGAAAGGCAAGTACTCGCGGTACGCAGATACCGAGCAGGAGATCTGGGATAACTTCCCCGAAGATCCCAGTGAGGACGGATTCCAGCGATGGATGGCGCAGGGTCAGGAGCTCATCGAGCAGGCCGGTAGCCCCGTTCGGGTAGCCACCAAGATCACCAAAGTTTGAGCTTCTCCATTTAATGATGACGAGCATGATATGATAGCGTGTTTTTAATCTTCTTGTTTATATTACTTTTGCACATTTTTTCTATTCTGTTGTTCGACATTGTAATCCAAACACAACCGAAAAAAAGGGACGGAGCGATTTGAGATACCCAGGGCAAGCGATTTCATATTGACATTTGACGGATTCATCTTTGCAAGATCGGGTTCTGTTGAATGTTTTGGTTTCATTTCATGGCACATTGGTTTTTGTTTTTACTGTGCATAGTTGGTATTATTAATCAATGGAACTTTTATCTATTCAATTCATAGTAGCCCAAAAAATATGTACAATCGTGGTATGTTCATCAAACGCCATGACATGTAAACTCGAGCAGAGTGCTGGGTATCTGTATATGGCTCGACCTGCACACAGTCGAACGGTATCCTCCAACGTTGCTTTCCTTTCATCACGCCTCGATCAAGCTCGGTGTCGAAATAAATAATCTCCTATCTCCTGCCCCCTTCCCCTCTCTGACCGCTGCTCCGCGGAGGGATAAAAACTCATTTCTTCTTATACTCAGCCCTCTTCTCTTTCATCTTCTCCTTCTTCGCATTAACCAACAACTCCAAATGTCCCGCTCGTTCCGCAAGACTCTTCTCCGTCTTGTTGATCAGGCCTGACGAGAGCTTCTTCATCGTCTTGCGCTGTTTCGCGAGTTGGGCTTTTTTCGGCGCGATTACGCGGGGGCCGAGTTTTGAGGATGATCTTTTAAAGCAAGTGTTAGTTAGTTACGAAAAACGAGAGAATGGGAGGGAAGGGGGCTTACTTTTTGCCAGTGCCGGGTTTCGCTTTCTTTAACGGGGCTTGGGCCATTGCGTATGTTCAGAGTCTGGTACTGTTACTCGTAGTATTGACTGAGGATGTAAATTTGTAGTGATTCCAGATGGTTTGGGCGGGCTGCTCGCCCGAGTTGAAAATTCCTTATCGGTTATCGCCGAGGTCACGTGATATGTGACCAAAACATACACAGATTTCAGATCAACCTGGATACGTACTGTTATTAAAGACAAGTATATACTCAATTGACAGATGAAATACGTTACCATCAATTGATCTTTGGGTATGCCTAGCACCAACATCTTGTCGAAGCTCACGTGAAGCGGGTCGGTGGATCGCAGCTTCTCCGTGCTAAATCAAAACAATTCAGGGGACAACGGCGGGGACAAAACAAACATCTCCTTTTGTTTTCTAGCTTCCTGCTTTATTTACTGCGTACTTTCTCATCTTACCTAAATTATATCTTCAGAATCTTATTCTTGTTTAAATAATCGTCGGAGCACCTGCCCCATGAGATAGTGCCCGTTCCTGATCGAGACGGCATCTCCGCTGATCGTTGCAATTGGCAGGCAATTCGGCATTCCTCGGTACATACCTAAGTAGCTTTCATCTGATCGAGGATACTCCGAATCCATGACTCTCAGTTGAGTTAGCTTTTTCTGCCATGGATTCATTCTCCATATCCCCGCAACTTCTATCACCGTCATCGTCCACCAGACAAAAGTCACAAAGCACCTTTCGAAGCTCCCCCCGGTCCAGTCCGCCTTCTGTCTTCGTCCGTTCCCCGCCGTCTCCACCACCGAGGCCAGAGCCATTGAACCTCCAGACGCGACGATTGCAACTGCGGAACGCGCGCTTTCAAGGTGCTCGCATCTCGCCAAATAAGGTAGCCTTGTCTGATCGCTTTGCGACATCATGGCGGTCTGCGTCTCCCGCGTCTGATGCTTCCGTTGACAAAGAAAATCAATCGCCTTCTCCTGACAACACCAACAATAACGCCCTTGAACAAAGACCACACAATAAATCCCCTGGATCCACACGGCGAAGAGTCAGTATTTTGCAGGAAATCCACGACTCGTCTCAAAGAGGTCGCAAATTACGTCGTCCATCTTTGTCACGCCTCTTTGGTCCGCCGCTCGATGTATCGGATCACCACTCTTCTTTGAATCAGCGATATTCATATCGGTCCCCGTCATCTTTGCGACAGCTGTCTCCTTATTCTATTTTGAGAGACAATGATGCGGATCTCGTGACGGCGACCTATAATCAGCAGAACCGGTCCTCGCCGCTGTCGACTTTTCATACAAATAGACCGAGAAGCAATAGTCGCGATAGGACAGATAGCTACGCAACGGAAAGATATATCGAGCATCTAGAGGCACAACTTGCCGCGGTACAGAATCAGTCGAGTCCAATGCAGGCGTCAACCACCAAACCGCAGGTCTCCAAGCTGAGGGCCCTGAATGCTGAAATCAAGGTGCTACGGCAGGAGATTGCGGAATGGGAGGACAAGTTTGACGTTCGAGTGCATGAAGAAGTTGGACTTCGGACGGATGTGGAAAGTAAGCTTCGAACCAAGATTATTTTTCTTGAAGGTCAGCTCGAGGACTACGCTACTCGGATTAAAGACCTCGAATGTGAGCGAGATTTGCAGGCGCAGAAGTTACGGAATGTAGAGTCTCTGCGATCTACGAATCGGGGCCTGGAGAGACGTATCGATGTCTTGACGGAGCTGCTCGCACAGTCTCCCACGAGAATAGAAAGTCGCAGCCCAGAAGTGTCGCCCACCCGCAGTCCTGGTCCTCGTCTGTCTCGACCGAAGTCAATGCTCCCGTCTGTACCATTGCGATCGGATGTTGTCTACCCATTGGCCGAACCGAGCTTGATCGATCCAGAGGCTGGAGTTGAGAAACACGAGCCGGAGGTTCCTGACCTGATTCCTGATGACTCTACTATTGCTTCTTCAGTGGCATGTGACTCTCAGCGTTCGTCTACAATATCGCATCCATCAACAATCTCATCGCGATGGAGTGTTCCTCTTCCTTTCTCACCCGAGTTGCAAGGTAAAACTCCTGTACGGGCGCGAAATATGCGGCGTTTCCCATCCGGGACTTGCACTCTCAAACCTCTGATATTACCTACCACTACTACTCCAACACCCACGTCACCACAACGACCGTCACTTACCGGCGAACATTTCTCTTCGATTTACAGTCCCGGTTACGAACGAGGCGCGGACAATGCAACACGATTCGCGCAAGAAGAAACACTGGCTGCTCTAGAAGGTCGTACAAGCCATTACCAAGCATATGAAGATGAAGTGTCGGAGCCAGAAGATGACAATATTTCTGACTCTCCATTGTCGAGACGGTCCGAACCTAACAATATGCACTTTGCGACAACACTAGATTCTGAACTCGAGGAAGCAGAACGAAACGATGAATTCATTAGGCCACATTCAAGGCAATCAAGTCAAGCTTATTCTCGTCTCAATACCCCTGTTGGGTCAACTCGTCTGAATATCTACGGTAGCCACCACACACCCAGGGCGTATAGGGTACCTTTGTCGGTACGCAAGGGCAGTAGTGCCGATTTGGAAGCCGGTACTTCTCGAGATTCGAAAATGTCATTTGCTCGAAGGTTGATTGTAGGGATATGGAGGAGGAGCATCAAGCAACTCGGGCGAGTATCGTGGTGGGTTTTGGGCATTCTATTTGGCTCTGAACAGCGAAATGAGTGGGCAAAGAGTTCATCCTCGTTACGTATGCGCATGAAACCAGAATCTCAACATCGTCCTTCTCAACCTGTCTGTCATGCATGTGGCCAGTGTCAACAAACCCACAAACGAGAGGAAAGCAGCACTTCGAACAGCGACAACCTGGACGGCATCAACCGGACTATACTCATGTGGACAAAGCTCTCTGTTGCAATGATAGTAGCTTTCGGACGCGCGATTCGCTACGGGCCTGAAACAGTGCTGTTGGATACTCGGAACGATTCAAAAAACGAATATCGCCCTTCGTCGTCAATCCGTTATAAATCTTCTCGAAACAAATCAATCGACCAGACGAGCTCATTCAACCTGCGCAATAACGACGACGAACATAATACATTAGAAGAACATACAACCTGGCCCACGAGGCCTTTGACAGTTGAAGACTTTTTCATCAGCTGATCAATCCGTCCACTGTCGGAGAAAGAATCACATCTAACGACTAACGACGCAACAAACAGCAAAGCGACCCTGACAAAGGAGTTGATCCTTGATTCCTCCCTACTTTTAGGTGAGGACTATATACACACCCCTCGATAGGCAGGGTCTCATTCTTGTAATTATTATTCTTACTGGAGCCATCAATGTAAATACATAATCAAAAATACTACAAATATCCATGGTAATATTGCATGCCAGAACTCGACCTGATCAGTCAGTTCGGAGAATTACCGCATTGAGTATCTCTTACCTTTTCCAGAAATTTGTCGTTGGTTACACGAAGTAATCGATAACAAAGCGAAGTAATCGATAAGTAAGTAGTAGTCATTAGAATATAAAGACATTAATGCTTAGCTGAAATATAAACATACACATAGACAATGTATAAGAAGAATTAATTCTCATGACTCCATTCGCTTCAACAACTATACCACCCCGCACAAACGCAACTCGCCTGAAATGTACATGACCGTTATGTAAAATATGGTGATGGAATAAATTTGCTTGCTCAGATGAAAGACTTGGCATGCGATGCAGACGAATGGAATCAAGAGACGAGAATCCCATCAATTGATGAAAGACTCAAGAATGTACAAGAAGGACAAGGAAAACTCATTTAAAAGGCCAAAAGAGCGGCAAGACCAGCAATAGCACCAACGGTACCGAAGCTGACCATGTTGCGGTCAGCGGCACCAGTGTACTTGGGAGCAGCGGGGACGGTGCTGGGCACAGAGGTGGGCACGCTAGGAGTACCAGTGCTGGTAACCCAGGGGATGGAGACGGTACCGGTGCCGACGGGGAGCTTGGTGCTCTCGGGGCAGATGACGGTGGTGCTGACGGTGTAGTCGACGACGGTGCTCAAAGCGGCGGTGGTGGTGGGCTTGATGACGGCGCTGCTGCTGGGGAGGATGACGACGGTAGTGGTGGAGGTAGGGGTGGAAGAAGAAGCAGCGGCAGAGGAAGAGACGGAGACAGCGCCGGCAAGGACACCGAACTGAGTGGTGTATTGGTAGGCCTCAGTGGTCCAGTCGATGAGCATGATTCCGTATCCGCCGGAGGAGGTGGCGGAGGGAGTGAGGTCGGTGGGTTTCCAGGTGAATTCACCGCTGTTGGGGACAGAGTCGGCAATGGTCAAGATGGGCTCGCAGTTGGTGGAGGGGCCCTGGCAGAGAACCAAGGCGATGGGGCCGGGGGTGGTAGGGTCCCAGGTGATGGAGTAGTCCTCACCCAAAGTCACGGGGCTGCCGGCGTTGGGGGTGTAGAGCGAGTTACCGCTGGGGGCGGCGCCGCTGGCAGTTGGGTTGAAGGGAGTAGGGTAGGTGTAGGCGGAGACAGAGGCGACGAGGCCAGCAGCAATAGCGAGGAACTTCATTTTGATGTTTTGTTTGTTGTTGTTGATCGTTAGACGACGAGTTGTGATTGAGAGTATTTATGTAGTGAACTGAAAAAGTTCAGCTGGCAAGAATAGATGGTGGTGTTTGTAAAGAACGACACGAGTCAAAGGACTCTATTTCCAAAGAGAGACTGGAGTGAGGCTGGAGAGGCAGTGTTTGCGTAGCGAGAGAGAGAGAAAAGAAGAAGCAGAGGAAAAGTAAGGGAAGCGACGAAGAAATACTTGGATGACCTTAGGGCAGGCAGCCTCCCTGGCTGCGGCTCTTGCCTGAATTCCCCCCTCCTGCTGTCTCCCTGCAATTGCGAGCGGTACCTTCAATACCTTGTATTACATTTCGTTACCATCAAGGCCCGTATGGGCAAATTTGGTGCTTTCTGGCTGCTGATTGGATGGGACAGCAAAATAACTTGCAGCGCACGTGAGCCCCACTGGTTAGTGTGGTGTGCAGGGGGCGCAGGCCCCAATCAGAGTGGGCCGACACTGCCCCAGCTGAGTTAAGATTTAGTCCTCATCAGGATTAGTCGATGTTACCGTCCACTGTTGCATAGTTTGGTACTCAGGCACAGGTACCTCGCGGCACTTGGCTGTCCGCTGAGTCCCATTGTAGCGTATTGCTCGTCGTATTCGGGTGTATTTCTGTGTATTTGAGGACCTCATGCCTGGCTAGACCCGATCGGGAATTTCTGCGCCCCATTCGGGCCGTTTTCTAATTTCCGATTGGCCCGTGCCTGTGTTCCCCTTTCTTTTTCTCTCTCTGCATCGCTGCATCATAGCGCAACACGTTGTGTACTTACTACTTAGTAGTGCATAGTAGTAGTTAGGTGGACTACGTACGTGTGCTCTGTCGCTTGACTCTGTACTATGCATAACCCGACAAAAACTGAAAAGACAACAACAAGTGTTGTCGGCAAAGCCAAGAATCGGCAGGCATTCCCAAGAGTGGCGTGTCTTACAATTGCATCATGGATTGGCCTGACCAGAACTCATAATACGAGCTAATCTGCGTAATTTCGCGATTCAGTTACCAAGAAATTAACGCGCATTAGCCCGTGAGCCAGCACGTACAACGTAGCCACTAGCAGTCATTCTCGCTGGCTCCGCCCGGTACGAGGCTGGTCCTCATTCTTCCGCACTCATACTCATGCCTTTCGCATTCTCACAACAATAGTCCAGAACTGAAGCGTAGAATCAGAAATTCCAGGCCAAGGAGACAAATACATTAGGATGAGCCTAGTATGGCTGAACAGCGGTGACTCTGATACCGCCCAGACGAGGCGCAACGGGCTGGAAATGAGAATCAGCCACCCGGCCTAGACTCGTATTACTCTCAATCAAATCGCTGGCCTCTATTTGACGGCTGAAAGTCCGAGTGTTGGTTGGGCGAAAGTTGCTAATTATACTTAGATTGAATGGAGAACAAATATTATTTCTTGTGTTTGTCTTTGATTGGACAGTGGGCTGACTCCTGAGTCAAGGACGAAATCTCAACCCCGTAGAAAGACGGCGAGACTTGGATTTGACGAGACGATAGACAAAGAGAACAATTCAATGTGTAGGACAAGCAGATCCCGAAAATCTCTTCCATACTACACAGGTCGTACCTCGTCATACTCTGCAAATAAGCAGATGTATGACCAACGTTTCGCCGATTTTGGCCCTGCAACGTCGGCCCGTGCAACGGTAATGGTGCGTTTTAGTCGGTCTATGACTCTAGTGAAGGAGATCGTCATCGAAGTTCAGCAATTCGCCAATCACGTTGATCAATTGTTGTGAGCCCCCTGAAGATCTGTTGATGTGCATGTCAATCACTTAGATCTAAGAGAATGAGCAATTCGACATTGTGTACAAACATCCCCCGTGATGACATGCGCGACAATAGTGCTCAGAGCCGTCCGCTTTACTCTCGGGCGATCGCTGTTGAGAGGGTTTTGTTCCCGTTGCCCTACACTCGTCGCTTGCCATGGCAATTGCAGACCTGCAAATTAAACCAAGCTGAAGACGCAAAAATCGATTAGTAAAATTGCTACCATAAGCTATATTTTAATAACAAACGATATTGGAAATTGACAACACGGGAATCGCAGTCAAAATATCACATAAAGAACAACGGGAAACGGTGATTGAGGTCGAAAAGTCATAAGCTCAAACACAACGAGTATTAGTTTTACTGCAAAGAGCAATGAGCGAGCTATAGGATGCAGGCTTGCTGATCAAACCATAACAGTTTGTTTACTTTACAGGTATGGAGTCTCGGCTGATGGAGGTTGCATTTCGACAACTTCCGCCTTGTGGTTTTCCTCCGAAGAGGCCGATGAAGACGCACGTAGAGCACCAAAGATATCCTTGAAAGCACTATCTGGTTTGTAAACAGCAAGGGCGAATACGGCGGTAGTATTCATTCTATAATTTTTAGCATCGTCAGCAAACACTCTCAAACGGGTTTGGATTGGAAGAAACAAAGCGTACGCCGACTCCAGAATGATCGACGGGACCTCCTCACTCTGCAAACTATTGTTCCATCCACCAGCGAGCTCGACGACACGATAAACACATCTAAGAAAGCTGAGTACAAAGGCCGCAATTGCCCCAAGCAAAAATCCACGAAACGAACGAATGCCGTGGACATTGCTGAATTCAACGTTCTTCCAATGTGGGAAACGGTGCTGCACGCGCCATGCAAACTCAAGACACAATGCAGCGACGAGGACGAGAGTGATGATCTGAAATACCAGACCGGCGAGCATAATGTTGTTTCCCATTGATAGCGTTGATTGTTTTGTTGCGGACGATGCTACTCCTCCGCCGCCGCCCTAAAAAGATAAGGAGATGATGTCGGTGATGAAGATGCGGGCGTATTATACTGGGCGAATGCGAGAGACTTTCTCGCCCCATGCGATGTTTGCTGCAAGGTTTGGAGGGTAGCTCAGCCCTAAGTTGTCGGCGGGACAGTTGGGCCCTACTTCTGCGCAATCAGAGAAACGAAATTGCTAGTCAAGCTGCAATTGGCGATGATGTTTCATGAAATCGCTCTTTGCAGTGGTAAGGGTTATACATCAAAAAAGATGACACTGTGGACTGGACTCGGCCTGGCTTTTACATCTCATTGAAGTCAGGTAACTTATCTTAATGTCAGCTCCCCTTACGAATATGCTTCGGCGATCTGCACTGTCAAATCTAGGTTTGAAACTGAAAAGCTCATCAGGATCACCTTCCGACTGTTTAAGAGTCGTGACGAAACTGGCTATATCAGGATCGTTATTAGGGCTTGGCTGCGTTCCGTGTTAGGGCTGGGCGTTAGGTCCTCGGCCGTAGGTTACACGATCCATCGCTCTGCGGAGTACGAATGAAGTGCAAGCAATTTTGGCACTGTTGAGTAAGTTTAGATTCCACATAGAACTTATTTCGATGATAGTGAACCAGCCTTTCATGAATGGACTAACTGTGTCGGCTATACTTGTTCCATTTTGTGTATAGGAATCTCAATATTCCTTTGCAACTCACATCCTCGAAAGCTAGATATTCAACTATTTAAAGATMCCCAGCCATAAATTCACGTCCGTATCGGAAAGTTATCACACCGACCCCAAGGCAAGATTACGTCGTGCGATGTTATGATTTAGATATCTCAACGTCGCATAGTATCAATTAATGTATTTATCTAGTCAAGGGTTATTATAACTGCGTGGACAAGCTCTGAGACGTATGTCTGCGCTTTCTAGGGTAAATAGGGCTTTGTAAAGCAATGGGTTTAAATCGGCCACTTGCCGAAGTAACCATACCCAAGTGGCCCGCATACCCGAGTGGCCCACTAACCCGTAGGGATAATGATGCCCTAAATCACATCCGAGACGTTGGGTCTACTATGTAGGCTTGATTCCGATGTCAACTCTAGTCTCAACTCTTCTAAATAAGTGACATATTCAAGATATGGATCTGATCACTGAAGCAATCATTTTAGTTGAATAATTATCCAAGTCATCACACTATGTAGAGGTTATATAAGTGTTTGGTGATAAAGCTTCTATTAAAAGCTAAAATGTCCGTATCGCATCCCTATGAACTATAGACAGTTTCTAGTGTAGTGTATGATAGGTCCACTCCGGTCGGAGAGAAATCCTCTCCCTGCCCTCTTTTCGCTCCCTGTTCACTTGAGTAACCTGGATCCGCGCCTCAGGCTTTTGGTAAGAGCAGACTCGCAGCACAGTACTCCCACCCATGTTTCACATCCCGGACTCTCACGTTAATTGATGTGGCTGAGTCTGCTCTTCTATTCAAAAAAGTTGATGTTATACAATCGGGGTGTTTGGCCGAAATAGGCCCTCTTTATCAGTGCAGCCATGGGTGCGGATCAACTCAATTGGATTGAACAACTCGCGAAATCGTTCTATGAGACCATCTTTCATTTCGAATGTCATCACGTAGTAAGGTTGTTTGTAGGGTATCTTCCTGCCATCGACAAGATATACGGCATCTAGAGCAGTCTCCACCCAGAACTTGTTGGGATCTTGCGTCTCGTAAACTTTGGGGTTCAGCCACGAGCCGGAGAAATTTGCTGCATTAAAGCAGAAGTTTTCCTCTAGAGCCCGACGGCCCTTGAAGATGATGGGAGACTTGTTGTCCGGGGACAATGGGCTGGCATGTGTGGCAAAGGTGAGCTCTTTGATACCATCGGCGATGAAGCATTCGGCGCGGCTGATGCCGCTCGTGCTTAGGTACTTTTCAACAGTAGCGCGGTTTTTTTGGCGAAGAAGCGCCTGTTGCTCTGTATCTTCCCAGATGGACATAGTTGCTTAATGTTGAACAATAACCGTGTACAATGATTAGAGAGATGGATGTCTGCTGTTAGGCCAGCCTTTGGAGGCGTGATGTCCTTAAGAACTGCTATCAACTACCCACATATGGCTTTTGCACCGGGCCGGGGGAGCAATTTCGTACTAAATAGTTTATTGGCCCTTCGTGATATTAGATAAAGCCCCCAGCACCGTTATAGCGACCTCTACCATTCTAATCCCCTGGAGTGGCTGTCCTGCTTTGACTTTGACCCCGCTCTTATCTGGGAATCCTCTCCATGCGGCTGTCTAGGTCGGCAGTTTTTGGATATCAGAGGTGTAAGGGACAGCATCCGGTCGATAATCAAGTGAGTCACCGGTCCGGTAGGACATTTGATGTATTTGATGTTGGTGCTTATATAACCCATCGTCTGCGTCTCAAGACAGTTGTATCATTGTGACCAGAACACCAAAGCTCGACCAAAATGACAGCTCAATCCGATCTCGAAAATACGGTGAAGTCCGATCTGATCCACGATGACCTCCTCGTGCAGGATAACGGTGAAATAAGCTTGATCCCTGTACCCGCGGCTGACCCAAGCGATCCCCTGAATTGGCCTCGATGGAGACGCTGGTCAATCCTGATTCTCCTCTCACTGTGGTTCGCAGTCTGCCTACTCACACAATCCTACTTATCGAACATCACACCCAGCCTGGCAGCCCAATGGTCCCATGAATCTTCTAGCAAGGTAAACTTGTTAATCACGATCATAACTCCCATATGTGCTCCGTCGAGTCTCCTTTTTGTGGCGCTTTTCAACAGTTTTGGTCGCCGCTTACCTTTGCTTCTGGCTAACCTGATTCTCCTCACCTCGCTCATTTGGGGAGCCTGCACTACTTCCTACAAGTCGTTCCTGGGCGCCCGGATACTGCAAGCCATCGGAACCTCTCCGTCGGATGCAATCATTTATATGTTAATACAGGATATAAGCTTTATCCACGAACGTGGAGCCATGATGGGGGTGGTGTTGAACTGTGGCTACGCGCTGTTTTACATTCTATGTATTAGCCTTCCCTACATGACAACCACACCCGCCTACTTTGGGCCACATTACGTCTTTATTGGCATTATTTCCCTCTGCATCCCAGGCTTCTTTTTTCTAATGCCCGAAACCCGGTACGACCGCATCGCCAACCCCCCGGCCGCCATACACATGACACGCGAGCAGCATCGAGAACTTCAACATGCGCTCAAGGCTAGTCCCTATCCGCTCTCAGCCCAGCTACGTCTGTGGTCTGGTCGCACCCCAGGTAGTGAAGGCCATATCCTCGATATCTTTTCCCGCATGGCCCACCTAGCAATGGATTGGCGAATCTTGTGGTGTGGATTATTGAACACTGTCATCACGGGTTAAGACCGTTCCACCAAGCTTGCATTTCACTAGGAATATAAAACTATAGCCAGAAAGAATAACTGACATATGAGGCCAGAGGAATGGTTGCCTACATCACTTACTTCGCCGAAATCCTTGTCAGTCCACCTTGGAGCTGGCCTGCTTCCAGCATCGGCCTCATAAACCTTACTGGCATATTTCTCGCTGTTTGTACGTTTTAAATACTGGTGTTGAGATCCAACAATATTTCCTAAAAAAGTGACTGACACAAATGAAATTTAAACTAGGGAACTGGATTTTCCTCGGCTATGGCAGCGACAAGCTGCTTGTCTACATGGCCAGACATAATGGCGGGRAGACTAAAGCGCAGCACCGACTCATTATGCTCGTCTTCCCAGTATGCTTCGGCACAGCTGGTTTGATCGGCTTTGGGGGCCTGACCGAGCGCTACTTCGATCCCAACCAGCATCATCAACCTCATTGGTTTTCCCTCGTGGTTATCCACTGCCTGATTCTTATGGCCTACGCAGGCACCCTCGAGGTAACCTTCACGTACATGATTTCCCAAACCAGTACCGCGGATGCGCTGGCGGCTATGACACTAGTGGCAATAATCCGCGGTGATGCGAGCTTTGGCATGTCATATGGGGTGACTGGATTCGTAGCACAATGCGGATATTTGGTGTCCTTTGGTGTCTATGGCGCGCTGGTGGGAGTATTCGGCCTGATGGGGGTGGGTGTGTATTTTGCGAGGCCTAGAAAATGATTTTGTACACTCCAGTGTATTCTATGGACAAGGAGTGTTGACATTGAGGATAAATTAAGTGGTCAGATTTGGACCGTAATCTTGAACGTTGATTTACAAATGTAGCGGACGATATGTACCGGCCGTACCAGAACTCCTTTTGCCAACTAAGGAAATGTCTTTCCCCTAATTTTTATACTATCATAGAATTTCTTCCCAAACATCTTGCTGTAAGACGAAATATCTAGCCCTAGGCATATGGGGCTGTTAGGGCTATGTCCCACGGCCGAAGCGGATTCGGCATCTGGTTGGCTGTCGAAGAAAATACTCGACTACGTTTCCAGCTAAACATCTGTTTGATTACATGGGGCATCTTGATCGATAACTTAATTGATTTTGAACTAGCATGACTTATGTCTGCTCGTGATATGCATAAATGACTCCTATTATTTCGTACAGCTAATCTAGAAAACCACCTACTTCGTTAATGCCTGAACTTGAAACCAAGGAGTGCAGGATGTCCTATCAACACGCTACAAAAACATCATGAAGAAAAATCAATATATCATCAAGTCCGAAGCGACGCTCTTCTTTATAACTCTACTGCTTCCAAGAATGCTGCATCTCAGCTCGGCAGAGCATAATGGCGACAATCTTAATTAAATAGGTTAGTATAGGACGTATAATTTATTTGTCAGAAACTTAGTACTTACAAGGGTAAGGTCTACTCCACCAGCAACCCGAGCTCTCCAAACACTCCTATCTTCGGTAAAATTGAAGCGACTATGATTTGCTTCCGTCATCTGAATCTCAGCGACAGGTGCACCTTTGACTTTGACCTGTATGGTCATACCGACTTGGTCCTTTGGCCGCACATGAACGACGGCTTCCTTGCCACCATCGGCCTGATTAAGAACCGTCACATCAAGAGCTTTAAATTGTGTAAATGTAGAGGTATGTTTCAAGGAGCAGAGATCGAGACCACTAGGATCTTCCACGCCCCATTTGCGATTCACGCCGTTTTTGAAGAACTTGCGGAGATCGAAAAGAGGAGTGCCGGTAGCATCCTTCACTGTGCGGCGCCAGCTTGCTGAGGCTAGGCCCTTGCTTTCGACAGTGAAGAGTACTTGATTTGATAGATCTCGTACTTCGACATCATTGAAAAGTCGGTCGTGGCATTGCATAATAATAGTGGTTTCTTCGTCTTGAATGAAACCATCCGCTATCGCTATGGGGAATGACTGTGACTCGAGGATTGTTTCCATTGTTTCTTAGATATGTTTTCGCAAGTCTCACGTGGCACTCTTAGATGGTCGGCAAACAGAAGATAGAACTGGCTTTACTCAATACGCAATAATGTATAGAGGGGCTACGGATCTTTTATGGAACAAGATGGAAATTCTCAATCTTTGGGGACAAAAAGGACCTCGATGGCAGCAACAGCTTGTAGTAAACTAAATATAGCCATGTTACGTCAGTGTATCCTCGCCCTAGTTACATACATAGTACTAATCACAATTGATCGGCGCTTAAGTGAGTCCGAGCAGTGCCACCTTTGTGGTCTTTGTTTATGCGGCTGCGTTGCCATTCTAGCCCACCTATTGGCTGTAGTCCACAACATATAGATTAATTGGGAGGACAGCCACACTGTGAGCACCGGGGATAATTAAGATTTCGTCTAATCCTGCTTAGAAATATCATTTTGTATAGAAGATTTTAACAGAGACCCTGCGGCCCCCCACCCCGGCGATTAAGCTGCTTTTTGTTCTAGTCGGTCTTGACCGACCAGTGAATGGCCAGCCTTATTTGGAGATGTCACGTTAGCAACGAGTCTGTGGAGGTTCTGGGCGAGGTTTTGGCATAGATTGACGGTCAGGCCGTATGACAACTATGGTGAAGTACTTACACGCAATCCTAGATTGAACGCTGAGTCATTCGCGTTCAAAATGGCTGTGGCTTGTGTTATGTTTTGTGGTTCTTCCTGAATTTTCTAGGGTGCCTATCAGAGGTTGCCAATCTTGCAATCGTTCGCAGCTTTGCAAAATCCATAAGATGGTCTCGGGAGCTGAAGATCATTGAGGAGAGCTGGTTTGAAATGTTTGTTGGTTACATTTGGGCGTTCGCATTTTTCTTTTGAAGTACACCTAAATGGAAATATCCAAGCATTTATAGACAGGCTCTTGAGGCGAGGAAATGGTGATAGAGAAATCTATTATCGGGTCATAATTACCAACCAAAGCTATCATTGTTATCATCTTGTATCTATGTAAGCCTTGAGCGATGGAACGTAGACATACTTTAAGGCTGCGTGTCTGATTCTCAATTTTGAATTATCTGTAGAGTGATGCCTACATATTACGCTACCCATGTTCTCTAAAATATCGAAGCTTACCACTTCAGACGAGAGAGACAATCTAACTCAAGCAATACAAATCTATCCCACCAACTCCTGTATAAGTAACGACCAACACTAATGTTGTGGACTAAATCTCAACCACTGGGCGAAAATATCATCCGTCTTTTGAACATCAGTATTCGTCTGGGATTGTATCCCTTCAATTGGCGCCTGACTATTTGACTCGGTAGTAGGTTCCAGGTCTTCCTCCTGACGATGGTCATCACCAAAGACAGCTCTATATTCAAGGGTTCCAATTGGCACACGCATTCCATCACTTTCATCGTACACAGTTGTCAAATACCGATGTTTTACCAGCCCTATATGGAATCCTGAACGATCAGGGCGGATTTGAACATCGACACCATACACCCCTTTTTGTGGAATGAAAAGCGCTGCGCGGTACCGTTCGTTTGCTGTCACGCGCTCGCAACCCAAAAGAAATGCTTTTTCGTAGTCTGGGTAGACTCTCGCGTAGAATCTGACCTCCGCTCTGAAGAAGTCTGAGCTCGACACTCGAAACTCGACAGCGAATAAGTGGTTGCGAATAGCGACTTCGGGAGGGGCCAGGCGGTTTGTGATATCATATGGATCTGTTGCCCATTCGTATTGATAGAGTCTTGGTTCTGGAGAAGGGCTGGCAATCGATTCGGGGCTCAGTGGCTCGAATTTCTGATGTTCTTCGTAGAGTTGAGGAGACTCTGATGACATGGGTGTGGTCAATCGCGCGGCATTGTTTGGGTTCATTATTCCAGAACGCGGTTGATCGATTGAGTTCCTTAATTTTGAGAAATATGAATTCGAAATGAAGAAGCCTGAATAATTGACATGCGTTATGGCAAAAAAGGCTTGAAAGAAGAATAAGCACTTGCTGGAAACTAACCAAAATCTGTCAGGAAACGACAGGTTGGAGCTGCAAGAAGAATCATGATAATCTTCACCTTGACAGCTGGAGGAGGGAAAATTCTCGGCGGCTGGCGACTATTGTTTGTCATTCATCACTGTGAAAGTCTGTCAGTTTCTGGCTTACTCCATCACTTGCCGACTGATACAACAAAGAAGCTCTTTTGTTAGCCAGTAAATACAATAATGTTTCAATTTCCTAATCACTAGATGCTACAGAAGAGTCATCTGAATCATTCACAATCTTCTTTCCATGCAAGTACCCCTCTTGTTCAATCTTGACCTTGACACTATCATCTGCATACTCCTGACCATCTCTCACATACCACTTTGCAAAAAGGTCATTCTGAATCCATATGACTTTCCCTAAAGCCTTGACCAATGCTATCTTGCGATGTAATTGCATTCGAGGATGTGACAGTATGGCCTCTGTGAAGGTGTCTTGAATGAAAGAAAGACAGGCGCCAATATGAATATATTCGATATGAAGTAAGTGTTCTCGCCCTTGACCTACATGCATCATACTGTGAGAACAGTTGTCAGATATTTTCTTCCTTCAAATAATGTAGCAATGGTGAGCTCACTTACCCAACTTTATCCAGATATTGCCAAAACTCCATCTTACTAGGATCCGAGCACAATTTAATAAGGTAACCCCGTAAGAACATCTTTCGATGCCTGATTTGTGGACTATCCTCGCTGGGGAACTCGTCCAGTGGACCCTCGAAACTCGTACTTCGCGTTTGGAATGCCCTTGCCGTAATGTCATATTGAAGGAGCTTGCGATAAACGATGTTCACAACAGCTGGTATTAATGCCTTGATATACTTGGATCCGCTGATGAGGGCTTCGATATCGTCTGAGATATAGGGTTAGCTTGAACATGTCACGATAAGGCAAGTCCAAAATCGAGATTGATTTTATGACGCTTACTGGAACTAAAATCGAGAAAGGTGTGCAGGTAGTGTATACGGTCTTCAAGATTTGTATACAAATCCTTCCGGTCAATATGCTGAATAGCGCGTGGCCACGAATGCATCGGACATGATGCCGCCTTTGTCCCTTTTGTCGAGTTCGACGGCTCTACGACCATTGGTTCCTCCACTGAGAAGCTATGTTCGGGGCCAGGCATGTCAATTTTCGGCTTTAGGGAACTGTTGTTACAATTAGAGATGCGGAGGAAATCACCAGGTTGTCTTGAGGCCGAACAACGTGGAACAATCTGCACGACCGTGAATGAAATAATGATAGTCGATAATATTCACGAATGACGAAAATAAATGGATGCATTCAGCACGGATTTATACGATATCAAGAACATGACCAACACCCACAGACTTCAAGATCATACGGTCGCGTTGTAAGGCAACAGCCTACCGCAAAATGGCCTAGGAGAAGAAGTAACTTCCCAAGTACATGGTCTATGAGTAACGACTACGGGCTTATCCGAGAAGTTTTGAGAGAATTTGTTTATTCTTGTATATGATTTTCCGAGGGTGGTGTGATGTTTCGGGATCTCGGCGATAATACGGCTGTAACCCTAATACTACCCAGCCCGCTAAACCCACCGTGTTATATGCTTCTCACGATCGAGTCATGTAGTTATAAGAAGATCAAAAAAAAAGCCCCGCTCATATGTTGTTCGTAATCCCGTGATAACGCCTTTGAGATTCCTTGACTAGCAACTTGCTCAGGCAGCCACCCACAGTACTACAAACTACCACTGAGGTAGGGCTATCATAGTCATGAGTTTCGACGACTCGACTCGCAAACGTCAGTTACTTGAGCTTGAGTGCTTCTCCATTGATTCTTTCCTAGAACAAGAGACGGTAATACTCGGTGATCTCCTCTCGGGTCGAATGCCCAAGGAGTCATATGAATAAGGGTCTTAAAAGTATATTGATTAGATTCACAGGTAGTTCCCGAGCCCGCATAATTAGGGTATTTTGGACCTCAAGATTTTCCTATGGTTAATTAACCAATTAAGCACAGATGAACTACGAAATGTGTTGAAAGCGATTTAGAATGCGCTTTAAAAATATCATCTCCAGAATTGATGGACTTCATGTTTCAGTTTGGAAGATACGAAATATGTGTTAGCAACCCCCCCCTTCCCTATCCGATAGCTTCCGAAAAGCTCACTGACTCCCTAATATTGTAAAATATGGAGAACAGAAAACCTCAAAGAGGCTTTGATTAAACATATACTTCATAAAGATTTAGACGACGCAATATATACGCTTTATTGTCAACTGAATGATGGTGGTGTGGTGTTTCGGTTTCGGATACGGCGAGGGTGCCAACACATATCTCATCCTACTGTGATTCCTTAACAGACCTACTACGTTTTGATGCGCACTCTGTTGAATTGTTTTATATAAGTAAAGAAGCATCAATTATGCAGACCTCTTACAATGTCAACCTATTAATCGAAGCAGAAAAGATATCAACTTGACTAGTGAAGATCTCATCAAAAAAGTTCCCCAAACTCAAAACGACACAAGACACGACAGACGTAAAATACACGCACACATACGCATTATATAACCCGAGTCAGAATCATACTGAAGAACTAGAGATTATATAACATAAAATTCTGGTTGTTCAATTGACATGTCGAAAGATACAAAGAGAAAATATGAAAAGACAATAAAGAATGCAAGATTGTACACTTGTTGAATCTAGTTCGGATCACTGCTGAGTAGGCCCAGCCTCGACATCCACACATGCAGTCCATCAGTCGTAGTACTGGTTGGCCTCAATTGGAATATCGCAGCCAGCTGGCTCCCGTTTGTTCACATAGTCGTCGACCCAGGGCCCTGCATCATGGAGTCTCCAGAAATCCGGGAGCCCTGGAGGTCCACAATAGTAGTTGATTGTTCGGTCACTTTCACCCCAGCACTGCTCGACTCCATGCGATACCACGTTGATGCCCCTTGCCTGCACACTGCCAATTTGATCTGCGTTAGGTGCGTAGACAATTGCCGTCCCGCGGTCAATAGTGGAAGATTCCCCGCAGGCACATTCTAGCTCCTCAGTCACCTGTACCGTAAACGCTGTGACAGCTTGATAAAACAGAACACAGATAGAACCCCTCTCCGCAGCAACGCCATCGCACGTGAATGTGTTGCTAACTGAGTAGCTCTGTTCCTCTGTTACTTCGAATCCGAGGGAACTGAACTCAGCGTCTAAGCCTAGGGACATACTCCAGCCCAGAGTGAGTGAGTAGCCGGTTCCCGTGGATGTCTCCGGGGTACTGCACTCAACACTAGTCCCACCCTTCTGGGTGATGACAAAGTTCTGATGAGGATTGCCGTCCCCTACTTTCGAATAGGAATAGGATGGTGTGCATCCACCACAGACCATGTCTATTGTGCCCGTGTGAGGGACAATGGTACCGTCAGACCTGACTTTTATGTCTGGCATATTCGCGAAGTCCTCTGCGGTGATATTGATTGTAGTAGGATATGAGATTCCAGTCACAGCTAGTGCTAACAAGATGCACAACAGTGACGTGACGTTGCCTAGGATTCCCATGATGCTCAAGATAACAGTGCAGTCATATACCAAAAGATAATAATTATTCGTTTCTCTGTAACAAAAGGTTCTTCGGTAGATGGGGCAGATGTGCACACTGAGGCGACAGTATTGGAAGAGAATCACCAACCGACTTCTTATAGATAAATAGATCTATCTCATCGCATTCTGATCGAGCAATGAGCAAGGCATAATCGAGAGGTGCTCACAACAGTCATCAAGTTTCAGGGGTTCTAGGTTCAGAATCACTTCGGTCACACAACTTTAAGTATGTAATATTTATCAAAACATGAAACCAACATATCGCACTGTCAGCAAATATGCTGTCATTTAGAGCAGAAATCCTAAATAATTGATCATACAGTCTCCAGCGATTCAGTAGTTCAAGGATCAGTCAGCGAAGCTGAGTGAAGTGAGTGGACCCTAGGGAGAAAGAATGATTTCATGCGGAAATTTTATTATTCTGACATCTACAAACGGACATTGCGGCCTCGCTAGTCATGCATGTCGAATAATATATGCTCTGTAGTAAAAGTTTGCGGGACATGCGAGTTTTTTCCAGCTCTTGGAGTGCCTAGGTATAAATTGTACGGCATGTTCTTTGCGAACGGGGGTAAAATAATGCGAACAGACAATCAATCAAGCTTGACAGGAAACCAATTATAAAGCGGACTTTCGTCGAGGCTGAAATTTAGCTCATGTAAAGATTATTATTCCCCGCTTGATTTACTCCTGCAGAGTCATACCTGTGGCAAAACATACACTAGAAACAACAATCGGATGACGATTTCTGAACAGTATTGTCTTGAAGGGAAACTGCTTTCGATCTACCAAAGCGCAGCATGGCCACCATGGCAAGCACTGCCTTCAGGGGTAATGTACTTTCCATTCGGGTAATGGCAAAAAAATCTCAATTTATCCCAAACCTCGTGCTGATTTGGCATTCTGCATTATCAGCAATTACAAAAACTATTTTTGGATTGATGCCAATGAGGAATATGTCGTTGACAATCACTGCTACTAGCCATCCGTTACCATGCAGTGATTTAAGCCGTGAGTGCCACCTGCATTTTCATTTCTAGGATGCAATCAAGATGGCTAATCATGTGAAAGACCCACGACAGGGATATCTGCTGGTGACCGCAGTTACAAAGAAATGTGGCACAGCCGCCTGAAGCCATTTCAAGGCTAAGGACACATCCAATATGTATTTAGTCGCCGAAGACCGCTATTCTGTTTTCTATTCTATATTAAACAGGGTTATAAACAGCAAAGGGTATCCCAGCGCTGCCAAAGTATTTCATTCACTAAAAAAATCAGACACTCCTCAGCCAAAAAAGTTTTCTTCCTCCCATATCAATTTACCACACATAGCGGTCAAGCCAGATTATTGGCCAATACTAGACTGAAGCACCAAATCCACCATCCTTAAAAATGGCCGAACGCCCGTCGACCGAGAACTACACCAGAAAAAGCACAGCTAAGCAATCCTCAACACGAGGCTCAATGCTGAATGCGTACCTTATCTTTTCGTCCCTTTGTGCCTTGACTGCACTCGTTATCTCCGCAATTTCATTGCATCGAGCCAATGAGGCACTGTCATTCAAATCGTCAATGTTCATCGCTGATCTCGAACGCACATTCAACAGCACTGCTTATGCCATCGCGGATCCCGGCTACGGCGCGTTTAGGCCGGACTGTTCTAATCTAACTGCCGAGACGGTGACCGGCCAGACATCAACCCCGGGAGAATGCGTTACCGTTACAGACAGTTATGATCTGTGGGTGACAAGGCTTGCTGAGAATTGCACTCCATATGTCTACGCAGATGCGAATTGTACTGGAACCAGCAGACCTATTGCGGATGGTAATTTTCCTCTCAAGGTACCGCAATGTGTTGTTGCGGCTGGCTCAGGGGACTTGAAAGGCGACGAGAACAGTACTTATAACAGTTTCCAGATAGTGTGTACTTGAGGGATTATTACTCTTTTTCTGTGCAAGACAGCCAATTTGTGCAAGTGGGCTGGGCCGTTGGAAGGGTTTAACAAGTTCAGGCTACGTTTATGTATATTCCTTCCTTGATAGAGAACTGAAAGTGCTCGAGAAACCATGCTCGCTTTTTTAAAAGAGATACATTACAAGAAGAACAAATTACATGTCATTATTTCGATATTGTTCCTTTTCTTCAATTTAAAAATTTGATTCGAAAACGCTAACTGAATACCTTTCAGCAGCCAAAGTTTTTGAATTGTTACTCATATGCCCTTTGAATCAAGCCGGGAAGCGGAAGTCGTAAGTCATGCACTTGGACGACATCACTTTCATCCGTCTCGAAGAGCTCAAATCGCGGCTCACCTAGTCGAAAGAGTACGGCCAGAACCAAGTATAACTCTGCGTAAGCCAGGCTGAAAGGGACGTAATTCACAACCATCGTTCATCCCTTCTAGAGCCAGTGTAAGATGATGACTGCGGTAAGATTGGGTAACTTCTAAAGCTGAACAAAAGAAGGGATTTGCGTCCAATGCTCTGCTTTGAAAGTATTTGATTTAATATTGAGTTTTATCCTTGATCGATCAATAAGACGTACGGAGACCATCAATGAATATATGCCTCAGTTTTTATTGTAACCATATTTCTGCATAAACTCTGCTTTCAAGCCACGAAAGTCCTTAGCCCAGATAGGATAGAAAATATCTTTGAACCAACCTTTGCGATTACTGCTCAGGCCGAGGTCCTTCAACAGGGTATCCATATATCCGATGAGCTCAAAAGTCATAGTATTTCCCGGAAGTCCGTTACTGAGATATCGACGCCGACACCACGTTGTGAATAATGCTACACTCTTTTCCTGCTCTTCTGTGGTCGGCAAATTCAGCTTGCCGTCCAAGTAGGCGGTCGCCCAGATTGATTGACATTCCACAATGAGAAAGTAATTCCCTACCCTGACCTGCCCGATGAAGACAATAGAGCGATCTTTACCTGCACTGCCGGATTCGCACAAAGGAACAAGGTGTCGATACAGCCGGTATGGGGTTTTTGCGGCTGGCTTAAGATAGACGGCAGGAGGGGTTGCAAGCTGTGGAAAGGTAGCGAAAACTTTGGTGTCAGCCTCGGTTTCGAGAGCCGTCCAGTGTTTCTTCTCATCTGACGTCTCCTCTTCTACTAAGTGCGGCAAGCCGAGTTGCCTGGACTGCTCTTCGGAGAAAAATTGGAGTGATGGCTTCCAGCCTGTGCCGCAAAGTAGAGCATCGGTAGGTATCTGCTCGCCGTCTTTCAGACGAAGTACATTTCCATACACGCAATCAATGTCACCGACATAGATACGAACATTTTCTGCAATGGTGTCATAGAAGTCCTGGTGATTAAGAAGTCCACCCGTACAGTTTTGCCAAAATATCCTGTTTGATTCAGAGACTTTTCAAACAAGGTAATACTCAAACGGAACTATCAGTACTTACGGTGAGTGTGGTGACAATTTGTCGAAGTCCTTCAGGCATTTTCGTTGAAAATTGGCCTCTGTGCGAGCTTTTGAGTCGATAGAGTTCCAGAAACCAGCCATTAGTCTCAGGCCGTAACTAGAGGTATGAAGAAGGCTTGTCCACCAATTGATCCCGTTCATAAAAGATGGCGTAAAGGTTGCGGCTAGTCGAGTCATTCCTATCTCGAATGCATTTTTGTATGGCCCTGCTCCCTTAGGAGACAGGAAGAATCCGGGMCCAGCCGTATCCGTAGCCTTCAATACCCAAGACACGGTTTTTCCGGCTTTGACGGATTCATAGACCATATCTGCCGATGACTTACCACCACCTAGAATGGTGATTTTTTTTACTCCCGGTGAGGTTAAACAATTGGACGAACCAAAACCGTCCTGGTGTAGGATTTGACCAAGGAAATCATCTCTTCCCGGTAACATAGGCATATTAGGAATTGACGTCAAACCGCTGGCAACAATCAACTTAGTGGTTTGGAATCTGTGCTGTCGTGAAGTATCTCGTTCCTTGGATACTACAGTCCATCCGCCGTCGATTTTTTGAACTGACTGTACCTCGTTTGAAAGTCTGACTCTATCGCGCAACGTCCTTCCTGAGTAGCTATGTGAGTCGACGTAGTCGTTGAGATATTTTGTTGTATGCTTGGCTTTGAAGAACTCGAGATAAATGTCCTCGTCTGGTGGTCGTGGCATCGGCTGATCCGAGAACTCGGCTGTTCCTACCGTCCATTGAGTCCAAAAAGTATCGTAGCCACGTCCTATGGTTCACAGAAAGTTAGTAAAACCACAAAAGCAGAAGACGAAGACGATGCTTTCACTCACGCGAATTCCAAGTTCCGCCGATGCAGTTGTCCCGGTCTATAATAATCAGTTGGGAATCATGATGGGTATCTAGCCAAGATTTGGCTGATGATATTCCCGAGATACCTGGATAGCATTTCAATCAGCAATAAATTTCAAAACTGGGAGATCAAACCCACCTGCTCCAATTACAAGAACGTCAACCTCACTCACATCACCCATTTTAGAGCCGATTATGAATGTCTGTTCAGAATGATCAATAGCTGTCCAGCAGCTATCAAGTTATAGAAGAAGATATAGTTCCTGAGTTGAATCGCATGGATCACTGGGGGAACACTAGGGGATGCTGGAGGAACAAAGAAAAAGCGATGGTGGGGAGGTGATTGGTTACAGCAACGCAACAGCCCTGGAGCAACAGCATGTGAGGCGCAGCTGCTACAATAGTCCGGCAGTACTGTTCCGTGTATTGTATGTTAGCCTAGGTTTTCAAAGAACAATGCATCAGCTGCTTTCATGCCCAAAGATACACACGTGCCTAACAGAATCGATTTGTTCTAAATCGGTTTAAACTTCATATATATATATATACAAATGATCTATCGAATGTAATTTCCGCCCTGTTTTACGTGTGGGTGGTTTTTTATAAACATTACTTTTTCGGAACAATCGCTTTTTCTTCTTATATTCTTGTTGTTATCTAACTAGAAAGTAAACTCTGACCACGAATTGTACTACAAATGTCAACCCTAAAACACAACACACTATACCCTAAACAGCAGAGACTGTAGCATCCATCTGTTCATTTTCTTTGACGTCCTTAGCTACTGCGTTGTCTGCCGATTGTGCCGCTTGTAATCTGGCCGCTGTTATTGACAATACACCATGTGAAAAACACCACTGGCAAGGGTTAGAATATGCTGATCCTCATGCATCGCACCCAACAATAATTTCCAATTTCGTTATCGAGTCCATTAGTTGGCTGTTGGTTGAGCTGTTCATGAGCCAGGTTCTACTAAATCTAGGCTGCAGGTAGCGTTCAAGACCCCTGTCCCAACATCAACCCATGAACAAAGAAGGGAGGGGCTCAATGTGGCACGTTTTTAAGCGAGAACTTGAAATTGCTTGCTGTACATTCTATTACCATCATTCAGCGGTGATTATTACTCAATTTAATGTGAAGCTGCTAAACTGTAAATGAATGACGAGCGATTGTATCTGAAATAGCCTGTGTGTGTCTAGGCAATGATATGATTCGCTTATACAGGAGAAGACTAGCACGATACTCTTTCCCATCCAGAGCGATATCAGTCGTTTTTTGTGTGGCTTTCAAGGATTTTGATTAGGTGCTTGGTTCATTGCTGGCTTCGTAGTATTCTGCTTCCCTCAGGCTGCTGCGCACTTCTCGATGTATATCGAATCCTTATACTCCCACCATCTGCAGAGGAAATTATAGTGTGTACATAGGCATGCACTTCAATATTCAGAACAAGGGATGTAGAAAATGCACCTCTGATTACGACTACGATCGATCGTACCTGGGTCAACCAGAAAAGAGCTTGTATGAATACTTTCCTGAAATCCGAGCCTTTATACTTCTCCACCTTGAGCTTCAAGACTCAGGCTGCTTATAAGGGATATATTCGAGTGTTGCTTTACCCACAACCTCAAACTTTCTCAATCGTAGCATTCCACCTTCTCGAGATCGCGTCGGTAAATCTACAAGACGGTATAGTACCAACTGACCCAAGACTTCTTACCGTATTTCGATATGTGTCAATGAGATTTCTATTGGAGATGGGACTCAATTTCGCCTCGTTCCAAACTCTCCGGTCAACCAACTAGAACAGTCTCTCGTCACAATGATGGGCAACTGGCCGACTGTCGAGCTTCGCCCAGCGTTCATTGCAAGCGGGACACTTTTATATCTGATGGATAGTCTTTATAACCTGATTGTCATGCGAGAGGTAGTCTATCTTAAAGTACCAAAACCTACACCTGCTCAGGATAATATTTCTAGCGGAAAAATTTACACGGCTTTCTTTCACGCTCCTGGACCGATCATAATGGGTTTGAAAGCATTGCGAAGGACGTGTTTAAGGAACCAGGTTTTGTGACCGGATGAATACCACGCAGAGAGAGAACCTTCGACAATCAGAGGATTTCCCGAGGGGCCGACTAAAACAAGAAGACAGGAATTTTCAGCATGAAGCAGTCTGGGGTATTCTGCTCCCGAAAGAGTATACCGGGATTCAATTTGCATTTATTTACAATCTAAGTATGGAACTAAATGTACACTTTCCGTCATGCTCAAGATCAAAAACTAGTTTGCATAACACTACTCGATAAGTATTTCATCAATACTAAAAGGATACTTGGTAAATTCTGAATATGGACTAATAAACAGAGGATGGTTCATTATGCAGTAAATTGTACCCATGGACCTGTTTTCGGCAGATTGGTGCCTGAGGCCACCCACGTAGCCCTAAGTCGCATGCGGAACGTAACTGTTTGCAGCAACGACCGAATTCAAAGTACGTAACCTTTGACTCGTTTCTAAGTTATGAAAGAAAATATTATGACTGTACCTTATCTATCGAGAGGAACAATGAGAGAAGAACAGTCTTCGTGTCTTGTTTTCGGAACTTCTTGTCAATTTGTATCAACATTCGCGCCTGAATAGCAAGGCAACAATTTCAAGCCCTAAAAGTAAGGGCTGAACAAAGAGAGAAAAGTCGCATTCCTCCTGTCGTCATGCCACGACTCTGACAGGCATGTGAATGTTACTTGATGGCTCTGTTTCTCTCAGATGAGAGTCTAGACTGTCAAGGAAAATATGTTGATCTCTGTCAATTCTTGTTTATGCTTAAATCTGCGCGGGGATCAGCAAGATTGCGATAAGCGCATGTAGATGAACATGGTGTAGAGATCTCTACTGATCGAATGCAGGCCAAATAAAGAGCTTATTGTACCTGAATCAGGCACTAATTAAGAACCCCACTTTTCCACACCCAAGGATAAAAGCTATAACGTTGCGGTGACATATGATCTTTCAGGACATCATCTCACTGTCGAAAACATCTTTACACATATCATAAACAAATAGTGCCACCGTCCTTGAGCAGTTGTGTAGAGTGGGTCTGACATGTGGGTTGAGTGCCATTTGCGGCAGAGTGTCAGTCGCAACACCTCGGTGACTTCCTCTATGATGATGACTCTGGCAGTTCGGTACGTAAGGTAGTAAAGTCGACAGGCTAGAATGTGTGATTCATGGCACCTCGACCGTGGTCTCCGCATTCCTCAGCTGGCTCTATCGGGATCTAGAAAGCTGCCTAGATACATTGCAGCGGCCACGAAACAGGCAGAAGCGACATTTCCATGCTTTGAAATGAGAAAGACTGCTATCGACTTGAAAAGTTTTTAAAAATAAAAATAAGTGAGAGTGTATGTAATTTTGACTCGTTGTCCAAAAAAAAAGGCAAAAATTTCCTAATCGCGAAGCTAGGTAGTGACTGCCTTCACGGCACGTTCTCCTTCTTCATTCTGCTTCTGTCACAAGATTCTTCCTTTTATTCTTCTCCCGGTGAGATTCAATCTTCTTCTACTCCACTCGGCTTCTCTCTCCAAGTCCGAATTCAGACAGACCGCCGCCAGCCAATCGATCCGCTCTTTCATTGAGTCGCCGTTAGCCAGAACCTGAATCTTATCCACTATTACTATACACATTTCTCCCCAGTTACACCGTTCTCTCCACAAAAGTCCAGATCCACACTGTATCTCCGTTGCAGGAATCGGGGTTACCTTGGTGGGCTGCCGCTACGAAAGGACCTTTCACCGTCATTACCAAAGTCCTCCTTCGCGTTCATGGGGCTTTGATATTCTGCATTCGGACAACGGCGAAGAAGTTCTGTTGAATACTTATATCGCCAAGTCATTCCTCAGATCTGAGACCATCGAACCTCGACCGCCCATCCTGTAGCGTCGGCTTCAATTGACTTGAAGCTATCTTTAACAACCTAGTATACAAACGCGAGTATAAACGACTTCTTCACTTCCAGTACTGTTGACTCGGTACACAGCATGATATTTTCAAAGCTTCAAAGCACTGCCCTGGCGGCATTTGTCTCACTTTCCGCTTTGGCTCAGGCAGCACCCGGAGCGTATGAGTTCCTTATATCCGTTTCCAATTTTTGAGCTAACTCGTTATTCAGTCGTGTAGTTTCGCGCGATCTTGCATTTGATTACAATTCCGAAAAAGTTCGAGGTGTCAACCTTGGTGGCTGGCTGGTTTTGGAACCCTGGATTACACCTTCGCTCTTTGAACAGGCAGGACCCGATGCCGTTGATGAATGGTGTTTGTCCGAAGCTCTCGGCAATAGTGCACAGGGCACTTTGTCGCAGCACTGGAATTCGTTCATCACTGCTGATGACTTTCACCAGATCAGTGCTGCTGGCATGAATCACGTCCGAATTCCTGTCGGTTACTGGGCTGTTGTTCCTCAAGGGGGTGAACCTTATGTCCAGGGCCAGCTTGATGTGTTAGATCAAGCTATCGGGTGGGCTCGTGATGCAGGCCTGAAGATTATTGTAGACTTGCATGGTGGTAAGCTATGTCTGATTCTTGTTCGACTTAGAATGTTAAGCTAATTGTGTAGCTCCCGGATCACAAAATGGCTTCGACAACAGTGGACGTCGCGGGTCGATCAACTGGGACAAAGTTCCCGACCATATCAGTATAACTCTGGATGCCATCAGTGCCCTTTCTGAACGCTATGCTACACAGTCCGACGTCGTTACATCTATCGAAGCGCTCAACGAGCCCATGACTGTTATGGGAGATGCCGGTGTCAACGTGTGGACCTTGCAGCAATACTATTATGACACTTGGGGTCGTCTACGAGAAGTCAACCAGGACACAGCCTTGACTATGCACGACGGATTTCAAGATATCAGTTTCTGGAATGGATTCATGGGTCCTAACTCGGGTGTCTGGAACGTGATGATGGACACTCATCATTACGAGGTCTTTGACAACGGTCTCCTCTCACTCGACATTTCCGGACACACCCAAGCCGCATGTGCATTCGGAAGTAAAGTCACCGCTACCGACAAATGGACCATCGTCGGTGAATGGACCGGAGCCATGACAGACTGTGCCAAATACCTCAACGGCCGCGGAGTCGGCGCTCGATGGGACGGAAGCTTTGGACAAGGAAGTAGCTACCACGGTAGCTGTGATGGATATTMCCAGGGCGAAGTGACATCCCTCTCTGACGACAGCCGCACCAATATCCGTCGCTTCATCGAAGCTCAATTGGATGCGTACGAGAAGCACACCGGCTGGGTGTACTGGACCTGGACTACCGAAGGCGCTCCAGAATGGGACATGAAGCGTCAATTAGCAGCCAACGTGTTCCCTAACCCAGTAACATCTCGCCAATTCCCCGGACAATGCTAGTGGAAAATTAGCAATTCATAGCCCTAGCTTTGATTTTCCTCACTGTCTSGGTTKTTTTGTMCCTGCCATACTTTAGCCGTATGGATAATTTGAATTTCGTTCTGGTGTTCCTTCCTTTCTGGCAAACTTTGGAGTCTCAACTTTGGTTTTTACTTTTCTTGACGCCGTTCTTTGCTTATTGTTGTTCTGAATAAATCCTTAGACTTGAATTCAGATCTCGGTGTGTAGACCATTGAGTGGTCTAGTTACATAGCTTGCTCTTTATATACGTATATTGAATTCATTCCCTTTACTTGAAGCTATATTGGCTATCCTAACGCCTATCCTTTACCCGAATGATGCATGTAATGTAAGTGGATATCTATGAAAAGAGACAGACACAACCCCATACACTTAATGAGGCTAAACTATTCCCAATGCCCCGAACGCATTCACCACCTCCCTATCAACATTCACGAGCCATTCTTCTTGGAACCGCTGCGCGCCACCACATGCATGCATCACGGCCTGTAGACGCTCTTGAACGAATTGACGGATATTGATGGAATGGACCGCGTCGGAGTTTTCCCATTCCCTGCGTCGCGCGGATTCGGGGGCTTCGTTTTTGGTAGTTTCGTCGTCGGCTGTCGGATTGTTGTTGGGGTCGGAGGTTTTGTTCCAGTAGATTAGGTAGTCCTTCCCGGCGTGAGGGTCGTTGATGTTTAGAGATGACGGGTCATCAGAACCTTCGGCCAGTTCGGTGACAATGTCGGTCCAGACGGTGAGATAGGATTGTAGATGGTTGAGAAGGTAGGACGGTGGTGGTGCTTGTGTGGCGTTGATCGCCAGGAGTTGCGTGAGAGCGAGTACGTGAAGTTTCTTTTGTGTTACGAGTGCAATGTTGTCATAGTGGAAGAACCATTCAGTTAAGAGCCAGGATAGTGTTTGCTCTTCAGGGGCAGAAGTTGCAGCTGATATGGCTGACATGAACACTCTGGGGTTTGCTAGCGCTAGCCTTGCTAGAACGCTAAAGTAGTCTGTCTCGAGGTTGGCGTAGATATCTGATGTCTTCTTGTATGGTCCTGTGGATTGACTAACTTCGTAGGCGGAGTGAAGGCCCTCTAGAATAGCATGCAAAAATGAACTGTCAAGCAGAGACTTGGCGATCACATTGTACGAATTCTCGCTGCCGCCGTCGATATGCTCAGTCGCGCGAATAAGCATCTCGGCAAGATGAGGAATCACTCCTAGGCGTTGACGCTTGACTGCCGCGAGAAGCGTCTCCAAAGAGGCCAGAAAGGGCACGCGCAGCTCGTCATGGAGAACCTCGCGAGGACAAAGGAGTATGTAGCTCTCCGCAATCTGAAGTGCTAACGGGGCGCTATCTGTAGCTGCTTCGAATATCGGGAGCAAGCGAGGGAACAGTGATATAATGTCTGCTGATGCCGGAGCTGGGGTCTGCGACAATATTGCTGCCCAAAGCTCGAGTGCTTCGTCTAATAGATATACAATAGTTTCCTACTAGATGTTAGCTGCTGAAAGTGGAAACTTCCATTTGAAACAAAAATTACGTACCGACCCAGGCTCTATCGAGTTCTGTATAAGCGGAAGCATGTCTTTGTGATAATTGACGGAATCACTCTTGAGCGCATTCATCAAAGACGAAAGAAGAGTCAGGATAGCCTGTTTCATGAGGTGTTCCTCGCCTGATTGCTCCCATAGAGGGGGTAAAAGTGACATTATTTGATCGGAAAATGGTAATATCTAGTTCAGAAGGTTAGCCCATGTCCATTATATAATATTTGATGAGCATTTACGTGGTCTTCCATCTTCACCACGGCAGTTCGTACTGTTTCCAGTAATGCCATCTTCGTTTCGGAAAGCTCAACCTCTTGAATTAAGGTGAGCAAATTTTGCAATATGGGTGTGGCGTAAGGGAGGAACTCTTGAGGGGAGAATTCAAAAGGATCGAGCACGTTTTTCAGCTGCCGACCTGCGGTGATGCGGACGGGAAGGTCATTCACGGGGTCTGCTTTGTTGAAGAGATGCTGGAAAATCTGATAGATATATGGTCTGTTCATTTTCTCAGGTTGGATTGGCATCCACTGCCCGATCACGATCGCAGCTCTTCTTCGCAAAACCTTGTATCCTTGTTCATTAATTTGAACTTCGGGAACCAAGGCCTTTTCTATAAAAGCATTGAAATCTAGTTGCTGCTCTAGACTGGCGGCTGCCAAGCCAATTGCGGAATATAGAGAGTCCTTCATCAATATATCCTGATTCTGGGGGTCTAATGGATTGTCAACTTTGATCAGATAAGTCGGGGGTTGTGGAACTTACTTGCAAAATTGTAAAAAACGTTGAGTAGCTGCGGGACCAAGAGCGATTTGAAATGGATAATGAGATCCAAAAACAACTTTTCCGAACAAGGTCGAACAGAAAACTCCCAGGCTTCAGACATTGTGTCCTCTTTCCGCTCCCACTCTTCAGGCTCTTCCTCCCATTCTTGGAAATCCGTCTGACGAAGTCGCAAGAACTTGGAAACAATGAGCTCCATGACCATAATGACAAAGTCTTGTGTGAATAGTTGAGACTTGATCAGCTCCACGGCGTTCTTCTTTTCCTCTTTATCTTGTGGCTGCTGGTACTTGAAGCTATGGGCTGGGTTGAATGCCATCTTGGCACATGCTCGAATGAGCAGTAGTGCCTTTAAGCCCAGAATTTCGATGACGTTTTTCTCATCTTCTTCGCCACCAGAATTCTGTCTATCTTGCGAGGCTTCGGCATCGTATACCTCTCCGAGTCGGGAAACAACTGTCCAGTACGACTTGACTAGCGACACGCAGTCCGGAAGGAGCGCAAACGCTGCCGGGTGGACCTTGGCCATTTCAACATGCAGCTTCGCAAACTGCAATAGATGTTTCTTAATCAATGTGTTTATTCGAGGCGCATTTGTGATGGTCTCTGAAAAGCCGAAGAACTTTGCAAACTGCGTATGACTCAATGTCCAGAACCCTTGAACATCTTTATCGCGATTAGGATGCTCGAAGCCGGCAACGACGAGTCGACGTATGACTTTGAGGGACATTAGAGTCTGTTCGAGTAGGTCTGGTAGCGAAACCTCATCGAAGCGGCTATGTTCCAGCAGCGCACTCCAAGTGTTGACTTTTTCGACATATATACCGCCCAATAATTGAAATATCTCTGGTGATACAGATTGTAGGCTGGCTCGGACTCGCTGCATGCGGGCCGTGGAAAGCTCCTTGATTATTTGTAGTAATATCACAAGGGTTCTTGGGAATTGTAACGGAGGTGCGCCGGGTTGTGCAGACGAACGAAGCGAGGAGATGAGGAAGGGAAGCGCATTGGGCCTGGAAAGAGCGACCAGTCAGTGGATGATCAAACTGCAGGGAATTCAAGACACACCATTCATCACTAGGAAACTCATAGCGCAGGATCTTGGCAATAACCAAGGCGTTATGGAGGGCCAACAGAGGCGCCGGTTCCACAATACCTGCCTCGAGAGCTTTGCTTTTTATCCGTTCCTTGTCTTCCTTTTTGATCGCACTGCATTGACTGTTAGCACCAGGTCGACAGTCGTGTACCTGGGTAGTAACATACTTTGAAGCTGTCTTTCGCCAATATCGGTCAATGCCATTCTTCAGCTGGATAATAGCTAGGTATCGAATCTCAATGGGTAGCGAATGGTCCAAGAAAACTTCCTAAACGCGTGTTCGCGTAAGCAAACATTCAAGTCGCAAGTCACGAACGGCAATAGTGACAAACCTGGAGTAGGGGATAGAATCCAACTTGCTTCTCCCAATGTTGCAGTTGTTGGGTACCGATTTGGACTTGTTGTTGGACTGAGCTTGCGGCCGCCGCGAGTGAGTTGAATAGATTCTGGGCAGTGAGAGGGTTGGCCTCGCCAGGAACCTCTACCACATCGTTCATGGTCGCTTGCAATGCAGCGCAATCAGACAGTAAATAAGTTGGTAGTTGTTGATCAAATCATTCGAGTTGATTGAGGTACCGTCTGGGAAATGAGTGTAGATCAAAGACAAGCCCGGATCTCGACGAAGAGATCGATTCAAATAATGGCTGATTAAAAGCAAGTCAAGATCAATTGAAGCTATCGTCCCTCCTTCTTCAACTTTGCTGGACAAAAACAATTGTTCCCCGCGCATGATCGGCGGGCGGTCAAAGGACGGATGAATGTTCTTCCTACAAGACACTATTCCCAGAACAGTGAGTTAGGGCTAGAGATTAGGGCATGATGAAATGAAGTCACTCAATGTTTACTTTGGCCTCGACACTAATCACTTCATGTTTCCATGAGAGCTTCATTATTTCAGGAATTTTCCTATCATTTGGAGTACTGAGAAGTGTAGATAAGATGCTGGAATACAAGACTCAAAGCATCTGAGGCGCTCTGGTCTAAACATCGGCTTTGGCGTCCCTCTGTTGTTTCGTTCTCGTATTACAGAATCTACACGCACTTTCCCCTGGAACCTCTTCCCAAAAAAGTTCCGATAATCGAGAAGTATTTAATTAACCATTACTCAGACATGAATCAGTCATCTATCAAGTATCTGCCTCAAAGAATATGTGGAGAATGACATCGCCATGATGTATACCAGAGTATCTCCCACGGATGATGCAACAACCAGTTATCCTGCACGCGAGCAACATATAAGACTTTCTCTGAATATTCCCAAAGCACCGAAAACAACTCTCAAACCCAAACTATTTTCAATCCCTTTTTCAAATTCGCATCTGACCTCAATCATAACACACAATGTCAGACCTAATAGACGTTGCCCACCAAGCCCAGCGGGACCTAAACTCCCACCAAGCCAAGCAAGGCGTCGGCCATCAGAGCATCTCAAGTACTTCTTAGCCCTCCCATTTGTTTTTCCTTATTGAAAATTTCATGCTCTAATATCATGATATTGTATAGCCGACGAATCCGGCGTCAACGAAAACGTCACACGCGACTTCCCCGGCGCTGAGGTACGGTACGGCGAGATGGCGAATCATGGTGGCAGCGGGAACAAAAAAATTCCGCCACAGGAGGGCGGTGATTATGATGCGCGGGGACGGTAAGACTCTCTTTTTGTTGATGAACAGGGGTGATGGGTTGGCTGATTTTTGTTCTATAGGATGACTAAAGCAAAAGATTTCGAAGGCCCGGGCGGTCCAGAGGATAAGATGAAGATTGTCGAGGAAAGACGGCCTGGCGACGATGGAGTGCCGGTGCGGAGGACCAACTACTAAGTGAAAGTTTCTTTTAAGACTAGGAATCCGTTCCCATGCGGTTATGTACTACATTACACGTATAAGGAATGAACATCATCAATCGAGTAGTTTTTATTTCATCTTACAAGATAATTGTGAGTTGATTGAACGTCATTATTAAACATTGTCGTGGGCTTCGTACAGCCGTATAATAGCAAAATCTGGCAAAATGCTTGTTACTGATTATTCTCATAATCTAATTTACAAGGCAAAAGCTAAGACAGCACCGGCGGCAAGAGCCAAGACACCGGAAGCACCGTTGACGGAGGCAGCTCCGGTAGAGGTGCTGCTAGAAGAAGAGCTGGTGCTGGTACCGGTGGTGGTGCCGGTAGAGTTTGAGGACTTGCTGGAGGTCACGTCAGTGTTGTTGACACCAGAGACCCAGGTGGTACCGTTGCGGGAGAAAGGAATGTTAATATCCTTCTTCGAAGCGGTGTCAAAGGGGAAGGGGCTGGTGTAGTTGTAGGTGGCAGCAAGAGAACCCCAGGTAGACTTGACAGAGGCAAGGATACCGTGACCAGCAGAGCAAGTCTCGTTACCGGTGGCAGGGACGGGCCAGACGGAGGAGTAGTTGGAGTAGGTGTTGGTGGAGAGAGGACCAATGAAGGAGGAGTTGATGTACAAGTTGGTGGTGTCGACCTGGTAGTTGGTGTATCCAGTCTTGTTGGATACAATCTGGAAGATATTGGCACCGCAGTCCCAGCGACCAAGGGAAGGAAGACCCCAGTTAGCCTGAACGGTGGCCAAGGTGGAGTAGTGAGTGTAGAAAGTGTCATCAACGGTGCCAACCAAGTTGCTGGGAATAGCACCACCGATGAGGACAGAGAAGACCTTGTTTTTGATGGGGTAGTCACCGGTCTCGTCAAAGGTCAGCAAGATAAGAGACTCGTTCCAGAAGTCAGTAGAGTTCTCGAGCTTCTCAACGAAACCACGCTCCCAGATGGAGGCGAAGGTGATGTTGGTGTCGTGAGCATCGTTGGTCATGTTGGGGGTGATGAAAGCCCACTGGGGGAGAGTGTTGTTCTCAATGTCAGACCACAAGCTGGAGAAGTTCTTGATCTGGGAAGCACGGGAAGCATTTCCGGCAACGTTGTCAAAGAGGATAAGAGGATTGTGCTTGCGGACGTAGTCGTTGGCATAGGTCTCCTGGTTGGAGTAGTTGAAGCCCTGGAAACCAGCGTAGGGGAGACCCTCCTGGTATTCACCCCAAGAGATTCCCTTGGTTTCCAACACATCAACGATGGTGGAGACGTTCTCGGGAATCTGATTGAAGTTGTCGTTGTCCATAGCGAACTGGTCACCAGCAGCAGTGGAAGCATAGTTGGGCTCCGAAGGGTGAGCGACCGCCCAGAAGTTGGTCAAGGTGATACCCTTGGAAGCCAGGTACTGCTGGTTGCTGTCATCGGAAGCATTGCCGTAGTCCTATGTCAATTAGCTTCGTTGTTACTTCATTCAAGCCGTAAGATGGAAACTTACAATGTTCTCCAACCAGATCTGGTAAAAATTCTTGAAAGCAAGACCCTGGACGTTGGAGACGGGGGAAGAAGGGACGGCGGTGGCAGCAGCAGCGTCGATGGCAGAGGGAGCAGGCTCAGAAACGGTGGCGAGTTGGGCCGAGGCGGCACCAGCGGCAGCGAGCAACAGAATAGCAGACTGCATTTTCACTCAATTGACTCTGGGATGAATTGAAGAAATGAGAAACTGCGTCTTGAGAAGGATGTTGTTGTCGAGAGGGAAAAAAAGAAGAAGCGGGAAAGATCAGCAAGGTGACTCGAGGATCCTTTTATTCCCCAACGTCGCATGCATAGTACAGCTACCAGCTTGCCGTGCACGTGGGATGCATAAATTAGGCCATTTCCAGCTTGATTAGATCTTTTTTTTTGCGTTCTGGAAAACTGGGATCCGTCCCAGCGAATAGCGGGCAGTTCACTATACTACGTCGTAGTATTCCTTTCATACAATTAGCGACGCAGGCTAACCTAGGGATGGTGAGGAGAGCGGAACGTTGGAGTCGCGACAGGGACAGCTTCTTGGATGGCCTGCATGACTAGCCGTAGACTAGCCCGTGCTAGGGAATCAGAGCAGGCCTGGCGATCACGCCGTGTGGCGGCGGCATGTGACTCGTCAGTTCTTTCGGCCTGATTAGGCATAGTCTGGAAGTTGTAGTAATTGTTTCATTCGGATTGGCGGGGGKGAGGAACAAGGCCCCCACTCCTTCCGATGGCCTCAATATCCCTTCATGGAGCTATCCTGGAAGGCTAACTCGAACGCGTAATGCGCACTCACCTTCGCTGACTTGTCTATTTCATAGTACATAGTACAAGTTCAAGTAGTGTGTTACTGCTCGTGTTGGTGGGCGAATGGGACGTGGGCAACGTCACAATGGCCTACACGTGCTCTCGCTGTCTCTCATGAAGGGGTTCGTTGCGAGTCTGCCTTCCCCAGTCACATCGCTTATTATTCTTTGTGCAATCGCTGTTCGCAATTGACTCGCGTACAGATTGCCCATTCTCGGAATCAACGGCTGGCAGCAGCACGATAGACTGCGTTATATCCCCGTCTTGGCATCGAGTCTTGCTGCGATCCAAGAACCTTTCTTGCCCTTATCTCAGGCACCATTGGACGCAGCTCGTGGCTCAGACGTGCCGCTGTCCGTGATTCTGCCATATAGCCGCCCACGTGGGGATTCTTTTCTTGTCAATCTTATCACGGAACTTTGCCCGAACAAAAACCCGCATGGCCGGCAGAGCGTGGATACTGGCTAGTACTACGTACAGTGCGGATGGGCCCTGCAGTCGATGGATGCGATTCGATAGTCACTCCATGCACATTTTGGTTACGAGGACAGCCGCATCGGCGCATAGACCGGAGTCTCATTTTCGTCCGATGAGTTACTAAGGTTAGGTCTATACGTTAGAAGGCTGAGAGGACCGTGAGCAGCTTTTGAACTCTGATTCAACATCATCCGACTGAGGCGGAAGGGGCCGACTCGGCATGATTTCATGCAACGGCACGGAGCCAAGTAGATGAAAGAATCTCTTTTGATGAGAGACAAGTGCATATTGCCTCGGTGATCATTTTACTTCCTGACGCTTCTCGTACTCCAATAAAATCAGGCATCTTCGAAGATATAAGCCAATCTTTGTTTCCGAGTAGTTCTGGTCAACTATTGCAAGTCACTAACAATGACTACGAGTAACTATCGAAGGTTTGAATATTGGGCATGTTTGCATACTTTGCACGTCTCCTCAGCACAGCCAATAGGATAAATCAGATCACGTGCAGCATCAATGAACCTCGGCCCGCGCGTGGCTCCTGGGTCCTGCCGTGAGTGACATGTCAAAGAATGGAAGCCGACCTTCGTCATCACACTCGTCAATTACCACGACATCTGCCAGGACTCCTGGACTACTTACAACATAAATTCGCTATGATACAGCGATGACTTCCGCCAACTTTGCTGCCGCTCAGAGAAGGGTACTAGAGCGTCGCCAGCGTCTAGAGTTGGAAGCCCAGACCCGCCATGCGGAACAGCAACGTGCATCGCGTATCAATTCCGCGGCACTCGAGAAATTACCAGGTCCTTTGAATAGGCTAGCACAGTCTGGCTTTCTGATATGGGATAAGGTGAAAGGTCGGGATGGAACAAAGCCTATATTTAGGGTTGGTCAGGTCGATGCAGAATTATTAGACGAAGAGTTACTCGGCTTGCTTAAAGGGCAAGTCGGGGAAGCTCTAAAATATTTTGGGGTATGTACAGTCATTCTCAGTTTACTCTTAGACATTTCTCACCTGTTCTCGAATTGCAGGCTCATGCCCGCGACGAATGGTCGAGCGAGATTCAACTAGCACTGCGAGCTATACTCTTCAAACTTTCCATCTGGGACCACGATGCTTCATACGGCGCATCACTACAAGGTCTACAATACGTCGATAGCCGATCTAAATCCGTCGTCTCGACACCACCTACAACATGGCAGAAATCGTTATATGGTCTCTTCACCGTGGGAGGACGTTATGCCTGGGAAAAGTGGGAAAGTTGGTTGATAGAACGTGAAAATGGCTATGATGAGGTAGGCGCAGCAATTTTGCTTTTTGATTTTTCATTGCTGACTTTGCATAACAGCCGTCGACCGATATTCGACTTCTGTCTAGAATAACAAACCTCGTATCAACGACCCATTCAATCGCAGCCTTTGTTTCTTTCCTAGTCTTCCTCGTGAACGGTCGATACCGTACTCTGATTGATCGAATAATCCGCATTCGACTTGCGCCTCCATCGAATCAGGTCAGTCGGGAAGTATCCTTCGAATATCTCAATCGGCAATTAGTTTGGCACGCATTTACAGAATTTCTACTGTTTCTTCTTCCGCTTGTTGGAATAGGTCGCTGGCGACGCTGGATTGCTCGAGCGTGGAAGAAGACGATGGATACACTCAAAGCGTCAGATGACGGTAATTGCGCAACGAAAGAGAAGCAGGGCCAATTTGCTTTTCTTCCAGAGCGAACATGCGCGATTTGTTATCAGGACCAGAATCCGACATCGACTTCCGAGGCTGATATTCTTGGATCCGCATCGGGCGGTATCATTGGCTCAGCGCAAACCGATATCACGAACCCATACGAAACGATACCCTGCGGATGTATATATTGCTTCGTCTGCATTACAGAAAAACTCGAAGCCGAAGAGGGCGAAGGCTGGTCCTGTCTGCGCTGTGGTGAGATTGTAAAACAATGCAAGCCTTGGAACGGCGATGTTCTTGAGGAGGTACCCCGGTCAAGCTCGAGCGGCAAGGTTGTTGGGTTTGCAGTCGCAGAGGACGAAGAGGAACCTGCCATACATGGGCATGAAGACGAGACAACAGCCGATGCAGATGAACATGATGATAATCAATTGAGCGACATTGTCGCTAATGATACACTTGAAAGTTCAAAGACGTGGTCTACAATAGACAGGGAAACGTCAGCAGACGAGTTTGAGTCGGCGACGTAAGTCGTCAGCCTATTGATACCTTATTTTTATGTAGTATATAATACGGACAATCGTAAAAGAAATTAAAACTAGCTTAACAGGGACGCATTTCACACTGGCGGAACTTCCAGCCGTGAGTATATTAATATATTAAACTTCTTCCATGTGATTCTCCTACATGCATGTGCGGCCGCATCCGTTCCATTTCTACGACCGTCATCTAATTGCAACTGCCGTCCACCTAGGTAGCATCTACATATGCGCAAACATGGACCAATTAGCAGAGTCCATCTCCAGAGCCGCTCAAGTATGTGTCTCCTGCAAAAGACAAAAGCGGAGATGCGATAAGCGTCTCCCTCGATGCTCCCATTGCGACCGGTGAGGATGTAAGAGGCAGCTCCTTCCAAAAGCCAGCCGCGCTAATTGGTGGCCATCCTCTGTCACACTTCTAGACTGAAACGAGTATGTATCTATGGTTCCGACAAAGAAGCCAATCCCGATCATAGCGGGCTGAATCGAGAGCGAGTCACGGTATGTGAACGCTGTTGGTCGCAAAAGCGCAGATGTGACAAGGGGTGGCCCGGCTGTTCGCGATGCACAAAGTTAGTCGGGACCGGTTTTCTTATGAAATCAAAAGCAGAGATAGAAATCTGACAAAATTATCAGGCTTCGTGCTCCCTGCATATATGCCTATACCTGGACGCAAGAGGACAGAACCACTTCTGCCCACATTCAGAATCTACATACTCCCAGAGACATTCTGAATGATAAGGCCCTAGTATTCGGTACTCTGGACCCCTTTTCCTCCATGGCAATCAATTTCAGTCAGCGAGATAACACACATTTCCACCATTGTACGGTTACCAGCCCCTGAGCCCTCTTAATGGATAAGGGACTAATTTCACATATTTGATGACTTCAGTCCTACTCCACACTGCAAAATGTTGCTGGCCATTTCGCGCCGAGATATTAGGTGAATGGTGTGCGCAGGAAGCAGTGACACAGCCATCCATATTTTACGGTTTAATATCCATGTCTGCTTCGCACCGGTTTCATTTGCGTCTCAATAATACCACCACGACCAGCTCCGATGAACGTCGGCTCCTGCTCGATTCTGCCGAGTCCCGCCTGAGCATGATCCGCACTACGCAAGAGATATTGGATAACGTGAAGCCATCGAATTTCCAATCCGTGGCTATAATGATAGCTCTGCTTGTTTGTGTTGAGGTATGATGCGTCCGTCTAACCGCCTATGATTCAAGAAGGTTTGCACGGACAGGTCTTTAATGAGGTATTTTCCATGACAGGCTTCGAACGGAAATGTTCCGGAAATGGAGATGCATATGGCTGGCCTCAAAGAATTGGTTCAGCTATTCGGTGGTATGGACACTTTGGATCTCTCCACAATAGCCTTTCTAACAGGGTAAGAACCGGCCTCGTCACGTCTCTCATTTTAGCAAGTGCCTGTATGATTTCGTACTCACCCTATTCACTACAGTACGGATATTCTGAGGTCAATTGTCAAGTGTGAGCCGGCTACTTTGCCACTTTCGCCGAAGTATCTGCGTTTCATACGGAAATATGCAACACCCTCCCTCCGACCTCATAGTCCTTCGGAAGATCTGAATTTACCGGGGAGCAGCATGTTATGCTCTCTGGGATCCAGATTCACTGACTCAGCATGGTCCAACGAGATCGACCAGCCATTAAGGGTCATGATCCAAAACTTCTGCAATTTCATACTGCACTACGAGGTAGACGAGCAACGACGAGAGCACGAGAAGATCGTTCGATTTGAGGATAACAATCCTTGGAATCTATCCCAACTCTATCTACTGTCATTATCTTACGTGGATAAAATCGATATTAAAGAACCTCTGCGCCAATCAATACTGGCCTACTCTATGACTCGGTACTGCAAATTTGGAGCTTTCCCATGCATGGATATCATTGCCTGCAATCTTAAGCACAGCCTTGTTCCAAGAGTTGATGTGTTCCTATCTACTGCGCCCGATCTGTTTTTCTGGATACTTTATGTTGGCGCTCTGACGGCTAACAAAACTTCTGGATACTATTGGTGGTATTGTACTGGTCTTGCAAGACTCTCATCAACGCTGGATTTGAGTGCTTGGAATGATGTGAAATTGTTCCTCGAGCAGTTCCTCTACATTCATCAGAACCCGGATAAGTCGGCTGAAAGGATATGGCAGGATGCACTCTCGCTAAAGCCTGTGTTCTGCTCTTAGAATTCACTTCTGGCACACACACACACACACACACACACACACACACACACA